GACGAGGGTCACAAGCGTATTTGCGATGACGATGACTTTGCACGCTATAGGGTTCAGCAGTCTGGATAACATGGGATGACCGTCAACGTACCTCGCCAGCGACTCGTATTGTTCCTTGCAGCATCGCAGAGGCCGAGTGCTTTTCTCCGCCTCGCCTTCGTCGGCACAGGGTTGAGACCTTAGTCTCTGAATCGTAGCCAAGCTCTTGGCACGATAGATGGGGTCTCCACCAGTGAGCCGCCTTGACGGTCAAGTCATCCGCCGTCTTCGTCCTAGCGATCAAAACTGAGCTGTTGCTTCGGGGCTGCTTCAGCAGCGAAAGCGCCACGATTCATCACGACCTGCGTAGCATGTCGAACACCGCTAAAGTTGGGAACAATGCCACCTGCACCGACATGCTTCGTCCAACTTCCTCCAGACTGGGAGAATGAGTAGCCAGTGGTGGGGTGCGACATCGTCGTTGGGACTCCGGTAGCGGCACTGAGGCTGGTCACACTGGCCATGCTTGCCAAACTCTCTTGGTTGGCCGTGGAGCGCATGAAGCCAGATGCTCGGTCCTTGTCGGGATTAGTGCTAGCCGGGGCGTGACCATCGAGCTTTGCAGTGACGTTGGCCTTGCTGGGAGTTTCGCCAGTCGCAGGGCTGAGCGCAGCAATGGCCTCGGACACGAGTTGCTGGAGGTCGACGGTACGATTGAGTGACTCGTTATGTCGTTTATATGCGCGAACGTAGCGAATGATCTGTTGTCGGTCTTCTACGTAGGCTTTGTCTCGAGCGTCGGCCCGACGTTCCTTTTGCTCAACTCGTTGGTTGTACGGTTGAAAAGGGCAGCGCATGCGGTGATCCATGAGAATAGGGTAATCGAGGTGACCATTCTGTCCCTTGTGAGCGGCGACAAAGGCGGATCGATTTTCGTTGACGCCTGGTCCGCCAAAAGAGAGTTTGGGAGGAGAGACCGTGGGTTTGGAGGCTTCGAACTCGAGGCGACCAACGCCTTGATAATCGATGTTGGTAGAGTCGACGATGAGGAAGGCGGCGAGTTTGTTAAAGCAGGTGTAGTCATGCCTCCTGGAATTGGGATCGCGTTCGAGGGTCATGTTTGTCGCCTTTTCCGTAGCAAGTAGACTTGCAAGGGAAGCGGATGCAGCATTTGGTCGTTTAGACGGTGGAGGGAGATGCCAGGTACCGCCATGGCCTTGCGCTTTGGGAGCTTTCGACACACCAAGGGTGCCGTAGGGATTCTTGGGAGCGACGGATGCGAGGGCCAGCTTTTGAGAGGCAGTGTGCGTTGCTGCTGTCGTGGTCGTGGTAGGTTCAGACTTGGACGGACGAGCGAGGGTTCTGTCCAAGACGGACTCGAGCTCTGAGACGGAGCGTCAGATCAACTCCGAAGGAGGAGTGCACTTACTTGCGATATCCCACATTTTCAAACCCCACTGTTTTGCCTTTTCGACTGCATCAGGCGAGCTACACGGGGGTTAGATCTAGCTGTTCAGCGTAACAGGACGGTTTACATTTTCAGCTCAAATGGACTTCGAAGCGTCGTCGTTGTTTTCGGAACAACAAGAGATTTCTGACTTTCCATTTTCCTTCTCGAGCTTAGTCGGGATGATGAAATGCGTGACCTCCTTGGAGAGGACAGTTGATACGACCTATACGAAAAAATGTAGCATATGCTCAGAATACAAAAGGTTCAATTACCGCTCCTAACGACTCGATACGCTTAGTTGGTTGCTACTGCTGCTGTGGGAACTCCGTCGAAGTAAAATTTCCAAGAGGGAAACGCGCTTCGATACTTGGAGCTGAATTCTTCTTCAGCAGCGAGTCTTGCGGCATGAGATTTTTCCTTTTCCTCACGCGTCTTCTTCGACGACGTGCGGTTTCCCTTCGTAAGCTTATCCTCGGTTGTTCGGTCAGCTTGCTTATCGACTTTTGCGACTGTATGAGCTGGTTTCATAGGACGGGGAGTGAGCTCGAGCGCAGCTATCTTGGTCTCTGGAGCGATTGCCCGGAGTGTATCACTGATGTTGTCGAGGCTCGCCCGGGAGCGCTTTGCAGATCCTCGGGATGCGACCACGTCCTCTCCGTCGTCTTCACGAGCTCGTTTGAGACTATGAGAGCTCCCGGGGCCTGCACTGCCTGAGAGTCGCTGGGGCGTGCTGTCGTTGACCGGCCGAGGTGCAAGGGCCTGACGATGAACTATCGTAGCCATTTCGCGATATAAAGGTTTTGGGAATATTAATGAGATTTTTGGGAACGCAGAGAGCTGGGCCAACCGACGACGTCGGCTCCAAGTGTTTGGATGTATTTGTTTGGCTCACTCACGCGTCTCAACCCACAGCTAGCGCGTCGGATTACGCGTTTTACGCGTAAATATCAACACTCAATGCTAATAAATAACAGAATGGTATAATAAATCTCGACTGGGAGAAGTGGGCCAAAGGGGCCAAGGGACTCGACCACCAGTTTATTGGCCGGCTCAGAGTTAGTTGTAAAACTCTCGGTCGGGCGTAAATATTCTATGTTCAGCCATTCTAGTTGCGTAAATATTCCAGCACGCTTCTCACGAAGAGGCAGCTACGTCGTCTGTCGCAAGGATGACATCTCCTACTGATATTCGACATATTCCATTTCAATCAGACAACTTTACATATCGGGATACTCCACTAAGCCCAGTATTCTCAATCAACTACATGGGCTCAACTCTTGCAAAGGCCGTAGAAGAGTAGACGATTTTTCACCATGCTAATGCACAAGTATATGTCCATAAAATGCTAGATTTAGGAGTTGATACCTCTCGGTAGCACAGATGGTTGCAACCTCGCCAGGTCGCGTGAGCTTTTGGGTAGAGTTGTGGTCTATTCCACACCCTTAGGAGGTATTCCTGTAGGATACTACCCTGTTCTCGTCAAATTGTCCCACTCCTACATCTCTATAGAAATGCGCCAGCCTAGAATTTGAACAAGCCGCCTATCATATGTAATCAGATTCCCAAAAATCTTTCCTTATGCACATTTCATTCCTCGAATAGTGGCAAAGTGGGTCACTCGTGGCTCACCGACGTTGGACTTGAGCGCCGCAGGGCATCTAGTGACAGTCACACACCCGCGATATTCGCACAGACGCACGTCTGGAGACCACATTAGAGGAGAAAGGAACAGTTTATGGACATCCTTTCCGCCTGTTGATGGCCTTTAAATTCGAGTTTGGCAGTCGTCGTTTCATCCGAGATGGGCCGGTAGGTCTCTGATCAGACTCGAGGTGTCTCCAAGCACTCATAGGGTCCCTCTTGTACCGATAGCGCCCAGAGGATATCACCGTCTTCTTTAGCGATGTCCTGTCAACAGACTCGTTTCTCCAGATCAACGCCGCGGACAACATTGTCAAGTGGTTTAGAATGCGGATCCAATGCTCAAATGACGCTTTGGACCTCCTCGTCACGCGTGCGGTGTCGTCAAAAAGTTTGTCGAATTTTTTCGATCCGACGACGTGAACCTGCAGGTACCGTCCTCCCCGCACACATCTCATTCTTAGTCTTCCTGATAAAACACACGCGTAGGATAAAGCTAGTATCGTCTTTGGCTTTCTCGCATGCGGGGATACACGCCACGCGACGATTGCGTACAACTCTGGCATCGTCCCAGCGTGCATCGAGCGCCTTTCGTCACCGGATCCAGAAGCGCGAGTAAAGAGCGCGGATCTTGGAACCTGGCGGCAGACGACGTCGAGTGCGCCGACGCGCTCGTCGGATTAGGTGTGCTCAACATCATGGTCGAGCAGACCTCAGTCATGATTGGCACCAACGAGATGCAGACGTACATTACCTATGCGACGATGCTCCTCTGGGCGATTAACCATTTTCTAAAATCGGCGCAGGACCTGCCGACGGCGCTGGTGGGTGGTGCTGGTCGAACACACTCGCGACTAAAGAGCTCGAACAGGTTCTCAGGATACAAGAATTGCTGTGTACGATCATCATGTCCAACGTCGAGGATACTATTCTCGAAGAGTGCTGCTTTGGCCTCGCGACGATCCTTCAGATCAACTCCGAGGCTGGCGCGCTTTTTGGAAACGACAAGATATGCGGTCGACTAGTTCGACTGCTCGAGCGAGGGTCCAACGTCAATATCCAAAAAGCAGCGCTACAACTCGTCGGGGCGCTGACCGCCAAGTCGGAGGAACATACGACGCGATTACTGAATAACAACCTCCTATCTGCCCTCAGCGACCTCGTGGAGCACCAGTTGGGCGAGGATGCGTGCTGGGTCATTTCCAATATCATCGCCGAGAGCGTCGAGCATCTCAACCTCATCGTCTACCACCCGAAAATCCTTCCGACCGTTGTCCGATTACTCAAAGTGGATGCATCTGGGTTTGATGAAGACGAGTTTGGTGGTCGGAGTCGCGAATCGTGCGCTATCTTGGCCAATATTATCAACAAGGGCCAAGTAGAAGCGATACGACATACCGTTGCCTTGGCTTATCTGGGTTGTGCGTCGCGTTGCGGTACTCCAGAGTCTGACATACTCCGTCCTCATCCTGACGCCTGTGGAAGTTGATTCTGTTTGGAGAGCACGATCCGATAGAGATTGATGGTGCGCCCGTCAATCTATATCTAAAATTGTTCGAGAGCTCCGGAGGATTCGAGGGTCTGGCGCGGTTAGAGAATAGGAAGGACCGGCCCGTTGCAGAAGCCGCGCAGCAGATGCTCGCTCTGGTATGTTTCTTTCATCCATCTTGTCTGGCCTGCTGAACTGGATATAGATTGACGAGATTATGAACCCTCCAATGACGGTGGATAACGAGGCGGAGATGACAGAAGACACGCCGGCAAATGGACATCCACCGATAGCATCGCATGGAGGACCGGAAGACTCGAAGGGTGAAGAACCTAATCAAGGAGGCGTTACCTAATTTTCATCATTCAAGGACCGTGTTGTATCCCTGTTCTGTTTCTTTTACGACCGTTTGTTCCCTTGTTGATATTATATACTGTTTACGACTAGAAGAACAGCCGTAGGAATTAGGATGGTTTGGTATCCGGCAGAGCAACGAAATCTTTGGAGTCCCAGTCGAATGTAAACGTGAGGCGGGCCAGGGTAATTATCCAGAGGTTTACTAGTCAAGAGATGTCAATAGCTATTACCAATTGCGTAGAAAACTCACGTTCGAATATCCCAGACGTCCTCGCTGCTCCCCGTAGTCCGTCGTGTCGCCCACCATTTTGCGCGATGTAATAACCACGCCTCGCGCCTCTCCTCCTCAGTCTTAAACTTCATCTGCATGCAGAATCTGAAATCGTCAAATTTTTGCGCGCACTTTGCCATTTCGCCGTCTCGGTATATCGACCGCATGTGGTTCTTGAAGCCTGTTGGGCAATTTATGAGTGCGAGTTGGTGTGAATTCATGTATTTGTACCATTGCAGGACAAGTAAAGGCCTAGGAGAGACATGCAGGTCGGAATGTCTTTGTACTGTGGGTGTACTTTGGAGAGGTGGTCGAATTCTTGTTTGACAATTTGGTCATAATTGAGAGAGGACTCTGGAAATGGTGTCGACTCTGGTGATGATGTGCTGGTACTCGACATGGCGGGGGTCAAGATGCGAACTGGTACAAGGCTGGTCTTACGCGTGCTATATCTATGTATTCCAGTGCACTAAGTGTACTAATCCTCGAAATAAACTCCCGGTGGCGTGTGGTCTCCAACTCCGACGGCGTGCCGCTGACCGTACTGGCAGAGGGATCGGACAAGTGGCAAACACTGGCTCTTCTACTTTTACTTGGATTCTGAACTACTATTGGATACTCTAGACGACGCGTTTACGATCCACGCTTGTTACTGTGCAACGGCATTCAGGCCAAACGGGCAATACACGGGCTGGAGATGTATGTACTACGTTCTAACAGTTCATATTCTGCTTGCTCATCTTTTCTGTGCTTTTTTTGAAGTAGATTTTCGCTATTTTCCGTGTCAAAGTCGATAGATCGACCCTCGAGCGCTAGCTGGTTGTGCGCTGCAGCTGCGCAGGTCGAGTATCCAGTCTTGTCGAGAATATGCATCTGAGTGCTGCACCGCGACAGCATGCCAGCTCGTCCAGGGATCCAGACCGCGGGCCTCCTTCGTCCTCGAAAGCTGGTGCTGGCAGCCCTACAAAGTCGGGCACGACCGATGCTCCCAAGAAGAAGGAGAAGCGGAGAATGATAGAATGGAAATACACGACAGCACCTATGAATGCGCGTGATCTCGCTCGTGACGATGATTTCATCAGGTATACCGCCGTTTTGCTGAACAGACTCTTGGGAAACATTCTGCTGACCGTGTTGTCAATAGCCACATGCTTGTCGAATGTCTGGGGACTATTGAACCCTTGTCCGTTCACAAAATGGACGCCTCTCGTAAACTTCCGACTTGGGAACCCGATGTTATTCTCGCTATCGTTCAAAAGGTACTCTTGCCCTCCGTCTTATTGGATTGTATTTAACTCGGTCTGCAGTACGTTGTCAATTCCCCACCGGGGCGTGGCGCTGTTGCCCCATACGCACGCGTCAAACCAGCTGTCGATATCCTCCTGCAACTCCGGAATGTTCAACGCTATATATGGCACAAGTCACAATATCAGATCAATGCATTTGCAACGTATGCCCGATTTCTCCGCGTATTCGGTAAAACTCATTGTGTTATCAGTCATATGTCTCGTTATCTCGAACTCTACTTACCGGGCGGCTCCATCGAAGTCGCGCAGACATCTCGTTACTCGCACAAGACTGGAAAATCGGAGCTTTGTGTGATTGCGGTAAAACCACTCAAGCCAGGGCAAACGATTACCGACTTGAAAGGTGTGTTAAACGCCATGGGAACATCGTGTAGCTGACCATTTCAAGGCTCGATGGCGGACTTGACCGCCGAAGAGGACGAAGAGCTCAAAGAGATTCGAGGAGCGGGAGCGCGGCGAGACTTTTCGGTCATTTTTAGTCATTCAAGAAACGTCAATCATCTCTTCCTGGGTCCAGCGCGGTTTGTCAACGTGGGTTGCTTCTCTGAAGAGGTTCACTCGCTCACTCTTCGTAGCATGATTGCGAAAACAACTGCGAGTTATTTCGAGACGGACGATACATTACATTCAAAGTTCTCAGACCCATAGCGGCAGGGGAGGAAATCACCGCCCACTATGGTGAAGACTACTGTAAGTCGAGTCTGATTATACGACGTTGGCTGATGACCGGCCAGTTGGCAAGAACAATCGACGCTGTCTTTGCGCTACCTGCGAGCACAAGGGCATTGGCGGGTACGCCATCGAATCCGACTGGTCGCTCCACTCTTCCGAATCCGAGTCCAACGAACCCCCCGCTGCACCCCCACAAGACAAACCACCAAACGCCCAGAGGCGACGGCGGACCGAACTCGACAACCTCAAAGAGAACCTCACCGACCTGATGAAAGCCCCCGTGCTGCCCGTCAGCGCAAGTGAGGATAGCGAGGATGACGAAAAGCGCAAACGGAAGAAACGAAAGGAGAAGAAGGAAAAGGAGCGGAATAAAGAGACGAGTCGGACTCGTGATCGAGATGCGACGCCCTTGTGCTCCATCGAGTAAAGCATCGACAAACGGGGTGCCGGTGTCTGGGACTAGTGGAGCCGCGCAGCTGCCGACTCCGTCTACGACTCGCAGCTATCGATCTACATCAAGTGGGACTCCGAAATTGACGAGGGCGGCGATGAAGCGCGGCCGTCTGAAAAGTCAAAACGCAACGACAGCGAAATAACGTCATTCTGACGCCACCTCCTTCGAACAAGACACATAGTGCCGACGAGGAGGAGAGTGACTCGGATGCTGACGCGCCCAGACGATCGACGCGATCAAGAACGCGGACTACGACTGGCAAAGGCAAAGGGAAGTCCTCGGCGTCCACATCAAAGAGTGCCGCATCGAATGACTCGGATGCCGATGAATCGAGCAGCACCTCGAATGAATCTGATTCGGACGACTCGGAGGAGACGACGTCTTCAGAGGAAGAGAGTCGTCGGGTATATGCGTTTCGACAGCGAAAGTTGCGGGATAAGGCGAATGCTTGGGCATCCGCTCGACGGAATGGGAACGCTGGTGGTTCTGGTCTTGGTCCATCTGCAGCGACGTTGGCTGCTTCGAAAAAGGGCAAGACGTGCATTATCTGCAAGTGGAATGAGCTCGAAACTAAAAACGAGTTGACCTGTGGAAGGTATGTACCCACGTCAACGTAAAGACACTTCTGACGTTTTACAGATGCAAGCGACATTTTAACATCTATGGCGCAGCGTGGCCGAGTCGTATCAGCCCTACCAACCTGGTTAATTCTAGCCGCGAGAACTCGCCAGGCCCCAACGACCACGTTCGCGAACGTCTATCTCGCCATCATACTGCCGCCAACAGCCATCCAATGAACAAGGACCGACAAGACGACGACGGGAAACGTCCGCTCAAGCGGCGGAAGACAGAAGCTGACTTGGACCCGCACTCAGAACTCGCGCGTGCGGAGCGGTTCCTCGAACGGGAACGTGAGCGCCGAAAGGCCAAGGCTTCGGATGAGAGTAGTGCAGAGGAGGCACCCAAGCGGAAAGTTGGTCGACCTAGAAAGCACCCGTTGCCCAATCCAGTCTCTGCTGATCAGCCTCCTGTCGTCAAGCGGGGGCGAGGCCGACCGCGCAAGTATCCGCGACCCGAGGGCGCACAAGGCGCTTCACGTGCGCGAGATGCTGAAGATCGCTCTGAAGAATCGTCTGCGGAGGATAGTGATGATTTGACCTTTGATTTTGGACACGCCTCGCGCGGGGCATCTCCCTCTTCGACGGGCATGCACGTCTCACCTTCACCATCACCATCACCTCCTCCGCCCCCGAAATTATACAGCTTCCAGCCGAACCCGGCCATGTATGCGGCCAAAAAACTACGAGGGCCCGTAATGGTTCTCCGAGAAGAGATTTCCGATGTGGAAGAGGTGGAAGAGGACGAGTCGAATACGAATGCAATGTCCCTCGATGACGAGCCGCGGCCGTTTCTTGCATGGATGCCCCGCCGTGACCATGATGGTTCCAACCAGAACGAGGAATTGCACCATTTCGTTAGGAAGCGTTCGCCTACGTTGGGTTCCAAACGGCGCAGAGGCACCGATACCGATGGCGAAGACGAAATTGAGCCTATCCAGGGGCTCGTTCGTCGGAGCTTTGGATTGTGGCGGTCCGGAAACCCGCAGAGCTTTGCAGTGGAACGAAGAAAGGTTGACCCTGCTACCGATATTGCAGAGGAACCCTTTTTCCCTATCCAACAACCCTCGCGGGAGACTTGTTCTCCCGAAGGCACGCCGCCACCCAACACGCCTGTTCGGAATCAACGAGAACCCCCAACGGCGTATTCAAAGGAAATGCTGTCCAAGCTCAGCTTATATCAACGTCCACGGACTCAATCCGCATCTACCCTCACAGCCCAACAAAGTCTTCAACGTCTCCCGCCAAAGGCCAGCTCGTTGTCACGGATAGAACCAACTTCCATTGTCATCTCGCGCCTGCAGCAACCGACATATTTGGGTCCTCAGCGTAGTCACGTTCATGTGACCCAAACCCATGATGATGATGCATCGACCACCACGCAGCCTTCCATCGTGGAGGAGGCGACTTGGACCAAAGCAAGACCATGGAAGCGCCCAGAGTCACAAGATCTGCCGCCTCAAACTGTGACGAACACTCGTCGGTCCAAGTCGATTGTCAGCGTCCCGCTGTATGACTCGGGAGAGGAAGAGGTCACGCTTTCCACGGCCGAAGTGGGACACCCTGACCTTACCGTGGCTCATGATATTGAATGGCGTGACGATTTCGACGAAGAGGAGCGTCAAGTTGAGCTTGCTCTCAATACGTTGACGGACCACTACTCAGAGGACGATGGCGAATTGGCATCCGGCCAGCGCTTTGCGTCCAACTCTCACATACCTTCATCTACTAAGCATCAAATAATCGCCCCGGCTGCTTCTATAAACGAGCTTTCCAGAGGATCTAATGTGGAGGACCGGCTACCAAAGCAACGACGACGGGAGGAGGTATGTTTCTAGCCTTCTGTACTATACGATGAATCTCAGTCTTTCTTTTCTTTCCCTCTGCTCGGCCACTGCTCTCTTTCGACCTTGGGCACCTTTTCGCTGTTTGGGATCCGGCCGCAAGTTGCGTAGCGTACCATCGCCACCGTTCGAAACACAGCCCTTGTACAACTATCACAACGCTAGGGTCCCCAGTCCGATGTTTGGGCCGGACGCAACGGTGAAGTCCCCGGTCGTACGCCCTGCTCGCCCACGGTCAAATTCGTTTTCCATTCTCGAAGAGCACTTGTCTTCTGGATTTGGCTGCGTCCAGCTCCCTCCTGGCTCCAGGCGTGCGCGTGACAAATTGCGACATTACGAAACGACGACCGGGGTCTCTACGCCTTTTACAGATGTTCGCATACGCTGTCGAGACCTCGTTATAGAGCTGAAGAGGCGAACCGGAAGAACAACGTCGCTTACCACTGGAGAATGTCGTTCCCCGCCGACTCCAAAGTACTCTCGCCAGGCCGTCAGGGGAAGCTCAATGCCACCGCTGGAGCTGGGATTGTTTAAGAATGAGCTTGAAGCTGCTAGTACCGCAGAGGAGCCCGCAGAGAATTGGGACGATCTGTATTCGCTGGCTAACGCAGATCTTGCGTTGACGTGGAACTGTCATAGCAATCGCAGGTATCTTGTTCGATAATCTATTTTCCTTGCTGTCGTTGTCCTGTCGTGTGTATATTATTTTTGGATGCATGGCGTTCTGCTGACCGAGTGTCAACGACTACTGATCTCCGGGCGATATGGTTCATGATCGAGGTGAAGCCGTTGATAGTCAGCGGCCAATCAGGTCGCGCCGTCAGAAATCAGGCTCTCAGGCCATTAGAGCATCTTATAGATGCCAGTCGATTGCCAGGCTCCTCAACCTTACTTGAAGTCTGACCACGAGATTCCACTATGAGCCTGTTTTCCTCTTACGACGAGACAGACCTGCCCCAGATCGACACAGAAACATATTCACTTTGTGAGCCGGTTATTCCAAAATGGTATGCGTTGGATAGTAACTGGCAATTACTAATCATTGTGATAGTTATAGACAGAACCTACCGCCAACCAGTGCCAGTCAGGCTCGCTTGCGGAACTTTTCCGCAAATAAGAAGGAAGACCTGACATTTGTTCAAAAGAGAATCACGGACACCATGGATCTGGTACATGCCAGTGAGACTGCTATAAAAAACCTGGAGAGAACTATTCAGCATACACATCATGTGGTGAGCAGTATGGAGTACAGTCTTCATTCGCTAGAGAGTGTCCGCGACGACATGCGAGCTCTCGATAGTGCAATTATGAATATCGCATCAAATGAGGAGCCTCAATCCTTTCGGACTTGCCACGCGGTCATCGCGTACATTGGTGTACCAAGTGAATCAAAGGAGCTCAAGTCTATCCCTGACCAGACGTCTCAATTGCTCTATAGAGTCCACAACCTGCGACGTATGAAGCTGGAGATGGAGCAAGAACTCTTAGATTGGCGCATGGAGCTTGAATATCACACAGGTTACCTTAAACAACTCAAGGATCATCGCTACTCATTGGTTGGGGTTATTAATGGGATAAAAAAGATCCTGTCGCCCGTTCGAACAACTCCGAGCGAAATCTGGGTTAAAATTTTTGGCTATTGCATCACAGATCGCGATCTGGAGGCCAGCCATCATAGCCTTCCATCTCCACTTCTCCTCGGCCACGTATGTAGCTTCTGGCGCCAAATTATCTTCGAAACGCCAAACCTTTGGGAGAGATTTGATATTTACACACAGAGATGGTGGCCCAAGTCAATATTGGGGAATTTGGAGAGGACAAAACAAGCTGCTCCGAGTAACGGCCTCCGTTACCATTTCTTTGGTCACTTTAATCCGCGATGGGCTTCTCAGGTACAACAATTTACCAGCGGTGGTTACTATAGTGCGTACAGTAATCTCCAAAGACAAGACTTCGCAGAAGTACCTTCGGATGTTCTTGAACAATTCTCAGCCATAAAACTCCATGTCGGCACTGTATTTAACTTCAGTGTCTACACTCCACCCACCACCGCAATCAAGACACTAACTGTAACTGGCTCATCCAGCGGATGGGGAAGCGAACTTCTTACGTTTCTTAACCGCTGTAGCTCAGCAGAAGAGCTGGTTTTAGAAAATATCTGGCTTGTCCGGTCGACTTCAATATCAATGCCAAACTTAAGGCGTTTACGCTTCCGAATCGATCGTTTTACACCTTTCGATGTTTCTCCTTTCCTCCATCTACCACTACGAGAGCTTGATATCCGCCACGATAGCTCTGATACTGTGATATTAGGGCCTGGTGCTGTGCCTCGTCTCACACACCTTCAGCACCTCGCGGTCACTCCGTATGAGCATCCGCTCCTCACGCACATCCTGGCACCTAACCTGAAGATTATAACACTCTACCCGGCAAATGCCCCCACAGTAGTTACTACATCTTCGCCGGGACTGCAAAGTGCCAATGACTTGAATTCTACCCTCGCGATGTCTTTCATTATTTCACTTCTACCCAAAGTTCAAAAGGTGGAAGAGATAATATTTTTCGAGTGGACAATCCAATCTACCATGGATTGTGCGTATGTCCTGGAGAAAATCCTTAGTGTACCGTCACCGCTCCAGCATATTCGCTTTGACCGATGCCATCTCAAGGGTCCCACACTTATCTCCCTACTCGCGAAGGCTAACAGAGAAAATATCAACACAGAGGAGCTGCTCGCCACTACTGTGCCCGAACTTGATGATACCGACTCCCCCTTGCTCTCCGCATCACCCAAGGTCAATTCTCTAGCAGAGCTCACACTCTCCTGCTGTACCGGTTTAACGCGGGGTGAGTGCGACGTTCTCGCATCAACAGTCGGCAAGTTGAATGTCTATGTCTAGTATAGTATGGAATATGAATCTATTCTGATTGAAATTGTTGTATAAGCCGATTTCTGAAAGTGATTGATAAATTTAATCTGTGGCATATCGACGTTGAACCCAACCGCCATCTTGCAAACTTGACAATAACCATGGTGTAACCTCAAACTCAGAATGGGGGTATCCTACTCGAGTATGCAGTTCGGATTTGGTAGCTGACAAAGTCCTGATTGATTATCCAGCTCCGATAGAAAGCCTTTAGTTGCTAGCGGCACAACGAGCACATTCCAGATCTGCAGGCAGTCTGAACAAGAGGATCTCGCTTCTATTTCTAGGAAGATCGAGGAAGATAGGAAGATTGCGAGTCGGCCATCTCCGCACTTGAGCAGGCTATCACGTTTACCACTTCCATCTTGTATGCACAGCAGAAATTGAGATCACCTGGAAATGGTCTTTTACATACGGCGCCGACTGAAGGTGTTGCAGCTTCGGACACCGGCCGTGGGTGACTTTCAAACGTTACAGTTTCCGACCTACGGCTCGTCGTATCTATCAATCGTAAGTCCTAAGTAGTGATTTGTTCGAGTGGAACTAATACCTGATGCCCTCTGCCGTAGTGGTAACGACCCGAACCACCCCGCAGAACTCTACAGCGGGTACACCATGTAGAAACCTCAAATTTGGAGAGTCACATATTCTCGTGCGCCCCATTATCGATAAGATAGATGATAAAGCTTTCCATTCGCTTTCACGTTTCCTCCATGTCGGGAGTACATCAAGATTGTCAGCTGGATAAGGACTTAATGCCGGTAGAGTGACATGTTGGCCGAACGCGGTGCTGATTGGGGTCGACTGGGGGGTAGAGGCGCCTGATGTTGATATCGGATGGGAGCAATTGATGAGAGTGCGATGGCACGAGGAGCAACCGAGCCTAGGGGTGATGAGGTTGTGAAAAGACTTGTATCACTGAGACGTACATGTCCATATCCGCCAAGCTTTCTATATTCCCGCACCACGACAACTCGAGGTTTGATAGTCTTTCTGGCTTTTTTCCAGCAAGGACGTCCGGAATGAGAGAGAGAAGGTTGCACGGGACGGTTGAGGTGAACGCGACCGATTTGATGGGCCGTACACTGCATTGGAGCGATCGCGTTAAAAACTTGTAGAGTTACGGGCCTCGAGCGCGATGAAGAAGGCGTCCCAGTCAATGTGCGTGTCTAACTTCAAATTCTCCAAACAAGGTACCTCGTCCGCATGGAGCACCATCGCCACCATCCGTGGGATGACAGTACTGGCATACTCGCATTCGACCCATTTACAATCGTACAAGAGGTATAGGGTTGTGAGGTATTTGAGGGGTGTGAACTTTTGTTCTTCGCTCACTATCTCAATGGTCGTTAGCCCGGCAGCTAGAGGCTTTGAGTGATGGGACGTACTTGCAAAAGAAATGGTGAAAGACATGGAAAGTTGGAGCGAGTGAGCATATGGCCACCACTCAACCTCTGCGATAGATGGTACATCATGATATCCTCCCTTGCTGAGCGCCAACTCTTTTACCGAGTGGGAGCGAAATTGAGAGAAAGACTGCCTGGCGTCATACATTTCAAGACGTGTTATAGATGGTGCAAGGTGAAATTCGTTTGTTCCACGAATGAGTTCCTCCACGGAATATAGTATTGCGATCTTGACCTTTGGGAGCCCGCCACTGGCATTGCAAAGATGATACGCATATCCTCTCCCCACATGGCAACATCCGTCACATTTGTTAGTGCGGATGCCATGATACGTAATAAGCTGACGAGGGAGTTGGGAGAATCCAATACTTGTCTTCGGAAGAGCCGTCCACGAATTTTGAGAGGGGTGACTTGGGGTAATATGGCGAGTCTGTCGACTTGAAGCACGAGTATATCTTCCGACATGAGTAGGCTCAAGTTCAAAGTTTGGAGTTGGGTGGCGACTTGGAGATTACCAAAGAAGTCGGACAACTCGAGAACGTCGATGGATATTGTCACCTCGACGAGTGTACCTACTAGGGCAGGGAGGAAGAATTGTGATATGCCCCCTATTTCGTCTCCTATGTACACCTTGCGCCAATGGAGTGTCGGAGCAGGTTCTCCAGGGAGCTGGATGAAAGGGTTTCGACATGCACGCATGAAGAAAACTTCTTCCGCACCCTTGATGGTGTGAGGATATGGAACGAGGAACTGGAAATGTTGCCTTGCCACTGTGAATCGTCGCAGCGCCGCAATTAAATCGGTGTTGAGCAGTTCCATCCTGAGTTCTGATCCCCAGATACTTGTGAGACGGGGATGAATATGCGCATATGGAATAAGCTTTGTCCGGCCACTGTCATCGACAAGGTTGTTGTTATCGCGCTCCAATCTCTCCAGCGCTGGTAATGAACCCAGTATATCCACCAAAGAGTGGATATAAGTATCATTTCTTCTTCTGCTGACAGATATTTGCTTGTGTATAGGTATAGCGCGACTATCCTCTCTCGATACTCCCTCAAGGAGATCAAGATGTCCTTTAAATCGTCGGGTTCTATTCTTATATCGAGTCGAACGACCAGTTGTCGTTGGGAAGAGAGTAGGCACGCCAGCCTGAGTTTGTAGTGCGACTCATCGAGTCGGCAATCCGCAACTATAGTCGTCCAGAGCCGTGATTCAGATAAGACGAGTTGCTGGAAATGTCGAGAGACATTTGTGAGGTCGAATAGACGATCTATGTGGCGACCAGGATGCTTTGTATCGACATCTGGTAGAGATAGGCGGAATACATCGGCGCAGATGCGGTGTGGAAGACGTCGAAAAGCGTTCATTGCCTATTTTTGTGATTGATTCGCTCGAACTGCGGTTTGTGAAGTGGGCCGGACGAGGGAAAGGCTAATAAGACGCGAGCCGCGCGCCAGCTTGGAGTTCCCTCTAATATTAGGTGGAGGGTGTTGGCATGGCGGCAAGTGCGTGTAGCTGAATAGAGTTGATATTAGATTCAATGTCTACCCTTAGCACGTCTCATTGAAGCAGGGATGTAGTTCTGCCTAAGCGTAGAGGAAACCACCCAGGAACCTGAATGAGGGAATCGTAGACAAACGCGGTACGCCTTCAAAGAAACTGTGTATTAGCCACCTTCAAAGGTGCCCTTATATCTATGACTCGTTGTACCTCATGATGGTAAGCATGGCTCGGCGATTCGTTCGAGGTGACCTACTTGATTTCCGCCGCAGTGATAGTGGCTCCGACTACTCTGCGCCGCGCCTCAACTGAGTGAAAGCAAGTCTTGGCACGCTCTTTACCCATCCAACTTGAGATCGGCTTCCACTCCTTCTTTCTTGTCCTCCATGTTCTCAGTACATCGAGGTTATCGACGGGTTAGGGGCTCAGTTTGGGCAGTGTTAAACTCTAGTTGGGCGAATTGGATTTCGCAGGGAATCGGGTCGGTTGAGGAGTGAGTTGTACCTCCAAGGATCGCCTTGGCCGAGGGAACGGAGATAGTATTACACGTTGCGGTGGCAGAGCTGACCTCCCGGTCTATAATGCAATCATAAGCTAATCTGATAGTAGCTAGGAGAAGGAAAACATACACGTTGATGTCCCCCAACCCTGTTATGTTTCCACGCCACGATAGCGCAAGATTGGGTGACCTGGTTACAACTTTTCCTGAGACAATATCGGACAAAGGAGTGATGAAGGAGTGTAGGTGAACTGGATAGATTTGATTGGTCGTATATTGTTGCGTGCTCCGAGCATGATGGAAAAGACATCCATTTGATGCCGGAACCGAGCTTAGATTCTCCAAGCTTGGTACATTTTCAGCGTAGAGGACCGCCGCGACCGTCTAGGACGTAGCCTTGTCAGTAGACTGTCACTGGATGGGCGTAGTCAAGGTGCAGTGTTGTCAAAATCTTGAACGGCGATTCAAAGTATTGATACGTGCTCGGTACACCTGACAGAATTGGTTACCTTGGAACTGCCATTGCTGAAACTCCGTACGCAAAGGGAAATTTGTGAGATCATTGGAAAGGTTGAAGGTTTTGGACATTTGGCCACCATTTCGAATCTATTACGTCCGCTTGATACGCAACTATTCCGCTTGTTGGGCCTTGGGTCATGTGTAACGCCCACTCTGTCACATCCTCGGACCCGAATCGTAACCGGAGACGCAAGTCGGAATAGCTCTGGCGGTGACACTGATGCGTAGAGTACAATGTCGCTTTCGAGAAAACCGTCGCCGGTATTGCAGAGAGGGACTAGTACAACATCTCGAGTTAGTAAGTCGGGCTCTCAAACTCTGTCGTTGGCATTTGTCCATCCACGAATCCAAGTGCAATCAGAGTATATAGATAGTATTGTAAAAGTATGAAATCTGGGATATCAAAGTAGAGGGGAGACGTAAACCTTTTTGTATTTGCGCTTGTTTGTGTACACCTCGACCACGCCTTGACATTGGCCGTCTCCATAAAAATCCCAATAATACGCAGCTGCTGTAAATCAGAGTAGCTGTCTGATATCTCATCATGGGTACGTCCTCATTTCCCATCCCATCGTTCATCTTGCAAGTTCTGGATTTGAATGTGGCCTGCTAACGTGTTGCTTGTTCCCCTCTGATTGATCCATCTCTCTACGGATCTCAGGTATTTCCCGTTCTTCTTCCCACAAGCGGCGCGCGACGGGTGGTCACCGACCACACTACCGCAAGAAGAGAAAGTTTGAGCTCGGCCGTCAGCCCGCGAGCACAAAACTCGGTGCAAAGCGTATTCACACCGTTCGTACGCGTGGTGGAAATACAAAATACAGGGCGTTGCGATTGGACTCTGGTATGTGCATCTCCTCTCTCACTTTTCCTTTTCCTCCTTCTGACCTCTTCCTTTTGCTATTCTTCTGCTATACGTATAAATGCTAAATCTTGATAGGCAACTATGCATGGGGATCGGAGAGCGTGACCTGCAAGACTCGCATCATCTCCGTCAACTACAACGCCTCGAATAACGAACTCGTCCGTACCAACACGCTCGTTAAGGGTGCCGTCATCCAGGTCGATGCCACGCCATTCAGGCAATGGTACGAGAGCCACGTGAGTTACAACTCGTACATCCATATATAAACTCATAAAGTCTCTAGTACGGTCAACCCGTCTCGACCAAGAAAAGAGCCGCGGCAGCTGCACCCACCGAGACGACAGAGGAGAAGAAGCCACAGTCGGAATTGACAAAGAAAAAGTATGAAGAGCGCAAAAAGGACGCCAAACTCGACCCCCTTCTCGAGACGCAGTTCGGTGCTGGTCGTTTGTATGCCGTCATTTCGAGCCGACCAGGCCAGGTTGGACGAGCAGATGGGTACATTCTCGAGGGCAAGGAGCTCGAGGTACGGTCTTCCACCTATTTTCGGATTGCGCTAACCCCTCCTAGTTTTACGTTCGTAAGCTCCGTGCTGGCAAGCACAAGTAGATTTACTATTTGCGTTCTTGTACTTTGGTCGTGCGAATTCAACTCTCAAGCTCGACGCGCATCGGATCCGTCCCATTTCATCAGGCTTGTATGATCCTTCGTATGCTATGTCATACACCTTTTTCCGACCAAGCGTGTTCACGCAGTAATTTTTTACTCTTCCATCTCGTCTCCCCCATCCTTGTTGGCACTCGCCGACCACTCTTTTGCCCATTTCGGGTACACGCGCTTGTACAGTGCCAGACAAACCGTGTCCATCTGCGTCACATTTCCATCGAAATGAGCCTTGAAGTATCCGTGCGTGCCTAAACTTTCGATGATATGACCCGTCCGTCCATATTTCGTGCTGAGTTGGACTGGCTTGAAATAGGCCACGTCGGCCGGATTGAAGAACATGTATCGCACCGTTACGCTGCGTTTGTGAATCTTGATTGGGTGGCCTGTGAGTAAGATGCGTTTGGCGATGATGCGTGATGTGCTTGGTGGGAGGAGTGTGCCGCTCGCGACCAAGATGGGGCTAGAGTGAGTCGAGTAGAGTTATTCGAGCTCAGATAGAGCGGAACTGGATAGACTCACATTGTGGATCGTCGGTTTCCTTGAGGAGCGTGACTGGAAGTCTTCCAAATGTCAACGGTCCGTAAATGGTCCCCACAGACGTGACACCCTCACGCAGGAATCGCTCAAACTTGTGTACATTGTTCGTACTCTTTGCACCCCCCGCAGGTGCTGACTGAACAGTGGATTCACAGCCAGTCGCCGGGGACCAACGCAGAGAATGAGCGAATCCTATTCAGGGAGAGAGAATGAGTTGAGATTGAAGGCACTTCGATAGTAGATGCGAACCTTTGAGCGCACAGGCTCGTTGTACTCCGAGTTGCGTTGGAGTGTAAAGTTGAGCACAGTCTTCTTGTGTTCATGTCGATACAAAGCATGGACGACGAGTGGTAGAGTCGGATCGTACGCGTCCATAAATGCCTGCGGCACGCCTTGAATCTCCAGTGTCACGTGTACCGGGCTATAGCGCTCGTATCAGCATACCAGTATCCTCAAATGTCATATTACGTACCTCTATACCATCTCCGGCGTCCCCGTGCATAATCTTCCGACTAACGCTATCCCACTCCTTTTCACCAACACGGAAAATCTTGGCATAGTCCCGTGGCAAGTTTTCGTTTGGATCCCAAGGACTGGTGCGGAACGATTTGAGTCCACGATATCGCGCGAAGCGTTGTCGGGCGGGTATGTCCATTGGCGTATCGATTTCGTCGGGGAATGCGAGATGCGTCGAGTGCTCCTTTTGACGTGCGCGCCATGATTCGAGTCTACAAGTGGTTAACGCAATGTAATGGGAGGAAAAAGAAACGTACTGTCGCTTCTCCTCTTCCATATCCATATCTTCAAATGCCACAGCACGGCTGCTTTTCTCCTCTACGACGTCTTCATACTCTTCATCGTCGTCGACCTTGGAAGCCATCTCGCTCGCCCCGTCGTTCATATCGACAGAGCCACCTCCATCTCGTTCGGTGCCTTCTTCATCATCCGGCTCGCTCGCGTCCTCGTCCACTTCCTCGTCTTCCAAGAGCCACGCAGCCTGATACGCACTCGTGCCCTTGGGAACCTCTTGACGACTTTTGGCGTCGTGCCCTCGTCGGCGTCGGGTAACCCATCCGTCCCGTCAATCGCACTTGCACCCTCACGCATATCTTCTTCAGTAGGCCACGTCTGCTCGTTTTGCATATCGTCCACCTCGTTAACGGAAACGAGGTCATCTTGCTGATCAACGTCGTCTCCTGCTCCTCCAGTCGACGGCTCGCTGAGCACCTTGGCTTCGACGTCCATTGTACCGTCTCCCTGTGGACCACGAGGATTGCGTGGTGTTGCGATTATACGCTTGAGTTGAAAGTCGCCCCATCCCGGTATATGGATGAGACGGTTTGCAGATATGGGCGCACCGCGCGCCACGCCAGTGACTTTGAGCACCCCTTTTGATCCAGTAGATTCTTCAGAGGTCGAAATAGTGTCAAGATCGTAGGAGAGAGCTTCGGAGACGAGATAACCTCGACCCATGCGCCATCGTACATCGTTCGGTTTGCCTTCACATAGCGAGCGCAAGGCAGTCGATGCTTCAGACGTTGAAGACAGGTCGAATACTCGGGTGAGCGTGGGAACAAAATATTGTACAAATGAGAGGAGAGATTTGATGACGGATTGGGCGGTCTTCATAGTCGACTTTCTCGACTTTTCTTCCATTGATGTATCATCATGTGTCTATATAGAATGAGACCAAGGCAATTCGAATCCAGTTCAAGTCTACCCACCGTCGGGACGACCGCTATTGCCTGAGGGAAACCTTGGGCTTGTAACGAGCGAAGCAGCATGTCACCCCAGGAATCTACTTCTGTCGATGCGGAAAGTCCAAGGATAATGTAGTCTGCGCCTTTTACTGCATCCAAAGTGGCGTACAGCTGCCCATATGGCAGGAGGAGGAACTGAAGGCTCGTACGGAACCGCTCCGCTCTATAGTACAGATGTAAGATGTATGCAGAAATACTTGATATATGCGCACCGTGCTCGCCAGATTCCTCGCTCAGGACAGTCCGCCGTAATCGACTCGGCATCCTCGCCCAGCCCTTTCAGCAATTTGAGGACTAGATCTCTCGCAGAAATATCCTTGCATAGTGGGACAACAGCAACAACGCGCGGGGTTCCATCTACGCCGTTGAAAAGTCTCGTCGCCTCGACCAAGCTCTGTCGTTTGGCCTTTTGAATCTGCTTTGCCTGGTTCCGTCGATTTAGTTTTGATTGCGCTTGGGACATGATGGGAGGGATGCGCGGATCTGCTCTTTTCACTACGCCTGCGCCAGCGACGCCGCTCGCTGCGTGATATTGTGGGACTCGGCCCTTGGCTTGTTCTTTTAGAGATCCCTTGGTTGCATGCTTTGACTTGAACGGCTTGTTTTTCTGCAATGTCAAATGTATGCGCGCATATGGTGAAAAAAGGATCACAAAAGTCGGAGATTAGTCAAAATCAAGTGAATGGCAAACAACAGACTTGTTTCAGAGTCGATCTGTGGTGATGAGTCGACATATCGTTTGTATCAGAGACACAGAGCCCGCGATTATATAACGGCCACTTGGAGTCCGGGTGGCGATTAGGTCAAAGTTTGTCCCAGGCTTGGACTCAACTCCGACGGCGTCAAGCGGGCTCATCTGCAGATTGGACTCAAATACGAGTTATTTGTTTATAATCTCGATCATTTTAGCATTCAATCAAGTCAGTGAGCAAGTCTGGCCTTTATTCACATCAACATTGTGTAGCCACGACTGATCAATGTGTATTCCAAAGGCCTTTTGCCGATTAAGCAGCGAGCACCTTTTCGGTAGTAACAACCCACGCCGCTCTCAGCTTTATCTTCTCTTCTTCCTTCATTCGCGATAGCAACTGCTCCGCCCTCTTGTTAGAGCAGCATGGAGGTGGCGTTCCGGCCAGCGAGATACAAGGTCCAGCTGCCATTGGTCATGGACCCTCTTCAGCATTTCCCCCAGCATATCAGCGCGGACATTGTTCATTTATCTCTCCCACACCCTCATGTCGGGCTTCCAGGTCTCTACATTGACCGCCTCCTGGATCTTACGACTGTCTCTCGCCACTGGGAACAATTTATTTTGTCAGAACCTCAACTTTGGACGACCTTGAACGCTGATAGCCGACTCGAGGATTCACTCTCCAAAATCGTGTTGGGTTGCTCCCTTTCCGCTAAACGAGCACTTACCGTACGAATTGATACCAAAACAACAGGAAGGGAACTAGAGAATATGCTACTGGCGTTAAAGCAGCATCGGGAGAGGATCGTAAACCTCGACCTGATTGCCGGCAAGTACGTACTGGATGGGGACCTTGATGCCTGCCTGCGTTCTTTGGAGGAGATAGTTGGATCCCTCCCAGCTCTGAAACGATTAGAGCTCGGCTCAACGAGCTCCGCGGACGAAGGAGCACAGTCCAAGATCCTTGCATATGCGAATATTCATCCCAAACTCGCATCTATAGATGGATTAGATATCAAGCCAACGCTTTTGAACACCAAGTGGCCGTTATCAATGAAGCGGGTGGTCGCATATGTGCATGTTTGCAAAGTTATTCCACACTTGCATCAAATCAGGAATGCAGAAAGCGCAACCTTTCATGAAAGTCACGAGACCTCCATTCCCTTACCTTTGGAGACACCTCCCCCAGTGCACTGGCACAACGTAGAGCTATTCGACTGCATCCCGGGCATCTCGCGACATCTCATTCCTTCCTTCTCGGCTGCACTAGTAAATTTCACGGTCACAATTGATTCATCAGAACTATCCGACCTCTTCTATCATCTTCATCCCGCCGCTCAGCTGCGACGCTTGCATATAATTCTGGCCATAACCGACTCTGTAGACAACCTCACACCAGACGATACATTCGCTCATCTTCTACAACTTACCACCCTCCAAATCCGGGTACACTCGTTTGACGATGAGCACTACCCAGGCTCCCTTGTCCGGCTACTGCGACTATTGGTATCCGCACTACCAAACGTTGCCCAACTTGATCTCTCTGGAGAACATGCAAACCGCTTGCTCCCGCTTTGTGCTTCTGTTGATGGTCTACCGAACCTCAAGATGGTAAATCTGACGGCTGCCATTGAGAGGCGCACCGTGGGATTAAAACTGTTACAACTTGCACCCTCTATAACACGACTCGAGGTTCAGGATGAATGTGATAGGTGGTCCCAACTTCGTTCGGGGAATGTCAGCGAATTGACGCTGAGGTGGATTCCACGCACTCCAGATGGTTCATCACGACCTTTCAAGTTGAAGTGGTGGCCAAACCTGGTAACGTTGCGCATCTCCAACAGCCTCAGGAGTCCCTTCTCAGGTATCCCTTTGTTCAACTAATCCATTGAATATAAAGCTGATACTACCTAGTACACGGAGAAAAGAGATTTACGACAATGAAGCACCTGACTACTCTGAATCTCACCTATGACCATCAAGAGATGGAATACGCAAGTACTGTGACGCCATGGATGGTTGCTGCTGTGGAGTACGCCAGGTCTCTACCATGTTTGGAGAACTGGGTATTAGATGCGCATATCGAATGGGACATCTTCTTCATCATGCTCGAAGCACGCAACAGTACCAAATCACCATTGATCAAATCAAATGTACGGCCCATTAAGTCTGTCAAGTTCACTTCAACAGCTCCATTCAAGCACCTCTGTCTTGTACTAGATATTCTCGCCGGATGGCGGGTGGAGAGGCCATCAAATCTAGAGTTATCGTGGCGCGGAAACTTGGATGGACTACTGGATACCAATGTGCAAGTGTTGTTTCTCCTCAATTCTCCTCGCATTCTCATTCACACTAGGTCTGGTTGCATGTTTTGTCACCGGTCTCTGATCTACTGTCGGTATCCATCGATTGGCTCATCGCGGAGCCTGACGACTGAACCCCGTGTGGTCACTGGCACTTCTTCACGGCATCCTACTCTACCTAAGCTGAGCCCATACCCAGACGATGACCTCGAAGTACTTCGGACGTGGAGAACGCGGGAGGATGAGTGGCAGCGAGTGAAATCGAAGCTATCTTCGAGTATGAGAGCCAAGGTATGCAGGAATTGGTACACTGAAAACGTCAACATTCCGAGTGCTGTCACAATCACTGCTGAAGGTGTCAGATACACGTATGTTTACTTTGTGGCCCGTCTTACGTCGTGCTTACAATCGGCAGATACGATGACCCATAGATATGGTATTGAAATGTAATCAAGATCTCAATCTACTCGCGTATATGGATTTCTTCTATAGCAGTTTTTCACTTTCAATCCACGACGGCCCCACAGACTCCGTCTCCGGGTGAAAATGCGGGTTTTGAATGGCGAGTTTCCTCCTCAACTTAAGTCGCCCAGCTCACCGGAGTCATGACTGCCCTGATAGGCACCACATCACCAGCAGGCTGCCCTTCAAATGGGTTCGAGAAAGTAGTCAATTTTTCATAGGTTTCTCCTATATTCCCGGTTCGATGTGCCAATTTAGCTCGGAAGCGTCAGGGATACACAATAGAGCACAAGAGAGCGCCGTCTTCTCATGGACATTCGGCATATAGAGTATTCAAATCTCGGAATGTTCGATCAATTGCGAGGCTACGACTCGTAACGTACAAAGGTATCGCCAAATCGCTTCGCATTTGCGTTGAACTAGAGATAGATGTTCAACTTGCCTACCGTAGACGCCAAAATGTCACACTCATCACGAGTTATGCCAGTACACGACGAGAGTGTAAGCTCGCCGAGAGACTTGAATCGCAATGACGTGGAAACTGAGGGCGCATCGATATCCCGCGGGTAGCGCTCCTCTGAAGTCAGAATTTCCTCAATGTCTACTTTTTCGCCATTGGCTTTGGCGAGACAAGAGATGAGTGCAGGCCCGTCCAGGTGGCACCTGTTGAAGATGACGTGGTGAAGGGACGAAGGTACACCAAGTAGTCGTTCCAAAGTAGAAACACAGCCCATGTCCGTGAATCGTGACTTCCACTCAGTGAATGTCACCTCTTCCACTGTGTGAAGCTTTGGGACCAACGCTTTAATCAGATAGTCGACCACAGTGGGCGGCGAGTTGGACTGGGGACTGCTCGGTGATTGCTGCACCTCGGTTGCATCGATGGTAGGCTCTTCTGTGGGATACAACGTCACATGCTTCAAATTTGGCGTCATTAAACGCTCGATCATTGAATAATCGTGCGGCGTTACCCCGAGATGACGAAGATCCGGCAATGGTGGTACGAAACCAGAACCAAATGAAATGGTATTGGTACCATTATGGCGAATTATGAGCTCTTCGAGATTCGCATGGAGCAATATTGATATATCGGAGGGGTTGAATTGGTCAAAATGGAAAGCCAATCGCCTCAAATGCGGCATGGATATGGAAGTTGCGCCTGTAAACCAGACGTCTTCCATCTTCAACTCTTCTACCGAGCTTAGCATTTTGAGGAAGGAAGCCAACTCTCCTCCTAAGTCAGTCGAGTTGCCGCGAATGACGACATTGTGAAAATTTGCTAATGGCAGATGGGAGTAATTATCAAAACTCAGCTGGCTTGTCACTTTGAAATGGACTGAGGAGATATGGAGCATCTCATCTGCGGGAACTTGCACAAGTCTACGAGTGCGACCAAACCTAGGACCCACATAGGCCCGCCCGGTTTGTGAGCTTTGACGTGCTTGGATACTCCAGGTTGGCAGGTTTTCGGCGAGAAAATGATAGCGTATGGCATTATTTCCTCCACCAGCTCTCCTTGACTGCATAAATATGTTGAGAAGTGATTGGGGCCACCAAGTGAATGGGTAAAGGTCGCATCGTTTCCACAGTTTTGGTGTACCGTGAACTATTTGGCGCCATTTACTGCACACGTGACCAAGGACCAACGGGGAGGGAAGGGAGAGGTGGGTGGTTGCGAGGTCCCGATCTTTGATCCAGTACTCAAAGATCTTCACCCAGATCTCGGGTGGGACTATCCGCACAGGTGAGAGGAGTACTTTGGCTCCATTGAGTACGTCCTCCACCGAGGCGTAATAGGCCTCAATGTGCGCGAGATGGCCTCTGTGGAATGCAAGCTCGAAGTTCCACTCGCGCAATTCCAGTTCCAAATTGAAGATAACATCTTTGAGTTGATTTCCCTAACGATCCATTTACGGCCCTGGTCCGCGAGCTCCTCTGCTGAATTTATGCTTCCAACGAGACGCGCGGCAGTTTGGCAGATTTCAGGCGCGGGATGTCCATTCTTGGATGCCGCGATTGTATTGGACACTAGGTCTAAACCTGTTATACTGTTGGTGATGGCCGCCAAAGACTGTCGACTCTTCTCCAGTACGTCCACCGCATGACGCGTATGATTGATTGTGTTGTGGAGGATGGATACTGATCTATCGATCTCTACTATCTGATCCCTCGTCCTCTGGATCTGCTCCCAAGCCAATTGCAGCTCTTCTTTTTTCGCAGCCGTCAGGCGAGCGAGACGAGCATGACCACGGTCGGTGAGAGGGTCATTCGTGATAGATCTATGCATAATTAGTCACAATATAGGGCCAAATGAACGCGTACTCGGCTTTCATCGTTTGTGACGTGGTTATCTGGAATCCGATTCGATTAGGTGAGGGTATAGAAACTTCTTCGTATAGTGTGGGGGCTGATTGCGCTTTCTTATTCGCAGGGGTTTGCTGCATAATGCGAGTGGTTGGAGAATAAGTGGGCTCACTTTGCTTGATGGGTCATAGGCGCTGGAACAGCGACAAATACAAGAGCAAGGAGCATTATTGTCATATATATACGTTTAATGTTGTCACCTGCGACGCCAACGTATCGCAGTCGTCTTGCGTCAGATAAGTACACGACGAAAAAGCTAGCTCTTGAAGCGTCTTTGCTCTGTAAGCCATATACCGAAAGATGGAGGTTAGAGCACGACCATCAACTCTGCATCCATCGAAGCGCACCCGTTCAAGAGATGGGCAGTCACTGACCAATCGTCCAAGTGTGGAGACGCAATCTCCGCTTGTTGAACTATCGCTCCAATCCGAGAATATAAGTGTCTCTATCTTCTCTAGGTGTGGTTTGAGGGCAGTCGCAAGCATATCGAGAGACGTGGGTGAAGTTTCGGCAGAGCTGAAAGTCGGATTCTGTGGTGGGTAGAGGGTCAACTTCTCCAATCTAGGTACCTTCATGCGAGTGACAAGAAAATTCTCGAAAGGAGTAATAGCGAGAGAAATTAAACGCGGTAAATGCAGTGGGTCACCAGACAGGCACGCCCCATTTGGATCACTGCAGCAAATATCAAGCACTTTTAGGGCCGTGGAGAGGAAAGGTAAGATGTTGAACAACCTGACGCCGTCAGTGCGGACGCACAAACGCACGAGTTCCGGTATCACTCTTCGATCCACTTTTAAGGTCGGGACGTTCTCCAGCGTCAGATCTTCTAGTGCGGGTAATCGCCTGAGAACTGTGATTGCGTATACTACGGTGCAGCCAGATGATCCATAAATTACTACGGTTCTGACATTCACCATGGGAAAATAGTAGAGATCGCCAAGGCCGTATGTACGCCCGAGACGAAAGTAAACTGACGTAATCTCCTTCCTAAGACTCGATGGTAATTGGACAAGGTCGTGCCGTTGAGATGGAACTGTGTGTTCGAAGTGCCTGGGAAAGGCCAAACCTCGAGCTTGAGCGTCCCATCTAGGTGGATCATTTTCGGAAAGATGGTAACGGATTGTACTGCTCTTGCTCACAGCTGCTTGGATTGCTTCAACCCTTTCTACGATTGCGCGTGGCCACCAGGTAAACGGGTATAGGTCTACCCTTTTCCACAAAGACGAAGTATTGAGCGCAATATGGCGCTACCTGCGGCAAACTTGGCCAAGGATAAGTGGGGATGGAAGGTCAAGGCGACTGTTTCTCTGATCGCGATCCGTAATCCAATAGCGGAAGATTGTGATCCACAGCTCCGCAGGAAATGTACCTACAAGAGTCGGAGGGAGGCTTGAACAGTAACTGGCTTACAGGTCAGCTCGTAACATTGTACCTAGGAGATATGACATACGACTCGGAGTTTGACTGCACGAGGTCATTAGAACTGAGCATTCTAGGAAGTATATAGGGTGCGACCTTTCAAGTAGAATTGTTGAACGGATTGTGTGTGACCAGGTGGTCGGGTTCAACCTAGATTCGACCACAAAGTATGCCAAGCATACGACCAGTTTTTGTGTGTGGAATGAATAACGATGAAAGGTGACACGCTTTATTAGTCATACAGGGAAAGAAGCTACCAAAGGGCTTCGAAGGGCCATAAAGTGACGAGGTGAACCCACCCATCCTGTTAACCTTGCAATCGCTCATGCATTTTCGCTCTTGTCACCCTTTCACAACGTGTATAGTATGCCGCTATTCACGTGGCTCGGATAAATCAACTGACTCTGACCTGTTCCACGGACATTGCATTCGCCCGGCCCTAATTTGAGCGAGTATATGCCACTAAGCCAGCATATTTGGTGCTATAACCAGACTTATCTTGACCAGGCAATTTATTCCTTCCCATCTTCCGCGTGAAACCAACGATAGTTTCACCTTTCAACCTGGGGAGCGTTGCATTCAGCGGCCCTAATGAATACCTAACGTATCGTTCTATTGGCCATGATGTCTCAACCAATATGGCTAGATTATAAAGGCGGCCTGATCTTTCTCCTTTGTTCGTTCATGCCTCTCAGAAGTAGCTTTGTACGAGAAGTTCAATTCGAGTTGATTCATACTCCACGCTAAACTACACATAGATGTTCAGCTTGCCTACTGTCGACGCCAATATGTCGCACTCGTTCCGTGTCACACCAGTACAGGAGGATATCGTAAGTTCGGTGACTGACTTCAAATTGGACGTGACAGGGAGTGGAGGAGAATTGGTGTCGTTACTCTTGGGTAGATTGGTCATCAATAGCTCCTCCATATCGACCTTCTCGCCGTTGGCTTTGGCAAGTAGAGAGATGAGCGCGACCGGGTCGAGATGGCATCCCTCCAAGCGGACGTGTCGGGGAGACGAGGCACTGAGCATGCTTTTGAGTACGTCGAGGTAGTCTGCAGTTAATGACGGCTTTGGCCATTCGCAGAATGTCACCTCCTCTACTTTCTGAAGTCTTGGTAGAAATGCAACGACGAAGGACTCGACGACACTACCTGTCGAATCAGGTCTGCTTGCCTCCGCAGCTGAAGTCGAGTTTGGAGGGTAAATCTTGACCTGCTTCAGGTTTGGCGTCATGAGGTGGGAAAGTAACGAATGCTCATGTGGGGTAACCGCGAGCTTCCGTAGGTTTGTCAGAAGGGCTGAATTGGTAGAGCACATGATCGAGGAATGTGCGTCGGCATGACGAATATCGAGCTCTTGAAGTGAAGGCTCGAGTAAGGCGGAAATGTTAAATGATTCGAACCGGTTGATTCGCAAACGGAGACATTTCAACTTCGGCATTGAGACGGAGGAAGTACTTGTGAGCCAAACATTCTCCATAACCAACTCCTCCGCAGACACGCACAGAGTCAGCAGCGCGGCCAAGTCGTGGTCTCGTGGTGCGGAATTCCCACAGAGGGTAAGTTTTTTGGTAGAGTTGACCGAGAGCGTAGGGACAGTGAGGGGAGCGCTAGGGCTTAGGTAAAGCCGCAGACGGGGAAGATTTGCGAGTTTCCCTTTGCTTTGGGCCAGATCACGCCGTACCGACTGATAATATTCAGGGTAAAATGACCCATTGAAACTAAGATCCTGGGCTTCATCTCCCCAATAAGCTCGGAACTGATCAAAGAACACGTAGTCCAATGACTGCCCGCTGCCCGCAATTTGTGCCAGAGTGACGATGTCAAGCAAAGACTGCGGCCAGAAATCAAATGGATGAATATCAACCCGCCTCCATAGGCTTGGCGTACTGAGACAGATTTGGCGCCACACGCTACAAACGTGGCCGAGCAGAAGTGGAGAAGGAAGGTTATGATGGCTGGCTACAAGGTCACGATCATGGACCCAGTAGTCAAATATTTTGGCCCAGACTTCGGTTGGCGTTCTCCGAATTGGGGACATAACGGCGGAGGTGGTATTGATAATCTCCATTAACGAGTGGTGGTAGTCTTCGAGCTGTGAGAGGTGGCCACTGTCAAGCGCATGTTCCAAGCGCCAGTCCAGCAGCTCCTTCTGCATTTCTACTATCATTGCCTTCATCTTCGCGGCGTTGGTAGACCACTCAGACATCAGGGTGCCGAAGGCCTCGAATTCGTCTGATGAACTATTTCCAACAAGGCGAGCTATAGCTTCACACATGTCAAAGCTTTTAAGCCCAGTAGCCGACGCAAGTATTGTTTTCGGAATGTCGTCAAGACACGAGGTCTCGTTTCTAATCGTTTTGATTGATTCCGAGCACTTCTCCATTAGACTCGCAGCATGGCTGCTGCGACTAATCGTCGCTTCTAAGTTCAAAATTTCCGCGTTGCTATTCTCGATGGCCTTTTTGGTTGCCGCAATTTCGCCCTCGACCAGTCTAAGGCTCTCCTTTCTCGCAGTGGCCAAGTGATTGAGACGTTCTTGGCCGCGAAAAGTTGGAAGGAGGTTCCAACGATAGCTTTATAGTACGTTGAGTTAATTTATACGTCTGAAATGACACGTACCAGTCTGGGATTGCTACTGTGCTTGGGACTTGGATCGGTATCTCCACTTGCGCTTGTGATATGCCATGCATCAGGAGTCCATGATCTGGTTCTGCCACCTTTTTACCCGTCTTTTTCTTCTTTGTAGACGATTGCAGCATATTGAAGTGGTCGGAGAACAAGTGGGCTGATGGAGCCTGACCATCGATAGACGCTAGCACAGCATAAAAGGGGGCAGTACATTCTCAAGGTATATACATATTCTTTTTACATGTATACATTTAATTTCGTCACACGCGATGCCAATGCATCGCAGTCCACACGCGTTAGCTTTGTGCAAAAAGAAAGCGTTAGCTCGTTGAGCGACTTTCTTTCTTGACCGATATCTTCCAAGGTACACACTAGAGCATGGCCGTCGACACCGCATCTATCAAAGTGCACATGTATGAGGGCGGGACTAGTACCAACCAGTCGCCCGAGCATATAGATGCAGTCCATCTCTAGTAGATACCCCTGCCAATATAAGAATGAGAGAGTTTCAACCTTTTCTAGATGTGATCCCAGTGCAGTAACAAGTGAGTTGAGAATCGTGAGCGAAATATCAAGCATATGTACTGGCGATCTGATGTTCGGATTCTGTCCCGAGTAGAGCGTTAGTCTTTTCAACTTGGGCATCTTCATTTGAGCAATGAGGGCATGTTCGAAAGGAGTGATAGCGAGCTCGAGTAGCTGCGGGAAATGCAATATCACACCAGAGAGACCGGTTGTACTAGAATCAGTACACCAGATATCGAGTACTCGGAGGGAAGTGGAGAGAAGGGGCAAGATACTGGACGGCCTGATAAAGGGAGAGTGAACGCGCAAGCGCGCGAGCTCCCGGGTCGTTAATTTATCCAAATGTGATGTCGGAATATTTTCGAGGGTCAAGTCCTTCAGTGCGGGTAAGTTATCGATGAGAATTTTTACATTGGATCCGCTGTAGCCATAATGCCCAGAAATTGTAACCTTATTGGCGCTTGTCATTGGAAGAGTGGCATATAGGTCGCAACTTTGTCTTTGGGTGAGCTGGAAGCAGACCGAGGTGAGGCCCTTTAGAATGGCTTCGGGCGACGGGTTGAGGAAACGGTGAGATGAGTAAATGGGGTCCAGACGGCGATTAAAGTGACACATGCGAGCTTGGTCACCCCAGAACGGCGAGTTAGAGTCGAAAAAGTGATACGTTATCCTGGTGCGAGTACCCAACGCTTCCTGAATTGCTCTGATGTTATCTAAGATGGCGTTTGGCCACCAGGTAAACGGGTAGAGGTCAATTCGTGTCCATAAGGGTGATGTATTGAGGACAAGGTGGCGCCATTTGCGACACACTTGGCCAAGGACGAGTGGGGATGGAAGGTCATGGTGGGTATTAATTTGATCGCGGTGTATAACCCAATACTTGAATATTGTAATCAGTAGTTCCGAAGGAATCTTTTGTACAGGGGAGCTCGAACGGGAGTCAATTGGGAGATCTACAACTTCTAGATAAAAGTACCAACCGCTTAGAAGTTGATTTTACGATGCCATCAGGACTGAGCATTCTGAGAAAGATGCACTTGGTCACTTGTCTGAGTACAGTCTTTGGACGGAGAGCCTAAAGGTGGAGTCCAACCTGGATTCGACCATGTCCGCCGCAAAATATGCCAACCTTCCAGACATCGTACGGCCAGTTTACTTCGCGAGAACGGCTATTGATGGAGAATGACGCGCTTTGTTCCTCACACGACGCGTTTTGTACAGGATACCGCACAAGATGTCTACGAAACGGCGGATCCAGAAGCGTTGACGCAGACCAGAGTATGTAGATGGCCTCACTGTCATCTCGTATTCCTTAGAGTATATTGTAATTGCTGATGCTCTGCTACCCTACAGGACGCCGGATCAGACGACGAATCAAAGCAAAAGACGGCGGCAGAGGGTCCAAGTACAGAGGAATTGGATCCAAGCAGTCTTCTGTCAGCAAAAGAAGCTCACAAGGTGTTCCGAAAGGCTGAAAAGCGACGAGGTGAGCCAGCTCGTCCCGGTAACTTTGCATTCGCTGATACATTCTTGTCTTTGTTGTCTATCACAGCACGCGCAGTATACAGCTATCCACGTGGCTCGGATGAATCATCGGACTCTGATTCTGTTCCGCCGACATTGCGTTCGCGCGGCAAACACTCGTCTCAATTCGAGCGACTACTCGCTATCAAGCAGGAGCTCGCAGCGCTAGAAGCGGAGCTATCTCGGCCGGGAGGAGCGTCTTCACCTCCTGAAGGATCAGTGACGAGTCCAACCCGCAAAAAGGCGGCAAACGGCAAGTCAAAGGCGAACGAGGACCCGACGGAACTCTTAAAAGGCGTCCATGATGTACGCGTGAGACTCGAGAGAATAGGCAGCGGCAAGGATAATCGTGAACGCTTACTCGAAGCTGTCGTCAACGGGAACATTAAACGACCAGCTTCGCCACCTCACAGTCACACCCTCTCTCATAGCCATACCAACATTCTCGGAAATCCACTCTCACCCCAACTTCATTCACCCGGGCTACACCGACGAGAAGGAAGCTTGCACCGACGCGAGGGGAGTTTCAGCGGCAGCCAAAATGTCGGAGCTAAGGAAGAAGTAGACCCCGGGATCACAAAACTCGATTCACGCGTCGGCGAGTTGGAGCGACTCGTTGGGAGTGGGAGTGCAGCGCTAGACGAAACCACGCCCCTCCCTCCACCATTACTCCCCATGCTCACAAGACTCAACACGCAGCTGACAATCCTCACACAACCACGTACTATCGATTCGATCTCGCGGAGACTAAAGTTGTTGTTGACAGACATGGACCGCGTCGTCGCGCAGAACCCCGCCGCGGCCTCGACTGCACAAGGAGGTGGAGCGAACAAGGGTACAGGTGCAGCTGGATCTGGAGCAACTACATCGGCGATTCAAGAGCAAATCACTCCAATTCTCCAGCGACTCGCTCCACATCTCCCGACTCTCCCACATATCCTAGCTCGCCTAAAGACACTCTCCACCCTTCATGCGGCTGCAGCGGATTTCCAGCGTGGTGTGGAACAGGTATGTTCTGTCCTCTCTTCCATTCTTGCTTCTTATGATTACATAGCTAGAGGCGCAGCAAGCGCGGAATCGATCATCGCTCAATGATCTCGACGCGGCTGTCAAGGCACTCGAGAAGAGCATGCAAGACAATGCTGAAGTGGAAAAAGGAAATGTCAGCAAGCTCGAAGCGAATGTCCAGCAGCTGCTCCAACGACTAGAGCGCTTAGAGCACCCATAAATCGTGTATATACCGTTGGGAATGACCTTATGTCCCTCAATTTGAGGGCCACACTGAGCCGGGTGCATCTTATTTCGACAAAGGACTGAGAAAGACTGAATTTCAAGAAATGGAGTTGCCTCTCGACTCTACTACTTCAAACCGCTGCGCTCTCAATATCGGAGCCACGAATTGAGCAAGAAAAAGAACAAGAATGACGGCAAGGTGACCATCATGCAATCGCGAAACAACCTAGATGCGAAAGATCCATTGCCAGCTCGTCCGAGTATGAACGCCTTTGCTACTCGCTTCAAGACTTGCAAAATTCTCTTGATGGAGACCGCACGAGCGCGTTGCGTGAGGTCGAAACGATGGTCGCCTACGTATTTCCACCCTGGGTGATTTAGACGACCATGCTGCTCTCTTTCCATTCTCTTCTCCCTCTCACGACGACTCTCACCTCTTCCAGTGACAATGTACCAGGCCCTTCCAGCCAGTGTGGTCACTGTACGATGCCACCGGGAAACCGCCGTCTGATTGTTATTGCCTGTAGATTTCCGCTTGTTCGAAACACCGAGTACCGTTCCTTTCTCCTCGTCTTCTTCAGAATCGTCAAGAGTTGCTGGGAGAACTTGGCTCGGGAGAAGGCTCGACAGCGGAGAACTCGTTTGAGAGGTGGGCACGTACAGTTGCGACGAGGTAGCAGTGTCGGATTGGGATATCGCTGGCTTGGGTGTTCGTGGTGTGAAAGGCCGGATCGTTGCTTGTGAGTCGTATAGCTCTCCTTCGTCTTCTTCCTCGATTACCTCGTAGATCTTAGGTGACTCGACCTTGGGAGGCTGATAGAAACCAAGGGCAGAAAGCATTTTCGACCAGTCTACATTGCTTCCGACAGGATTGCGAGGGAGTCTTGGCCGTGTCCCCCGTGGGATGTGAACGGCTCGAAGGTTCACTATTATGAGAAGTAAAAGGGTTAGTAGGATGGACACAGGGTAAATGTAGAAATAGACCATGTAAAGGTCGGGAAGGAGGCAAGGCCGTTCGGAAAACGTTGGTAGATCGTTCACTTGGGCAAGGCGATAGTCTACTGGCGAGTGTCTATGCGGAACTGCCGTGTCTTGTATTGGATTCCACAGACTGAGGAGCTGGAATCCCGGTCTTCGTACGCCCATAAAGAACGGTGAAAACGTAGTGACAGTGATTTCTTTGGCTTTGCGTATGATATTGCGCTCGTGATTTGAGTTTCCGATGAACGACTCATTGAGTGGTCTGTCTACGGCCACTCTCAGGGGTGACGAGAGAGGTGCGTCAATGTCGGCGAGGTAGCTGTGCACATATTCGCAGTGATCGAGATGATTGGCGCTGAAGATGACCTCTGGCTTCAGATTCCCCAGGATCCACTCTGAACCAGCTTCACTGAGCATGTTCTGATAGCCGAGTCCGACTCCCTTCCGAATTCCAGGGCGGCGGCCCCCACAACGCGCATCGTCGGGTCTTGCCAGTGGGATATGGGAGAAAAGGATGAGCGGGAAAGAGTGAACATTGTCCATTCTCCCTTTAGTAGCAAAGTCAGGAAAACTTTAGAGAGTTCATAGACTACCTACTTTGTGTCAATTTATGAACATACTCCATGACACCGTTCCGCTGTGGAGCCCAGAAGTCCGCGTCGTTGACACTCCCGCGAATTCCTTGAGCGGTCGGTCGACGAAAGCTTTCCACAGACGCATGCGATCCAAGTCTCTTTTGGGCTTTGATTCGAATATAGTCTTCATCGACGAACCCAGGAGCATCGAGGAGAAAGAAGGTATGATTTCCAAAGTCAACGGCACGATTAGCAGCGACGAAGGAAGGAGATCCAGTGTTCATGGCTTCTATAAATCTCTGTCGAGCACGGCGTGAATATGGTGTCGGGTAGCCTAAGCCGACATCGTGATTCCCAATAAGGTGCCATATTGGCGTGTCTTCCGATACTGAGGGCTTACGAAAAACATCGAAGAACCTGTCTGTCAATGATTCGAGCCTGCCAGGGCGGAGCGTTAGTTTACTTTACCCCGTTGAGGAGATACCTACTCGGTTTCGCGAGAAAGATGCCCTCCAGAGATGACGTTTCCAAGAAATATAATGCCTTGTGGATTGAATGTCTTGCAGAGAAATGCAAAACCTCGCGACATGGCGTGGCCAGTGAGCGTTCGTGCGGCAGACCTGAGCCATGGCGAGACGCTCGAGGGCGAACTACTATCGAAAATGTTGACATCTGAAAGTAGGAGAAGATGAGATGGACTCGGGATGGTCGTTGCCTGCCGCTTCATCAGTAAGTCGAACCAGTGTTGTCGAAAATTACGTGCCTGCGGCCCTCTATTTCGCACTGAGGGATTCAAAAGGGTCCAAGTTTCATCTGGCCACTTGCATTCGCGTAGACTCCAGTACCATAGACCCATCTCGAGCCATAGGATCAACAAAATCCAACTCATTCGGGAACCCTGAACGACCTTGGAGTGCCAGTGAGGATAAATTGACATTCCCATCTTGAATAAAGTTGATTATATACGCGAAAAAGGAGGGTGGGATCAGCAAATCGCGCGATGAACTGCGACGCTGTGGCGAGGTCGCACTGCAGAGTGCAGTATCTATCCCGTTATGGTAGGATATACTCGAAAGAATTAGCTCAGATACTGGGCGTAGCGTAATAATGCGTGCCGTGACAAGCGATAAATACTCTGCAGCGGCTGGGTCGAAGGTTCATGTCCGAGCTTTGATGCCGGTATCTTCTTGCACCCGCGCTATGGAATCGAAATAACACCGAGGCAGGGATTCCTTTTCTTTTCTTGCAGCGAGATGACATGGAGGCTCATGTAAGAGGCGACAGCATCCTTCAGATTCCTCATCAATTAAGTCCACCAGGTGAAAATACGCATGTTAAAAACTAGCCAATGGTCTATATATTTAAATATACCTGACTTTCCCGACCATCATTGATATTTCCGCCAGATCTCCAGCGGACATGCCGTGACATTCCTCAAACACCAGCTCGTCAAGGAGCTGCTCCCCATGACTATCACTATACTGGAGACGGAAATTCTCGAGCAAGCGGGGGCCGTAAACATAGCTCCAGCGGCATGTCACGACCCTAAGATAGGGAAGACGAGGCCTTAGTGTGGCTAGGACCGGCGGAATGGAGCTCCAAGTGCAGTCCCTTGTATATTTTTCCGACCAGGTATGAAACTCCATTCTCCTTACACTCTGAAGGAGCATTTGGAGGCGCAAAGTTTGCCGCTCGTCAGAGTTCCCAAAGTTAAGGCGCCCCGTCGCTGGGAAGAATATGACGGTTTCCAGAGCTGGAAGTTTAAGCTTGGCGACGAGGAAATCGTGCAATGGTGTAATACCCAACGTTGTTATATTGGACATGGTGATATATTCTGATGGGCCGTGGTAGTACTCTTGCAAACTGAATCTGGTGTCGATTTTCCGCGAGTATATTCTAAGGTCCTTAATATTTGGCCATAATACTGTCTCTAGGTCCATACCACTCTGCGTAGGTATGAGGTCTAGGTGAAGGGTGGTGATGGTTGAACCGTCGATTTCTGTGGGATGATAATATGGAGTGACATTGACAAGGGTTAATACTCTGGGAGAAAGTTGGCTGATAGCCGCAGCAACGCTCTTGGGGATTTGTCCTCTTTTCGGCCAATGCACAGTGACATGTCTGATGCTCCCGCCCTCATCACACAGACGAAGAATTTGCCGTAGCGGGAATAGCCTTTTGGTGAAATGCAGTGGCAACGGCTTTGTATTGTCGACATCTCGTAGGAGAAGATAGACGTCGACTTCCTCGGAGGCGTCGATGCCTGGAGGAAACTTTGCATCTACCCGAGCGGCATTTCCGGTATCAGTGATATCTAGGATAATCCTTCCTTGTCGAAGGCGGATCTGATCCTCCATCTTGTTGGAGCAGAGCCGGAGTGCATGCTGAACACGTTCTGCCTCCCGCCTTGTCCACTGTGGATACGCTGGTATCTCGATGACCTGAGATAGGCTGGGAAATGAATAGTAGAGGGAACGCCAGGTGCGACAGACTTGAGAGATAGAGAAAAAGGGTGGCACGAAGGGTGGCTTTGCATTGAGGGGAGCATTGACGAAGATTTCCAAGGCATCTTTGACACATAGTTCAAAGGTGGCAAGAAGTATATCGTCAGGGAGCTGGTTGATGTCCCCGCTGTAATTCTTCTTGTTGAAAACCCACTTTACGACGGAAAACATGGCCAATTCCAAGTTTCAGTCAAGTTGCCGGGATCTTTTATAACATTTCTTCCTGCCAGAGCAGTGGTACCCGCGCGCTTCAACACAGCCTGTAGCGCCGTTATCAAAAGGCGATGCCACCGCGTGGATAATTGAGCTCCTCCACGAATAGGTTCTCCTGCAGAATCCGGTGGATATGGTGGAAATAAGTACACAAAGGAGGTCTTTGCGTATTTGAGATAGCCACCAATGGCTGGGCGCAGCCGGTCGACGTCAGCTCCAAGATAGAGATAGCGTAACGTCATGTCGCCGCACTTTCAGTAGAACGAGCTCTTATCTATTCGCTTCAGTTAGTGGTAATGTAGGCCGTTGCCGTGCAAAGCCGCGGGCCCAAGTGACAAGGTTGAACCCGAGCCCGACCACACGTCTATCCAACCTTTTAATCGGGCGGCATCAGAAACTTGTTAAAAACGTTTCAATGGATCCAGTCGAACTATTGCCACCAGAGGTTTCCTCGGAAATCCTTGCATACGCCGCTCTTGCGAATCCCGGCCCTGAGGGGCTGCCCGAGGTCGTTTCTGTGGATCTATTGCTTGATTTTACACTTATTTCACACACTTGGCAAGCATTGATGATAACCACTCCGGGATTGTGGGCCGACGTTGTCATTTCTCTCCATAAACACGACCCAGCTGCCAAGATTGCAATACAATGCGAGCTGTCTAGGGAATATCCTTTGTCACTTACCATCATAGCGGACTCTGCTGCGGCAATAGAAGCGTTTCTACCTCTGCTCGGTGACCATTGGCGACGTGTACAAGAGCTCGTTGTAGAATTGAAGAAATATTAGAGGTACTGATGCGCGCACTAGGTCCTTTACCCAGCTTGACATCATTACAAATACGATCGCTCGAATTGTTTGAGCAGGCGGTAAACAAAGCAACAAGAGCGTTCATCGACCAGCACCCGAAGCTAAAGGACATCAGAGGTGTACGTCTTGATCGCGGCCTCATTACATCAACCTGGCTACATTGCTTAAAAACCATCTATGTGCATAATATCCCGCTGGATGCACTGAGCCCATACCTCGATGCCCTTTCTAGTGCCAAGAAAGTGACATTCTGTCATTCCAGGAGAGGAACTCGAGCGCCAGAATCGCGTCGTCCGCCGTCGCCTCGACTGGCTACAATACCTCGCTTACCGTGGACTGACCTGCAAGTGCTTGATTATCATACTACCCGCATTTTTTGGAAGAACCTGGACATACTAGTGCCCGCTCTTGCACACACTCTTACAGTACTCTCCTGTGAAATCAACTTTGATATATTGAGTAGACTACTTTCGCATCTGCCAGAGTTTATCTGCCTCGTAGAGCTCAACCTATCGTTATTCCCGGGCGGAATGTTGCGAGGAGAGGATAGGGCCATTAAATCAAGTCTAGTACAAAGGCTCACCATCTCTATGAGAGACGACGACGACAAATCCTTTGCATATGAGCATTTTTCTGCTTTACTATGGGTGATGGAGACACGGTTCCCAAACGCGACCTACCTGCGTCTGTCTGGGCCAGCGCAGCGGACACTCGCACCTCGTATTAGCAAAGGCTCCTTACCAAGGCTGCACAAGCTCTCTCTTACGACATCACGGGACGGAAATCGACCAGATTTTGGTTTATTGTCAACCATAAAAGTGCTAGAGCTCCAAGGTGAACCTTGGGATCTGGCGGTATATCAATCAGGCAGTATCAGGGAGTTGGAGATAACAGAAAACCCTCTTCAGAGGATTTACAACAAGGACTTAGGTTCACCTGGCATCCTTTGGCCGCGTCTATCCCGACTTTGTTTGTCAGGATGTCGGCGTATCAATTGGATGGGCCCCAAGATGAACAACCTAAGCTCAATAGCCTTGACCATAGGTGGGGCCCCAGGACGCACATATCAGGCCACCGAGCTCCTTTATATCCTTGGACTTCATCCCGGCACATTTCCCAGCCTCAAAAAGCTGGAATTAGTGCCCATCGTAGAGTGGGACATGCTCTTTTGCTGCTTGGAGGAGTATGGCGCTCAAATGAAGGAGTCGCGTTCTCACCTCGAGACCATTGTTTTCAATGGTGAGGTACCTTTTGGGTTCCCTGAACTCATTTCGAGGATTCTACGTGGGCAAAAGGTTGAGCGTCCGTCAAACCACGACCTCTCATGGGTGGGTAATCTAGAGCCGTTCCGTGATCCTAATGTGTAAGCAGTTCAGTACCTTTCACACATTTCTGACACCTTGATAGGGATGGTTGTTTACAATGCCTTAAATCTCTCTACTACTCCTGCCCAACGCGCGTGCAAGCGAAGCAGCATCTTGACTATTCCGGTCAACCCACCATCGCCTTTTCAGATGACAGTCATTATGTAATCGTTACGTGGTATGCACGCGAACAAGAGTGGAATCGTTATATACGAGTGCACTCTGGACGCCGCCTGCATTGTGACTCGAATTTTTCAACCAAGGTGACGATTACTGCTCATGGATATTACGTTGCCGCGCGTTGAAAGAAATAGACAATTCTGAAGTATACAAATGTACGAGGAGCAGTCCCTGCTTGTGAAATGCGGAATTCTTGGCTTTCAGCGCCTGGTTAGTCCCATGAGGTCCGCGCCGTGTACATCGCCGAGACGATCATCGTACCTCACTCTAGAATAATTCCAGTCCCCTTTGTAGTCCTTGATTGTTAGGAAAGCTATTTGGACTTGCAGCTTGTACAAGTACCGTGGATACGCGGATTAATCAGAACTTGGGTCAGCTTTGGCTGCTATGAATATCATGTCAGCTGAGCATTCTTTCTCGCTTCCTATGGAACTTTACGAATGTACGCGAGTTATTTTGATGACTCCATGTCTTGTTGGGTGGTCTTTGAGACATTCCGATTCTCTTTCTACTACACCGGCTTGTGTAGTCAACCGAGGGGTCTAAGACGATCGCTAACTTGCGACTCACGTTTGATCGCCTCAAGCCTTGCTTGTCGGCGCGGCGTGTCGATCACCCCGCCTCTCCAGGTCGCACTCTGCGCAGCAGGGCGGGTGTGCTGATCATGTGGCTGACATCTTGAATAGTTAAGAGGAGGATCATTTCGCCATCATCAATGGTGATCCGTCTCTCCTGACCTTGCCGCGTCTTTGTTATGATATTGAGCGCTATACCGTTGCTGTGTTTGGTTAACCAGCTGATTCAAATGAACCATATGAACCATATGGTAGCCCCACTCGGCCGATCAGGTTTGAATTGTATCGGGAACAGGTCTTAGCGCAAATGTCAAACCCATAAATGGCAGCGTTCGGACACAAAGAGGATGGGTGATCGATGATCCGAAGCCGCTATTTGCGTGATCTAACATGAGTCGAGTTGACTCCACTGACCGCCTCCTTCAGCCTCGGTGGACCAAGAAGCTCGTCGACCAAAGCTAAGCTTCTCCGCCGAGCAGCCAGCATCCGCATGTTCTCCTTGTGTCTTGGATATAACGGTGTTCAAAGACTTAGACAAGTGTATTCAGATGGAGCGGTGAGTGCACGGCTCCTCTGACGTCATTACAAAATGTGGCCTTCTCTAACGAGATGAATTCCGCGAATATGCGACCCTAGTTCCCAAGGCTGTACAGGGTCGCATGACTCCAAGAGTGGAGCGCCGACGTGAGGAGCGCAAAGTGCTGATCAAAGCTCGGGGTCCGGCACCGACAAAGATATAAGGCCACTCCATCTCCAACTGTCGAGAAGGAAAATAAATCCCTCTTCACAATATATGACCATGTCCTCGACTACGACGCCCTATGCTCACCTCAGTCAACTCGACCTCGTTCGTCTCATCGAGACGTACAGATACATTCTCAACGGTAAGTTCATCACCAGCCTATACGAACACGACATGCTCAACTACGTGACAATCCCAGACCCCTCGCGCCCACCAACAGATAAAGCAGAAGCCCAGCGGGCTCTCGCGGCCTTGTACCAACCAGCATACAGCCCGACCACCCAAGTGGAGCACAACAACCGCGTCCTAGGCGGCTACCGTGCAACCCTCGCCAACCCAAATGTCTCCGAAGCCGCCAAAGCCCACGCACGCGCCATGCTCGAACAAGCTGGTGCAGACGTTCGCACTCTCAAGGAGCGCACGGCGATGCGCGCCAGCGGGAGTGGTGCCGGTAGCAACGGCAGTACCAGTGGAAGCGACGGGGAAGGGCGACGAGATGCACATTTGGCGAGACAATTGGGTGGATACAAGAGTGCGTTAAAGAGTATGTCCTTCTTTCATCATGTTTGCGAATAGATGCTGACGATATCGCAGATCCAAATGTCTCGCCCGAAGCAAAAGCACACGCGCGCAACATGCTCGCGCAGCACGGCATCACTTACTAGACACGCTATCTATACCCTCAAAGAATGTCTCCACTCTCTGTATCATCTCTCTGATATCCCGTAGACTTTGTATCATCTCTTGATTTGCCGGCTCACTGTGTATCTAATACCTCTCTGGTTTGCGAATACACTACGTTATTTACTGTCTAATCGTCGCCTCGCTCGTCCTTTGCCATAATGACTCGGTGGAGTCATCGTCATATTCCGCTGTCATCCATCTTCTAGATTCTCCAAACTAGTCTGTCAGTGTTTGTTGACGTTTGTACGTCGTCATTTCTCCACAAATACGCCATTAGTCACTCACATTTACTTACGTTTAGCCACCTTTGACACGCTCCGAGGTGGATCTACTGCTCCAACAAATTCAGTGTTTCGGACGACGTTTGCATCATTGTGGAGAAAACATTCACGCCGATAGACCACGCACAATGATCCCAGTCATGGCTCATATGACGTTCACGCCACGTCAAAATCCGTGGATACAATACGGTCTACAGACGACAATGGTGTAGGATTAACAGGTCCATTTCACAAATAATGATACAGTTGACATGTTTGGTTCATCTAGATTATTATCTGCTGATTTCAGATTGAGCTTCAGTTGAGCTAACGTGCAGGTGAAGATGCGGAATTTGTAGACAAATATCCCAATATTGCTCGCGCTCTCAATATAAACGGCCTGGATTATACTTTAGAGTCATTGCAAATCTCTAAGGGGCTGACCTTGTCATCTCCAAGCTTGAGAGATATTCTTGTTCAATATTATTTTGAGGTATTCACCTCCTCTTGGTTATGGCGGCCCAAAATACTCGCCTGTAATTCATTCACCGGATATAAAAATTTCCCCAATTCAATTACCCAGCCAATGGAGAATGAGAATGAGAATTAAGAGAAGGATGAATTGGAGGCTCCAGCTCAGACGATGAGATAGAAATAATTTATGAGCAGGTGAAGGCCTACAAAGAAGAGATAGGAGATCAAGAGCGGGAAGACGAAGACCTTCGAGAGGCTTATACAAGACTTCAGCTGGAAGCGTTGGTATCGGCATCCATTCATCCATACCTCGTCGTCGACACTAAACTAAAGTTCCGCTACGCCTTCAATGGCGGCTCAACCAAATCCGCATCCAATATCTGAACATGTAGCTCGCGAGACCGGCGAGGTCAACGCCTGGAAGACTGTCTTTAAGAAAGATAGACATATCTAGCGAATGAAATCCAAATCCATTTAAATTCAGAGAGGGGCAGAGTGGGCTTGCGATGTAACACACAAACACGCTGCCTCGCGACGGGGCACTTGCAAAAGGTCCGACTGAGATCGCCGGTTTATCCTCTTGGTGATAGGTGATGTAGGCTATAAGCGACCCCTGCCATAACTTTATCAATGATGTGAGATAGGTCTATGATACGGTGATCGTGCGTGGAGTAACACTCCTCATGGAGAGTGGCGTCGGGCGTCGGGCGGAGATTATGTTAGTTTACACTAGTGTACATTACACCCGTAACGTTGCCTTCCCTTCCCATTGGTCGATCCATCACCGGTGACAGTGCCTCTCCCTCAGTTAATCCACGACCGCTGTGAGGTATGGCCACCCGCTCACCTGTATGATCGATACTCACCGCCTACATCATCTAATTAGACTCTGTCTATTAGGTTGACAAACTATTGGTGCTCATTCGGTTGCTTCAGGCCCCGTATTAGCGCTTTAACGCTTCTCTAGATGGCCACAAAGTCGTCGCACGGGATGTCTATCAACCGGGCATAGAGCCAGGATGCACGCAACTAAGATAAGCAGAGCCGGCCTCAGCCAATGACACGAATTTATTGAGATGTGAATTACAAGATGATCTCACGTGAATGTCGCGCCGGTGAGTATACTCGTTGACGGCGCCAGGAGATCAAAGGTGGGTCTGATGCGCTAGCACAGATCTTATGCTCCATCGCCTCCTGTAGAATCAACCGCCTTGTTGGTGCGCCAGCACATCGCAGCGTTTGAAAAACGACCAGTGAGCCCCAGAGGGGCAGGAATACAACTGGTGACAAGACACCTTGCATGAGCTCACCCAGAATTCTGTTCGCAACGATGGGCGAATCCTTCGACACTACCTAAAGTTGGCCAGCGATATCGAGGGCGGATTAATAGTTCTGGTCCTTCCCTCCGTCCCCTGCTCACAGCAAGTAATGGTACCAAGGCCCTGAGTTGTGAATATGCGACACCGCCTGTGATCGGTGTTGCACATCTCTCAATTACCGTCCTATACGGACACCACACGATCAAGTGGATCCAATGTAAAGAAATGGCCACAGTTTGACAAGCGTATCGTTTCTTCGACGATTCAAATAGAACCAAACGTTGTCGAGACGGATTTCATGTGATAGACAACAAGGGAATAGATCGAGAGCACATCCAAAGGTTGCCACTCTCGGTGCCTGGTGTGCTACCTATCCCACCCAAGAGTCTCGACGAAGCGAGGTCAAGGTACTCCCGTAGATAGTTGCGCGATGACGCGCCTTGTGCACGGCGCATGCGAGATGAGGACTGCTCATAGCAGCAGGGACGAAACAATCAAGCATGATCAAAGGTATCTATTCATCGTTTGTGGCAGTCTATAGGCTGCCTGAGGAGACTTGTCCGATGGGGACGGGTCCAAGTTGTGCGTCGTGTTTGTTCGTCTGACCCCGACCAGTCAAATATGCCTCGATGCCCGACGAGGGCTTGTAATATTCCAATGCGTCTGATATCACAAGAATGAACACGTAATCCCACGCAAAAAACACCTTGAGGCCACCAGCGTCGACGAGGAAAGCCAGCAGCATTGACGAGGCCAAAAAAGGGTTGCAGTTTGTTCTCTACAATGTCTGCGAATGAGTGCGTCCCGAGAAAATCTACGACGCTTACACTGATATTTCAAGTCTTATCCGGTCTCAACCATTGTCTGATCCCAAGTTCGACCTTCCAGTCGAGTTTCTGGAGCAGCAGTTGAGGGACACTCTCATCTCTTCAGAGCAAGAGTCTACATCTACATTCATATCTACTCCAGAACAGGTTCCTCCACTAGAGGAACGTACATTCCCGAATTGTGATATCCCGACAGAGATCTGGCTCGCCATCTTTCGCTACGCCATCGACGCCATGATTCAGGACTACATAAACGAGCCATTGCGACTAAAGCAGTTCCTTTTTCCACCTCCGAATCACGCTCTCACACGTCTGCCGCTGGCGCTCCATCATCATTGAATTTCCCAATTATGGTTGACAATCCCCGTATCACCACGCGAATACTGGACAAAAGGAGAGGCGGATACGGTTACCTACGCTCGAAATCGTGCACAAAGTACCCTCGCCCAGTCCTCCACCGCGACCAACCAGAAGCCCATCACGCTTCTACTCGACGTCTCTGAGCGCTTTGATAGCAAGGAATCAGAGCTACGCTACTTAAGAGATCGACAGAGATCTCGTCTCGCAGAGCCTGGTCGGAACCTTGATGGTCGTGAGCTGCTCTTATTCCCTGAGGGTGGTTATGACGTCCATCTCTTCTTGCGTCCTGCGAATTTGCAAATGAAGAGACCGACCTGGCGAGTACATCCGAAAGCTCCGACGGAGATTCGACACGTCGTCCGTATTGGAGGAAAGCACTCGCCAAAGCCAACCTCGTTGACCATTCATTGGCCTCGACGGAGCAGGTTTAGTGCACAAATACATTCATTGATCCGCTCTTATCAACCACAACATCTCACCCTGGTGGACAACTTCCCGGACTGGGAAGATTTTCGGGTTCCAGGTATCAAAAGCATTCGGCTAAAGACGACAGAGACGCAGAGGCACATTGCACTCGAATGGATGATCCTTCCATTTTTACAAGAGCTCTATGTTCATTCGTGTCGGCTTGACATCAGCGCGTATTTCCCGTCGAATCTTCCCACCCCTCTGACGAGGCTACGTGTGTTGGGCATTACGCCAGTACATGTATCATTCTTGACAAGGATCGATTTTCCCTGCTTGGAGACCGTCATCTTTTACCCACCCAACATCAAACCGCGCGCACGTCGTCTCGGGGAAGAGTGGACGACGACGTTGGCCGGGGTGATCAAATCGATAACCGCGCTCGAATTCGAAGGCTGGCCTGCAAAATATCAGCGGAATGTCGTTTATCATTCCATTGTCCCTCTTTGCCTCGCGCTTCTCCATCAACTTCCTCATCTGCAGAGGGTGACGTTCCGTCAGAGTTTTGTTTGGGCGGAGGGGTTGGTGGAAAGATTACCTGCCACTTTGGGTTTAAAGGTCGGTGCGCAACTGGAAGAGCTCGTGCTCGATGAGTGCATTGGCGTTACGCAGGCGCATTGCGACGCGCTCGCAGCAGTAGTTAGCAAAATAAAAGTCTTTTAAAGCACTAAAAACCGTAGCGATACTCTCATTTAAATGGTTCGACAGAGTCGGAGTGCCCCGAGGTCAGCTCTTCTTATTCGGCGCCCCTTTGTCGCAAACTTGGACAGCGATATCCAAACACGCCGAGTTTGGCCCCGCTCCCTCTAATCAAAGCAACTCGCTATACAACTAAGCAGGTATCACCGAGGTCGATACCAAACGCCTTGAATCAAACGGAAGCTAGTGGCCGAGATAATGTCATCTGAAACGTGAGTATGCGACATATTTATCGCTTTTCTTGCTCAATTGATCACTCAGGACAAATGAGCGTTCACTCTGTGACTTGCAGACTCAGGATCCAAGACTTGTCGAGTTGGCGCGGCTCAATGAGCGTATAGAATCGGGACGACGCGAATTGCATCATATGCATGATTCTATCTCGCGACTGGACATCACCGAGCCTTCGCTTATCGACATACAACAGCGTCTAGACGAGCACGCGCTGAATCTTGATGCGATAAAATCGGCGTTTGAAGAGCTTTCAACGGTAGACGACGTAGAAGAATCATGCCAGTTTGGAAGCCCCGTCTGTGCTCCCCATTGCACGGATTCGTATCCACTGACTGAGCGCTAGGGCGAAAGACCTGTGAGGGATGATCACTCACATCTGTTGTCTATAAAGCAGGAACTTTCTACGTCGCGGGAGACACGGGCGAACCTTCAACCTCGTATCACGGCGTCGTTGAAGCACCTAGACGAGTTGTATGGACAGCACCGAATATTGGCAATATCTATTCCTCGCTATCACAAAAGACGAGTCACAAGTCAACAAGTGCCAGAGGACATATGGCGAATCATCTTTCGTTTGTATGTCCATGGTGTCCATTACGATATCATTCACCAAGGCGCCGAAGAGGGGTTTCGTTATCCTGCATTGACTTTGTCACATGTTTGCCAAAGGTGGCGGGCCATGGCTCTCGACCAAACAGAGATATGGCCGTATTCCTGTTCACGTCCCAATGCACCCCTCTTTCTTCGCACTCTCAGAGAACGAGGCGGGAGCCACCAACGCTCGGTATTTACGTATTATACTGGGCCAAATTCAAGATACATACAGAGGCAATTTGCTATCATCGCCCAAGGGGACATCAAGCTAGGCCCAGTCTATGATTTCTGGTGCACCATATGGATAGACTGCGTCCCGGCATCATTACTCCCGAATACGCCAACGTTCTCGAGGGTCCAGTTGCTAAATATGCTACCTCATCTTCACGGGGCTTGTCCGTTGTACCAGCTACCAGAATTAGTCATTAAAGTGCCAGCGTTGAAGCGAACAGACCTCCGCCCATACCTATTGCCTCATCTCACTACGCTCATGGTTCTCTCCGGTCCTTCGGACGTATTTGAAGCAGAGATTGGTACGGTTGATATGTCAAATCTCCGCCACCTTGCTCTCACGGTGTCACATGTAGGACTCATGCAGGCCATCCTAGCGTCTGGATTGGAGACGCTAACCCTCATTGCGCCCAGCGACGCTATGGAGATGCCAAGAGACGAAGAAATCTGGCTAGAGTCTCTTTCTCATCTCATTTCTCCATGCACCAAGCTGATTCTGACCGGTTGGCCAGAGACCGAGGCGAAATCGGAGAAAATAGCAGATTCGTCGAGTAGGACGTGCTTGGCACTTGCCCAGAATCATACCAAGGGGTTAGATGCCACCTTTAGGTGCACGCACGTCGAGGGTCTGGAGCTGGTCAAGGTCATTTGCAAAGATGTCGCCGACGGTACTGAGGGCTGTCGCAAACCAGAGGTCAAAAGTATAACTTTTGACAGATGCACTGGTATACGACAGATAGACTGCGACGCACTGTCAAAGTTGTTCAAGGTCAGCGTGTATTTATGACGGCATGCTTTGGCCACTCTTAGGGATTTCTCGTGTAATAAGAATAATATGAGACATTAATTCGCGGGAAGGTAGCAAACCTGTTGAATTGCGAGACTTGGACCTTGCCTTGATGCTGATCTAGAAAGCTTGCGAGGAGCCGTAAATTTTCCGTGCTCATTTACATCTATTGCGATATTCATTACATTTTGTGCGACAATGGCAGTCAAGGAACCGTTCATCCTTTTACAAGTCACGGTTCAAGGCATCAACAGAGGCAAGGACGAACAATGCGCACAAACAAGTCCGTCTATAGCAGTACAAGGCAACTCTGGTGCAATAATGCACCCCATCCGTCCTTTATTTTCTAGCCTAACTGCGCAGGCTGTAGACGCCATCCTGAGATGCACCACCGTAGTTGGCAAACATATGGGGCGTATGGGGTCGAAAGACTATACCACGCTCTACTGATATACTAGAACCACTCAAGCCGACTGTGATGCACCCGGTGCGGCCTGGCCAGGTATGTGTGACGGCTTGGCGTCGCCGGTACCATAGCTACCTACTGAACCAAGCTAGCGAGATATTGTACCTATGCTGGGTATATGAACGTGTTCGAGCGATGCGCCGCCTTGGTGAGAATGCGAGACGAAGCAGTGCGACCACCGCCTCCCTCAACCTTGGACTCACCCATCTCCTTCATGTCTGGAGATATGTAAGTTTTGGAACTTTGGATAATATCTAGAAACTAACGACATCGAAGCACTCGTTCTAATCTCCTCCCGTCGTCCAAGGAGGCTGAACTTCTCCACAACCTGCGTGCACAAAAGTCGACTGAGCTGGCTCTCATTGACGAGAAGATGTCGCGTGATCAACAAACCGTCGCAAGTGCCGATGCAGCCATCGGTAAACTCGAAAAGTCGTTGACCAAAGCGCGTGAGATGCTGCGTGTATACGAGGAACACGCCAGTCAAATCAAGGGAACACTTCGCACACTCTCCTTCAGCTCGACGCGTACAAACGTACAATCCGACGCACCGGAACCGTGTAAAGAACTCTCGCTGCTCCTTGGTCAGGAAATCCCAGAGCGCGAGAAGAAACTCCGGACGGAGATACAGGAGATTGCGGTGTTCTGCGACCGACTAAAGATCACTATTACCAATCTCGCAGAGGAGCTGCGTTGTCAGAACCACACGCGGGCGGTGGCCCTCGAGACCATTGCTGCCAGGAAAAACCACCGTGGCGAGATCCAGGCTTTGGTCGAAAACATCCAAAGCTGTTTCCGCCCAATCAAAAAGATCCCATCAGAGGTCTGGGCAGAAGTTTTTCGTCTGCGCGTAGAGGACGATGACCAATTATTCCTCGCATCTGGCTCTGAGGACCGTCGTTCGACCGCGTTCACACTTTCTCATGTGTGTCAACCATGGAGGAAGGTCGTCCACGACACTCCAGAACTCTGGAGAGTGGCGCACTGGAGGGCTGGGAAAGACGGAAATGTCAAGGCAGACATGATTACCTACATGCGAGAAAAAGCGCAAGATCAGCCATTTACCGTCGTCGCGGATCAATGCCAACTTTATCCGACATCGCTTCCGTCGACGCAAGACGTCTTGATGATGAGCCACGCACTCCAAGAGTACACCCTTCACTTGTTCGCAAACGACAAGGACGAAAAGCTTGCACCCCCTTCATATCAGCCCATATTCTTCTCCCCCTTTGCCCTGGTCGTTCAGGTTCCCGGCCAGGAACCACTTCGCTCGACATTCGTCTACCGCAACCTCGTCAACTCGTACGCCAATGTGAAGAAGCTCACACTCATCAACATCTTCCCCGCACTCGCTTTTAGTGAACCGTTCCGACAACTAACTTATCTTAAAGTTGAAACCGCCACCGACGCGCGGCCCTACAACCTTTCAACTCATGGTCGAGAGTCTGGAAGAGCTCCATCTCTCGCACGTCATACCATTGAATCTTCCGTTCATAGGTCATGCTATTACACTTCCCAACTTGCGGAAACTGGGCATCACCCCACACGACCACGAGCTCCTTAAACAGCTCCGTCTTCCCGCACTCACTCATCTTTGCATCACTTATCCGCACCATGGTGACGGCGTCGAGACTAGTCCATGGCTCGAAACGCTGATCAGTGCCAATTTTACAACCGGCCTTACGCATCTCGTCCTAGACTGGTCCTACGCACCGCTCACAATCACGCCCTCTACAGAACCGAATACACCGTCGTCGATAACGGCGGCGACGACAGACATGCTCACGGTGCTTAGGGAGATTCAGCCGCACGCGATGCACCTCGAACAGATTCTGTTCGTCAACGGTGTCGTCTCAGGCGCCGAGCTGAGCCGGTTCCTTGACCAAGTGCTCGAAGAATCGGCGATCATCTATAAAAAGGTCACGCTCGACGGATGTATAGGCTTTACGCGTGCGGGATGCGAGAGACTCTCGCAGCAGGTAGAGAAGCTCAGGGTGGTAGACAATGGTCTGTAAAGCAGTGATGTTAGCCATGAATTACTCCGTATATTCTTCATTTGCTCCATACGGTCTCTAATCCGGGAGGGAAGCCAAAGTAACCATAGCGTCAGCCGCAAATTTGAGTCCTTTCAAAAGCATTTCGGCCTGCCATCTCTTCTCCTCGGCCTCCTTTCGCAACACTTCAGCCTCTCTCTCTGCCTTTTTCCTGAGTTTCGCTATCCATTCCTCTTCACGACACTTAAATGTCATCGTGAACTCTTTATGAACTCGCTCCCGACTAGCAGGTTGGATCAGAGTTGTGCCATCGGAGCCTTCTGTCCCACTGTTTTCAAGTTGACGGTAGAAAGAGCTGACTTCGGCATCGTATTCAACTGTCGAGAGCATAGACAGAAGATTCTGTGCCTATGTTATCGTCAGCCAAGCAGTTATGTTAATACACTACACACCGTATGACGACCAAGATCGAAGGCACTGGATATGTTTTCTTGCTCATTGTTGAGTAGATCCTTCCCCATTACCCTATTCGCTTTGTCAAGCATCATTCTGACAAGTTCACCCTCTGTTGTATGCGAGGAGTAGGCAATCTTGAAGGCTCGTACTTGATGTGAGTGAAGTAGACTCTGGTACGTGTCGCATTCGGCCGAGTCCAAAGAGAGATCTAAAGTGAGCAATTCAATATAAGTCACTAACAAAATAAAACACATCTTACAATCAGCGCACTCTTTTAACTGCTCGACCTGTGCCAAGCAGGCTGCCTGTATATTTCCGAGAAGGGGTAGCCAAAAGGGTGCCACGATATTGACAAATGCCAGGCGAACAATTTCTTTGATCTTGATGCTGGAAGTTGTCTAGTAAAGAATTGAACAAATGCACGTCATTGAAAATGACAGAGCTACCTGGAGGTGACCCAGTATGTGTTTCATAAAGCGGGATTTTCCTGTCATGACAAATTTAATGAGATCCTGCTCGAGACATTTCCTGATCTCCGATATGCCTGGAATTGTAGTAGCACCTAGATCGAGGGTCACACTCTCAAACCGCTTGATACATGAACCCTTGATGCCAGATAGGAAGTTACCAAATTCTGCTGCTGATTCTTTACGTTTGTTGTCATATTGACGTGTGGCATCTTGCAAAAGATCGGTTTTGAGTTGATCCAACTGCCTTTTGTATAAGTCGTCACGGAGGCTTCCAAAGTCAGCCTTGAGTCGGGTGGCATACTGAAGGGCATCCTGAACCGAATATGACGCGGTTCTGCAGTCATATTCATCTGTAGTAGTGCTGAATATTTTCGAAGAGGACAGGCAATGCAAAGAGATAGACCTTGTATTTTGTGTTCGATTTCAAGGACCTGCGTGCGAGTTTGCGCCGGCCCCTCAAACAACGGCGGAAGCGAGGATCGACATTCCAAAAATAGACTGTGGAGTTGACAGGCCATATCATCATAGATTTTCTGACACTGGCCCTGGGATAGACCCTGTTGAGCAAGGGCAACTTCGCAGTCAGCTTGCTTCTTGATGCCCTCCTAAGGATGGTTCAACCTTTGGGTAGTATTCAAATAAAATAACCCCATACCCAAATAGACTTGAAATAGCTTGGCAGCTCCACAAGCGGAATACCCCGTGAACAAGAAGGGGTTAGAAGAGAATCAGTTGGTTTCACCAACCGGTTGCGTAGCTCTTCCACAGATTCTATAAATGGCTGCCTTTGAAGTCTCTGTTGATAAATTGTTAGGTATTCTTTCCGCGCAATTAACGTACTGCATGAGGGAATTTATGAATATCCACAGTGAAGTGTTCGTCAAAGGAAAAACTCTCATCATAATCCAATTCCTGCACTTTAGCCCATTCTTCCTTGCATCTGCTCTGAAGCCAGGTCAGAGTCGAATCTTCACCGGCCATGTCCGCCTCTGGGTCATAGTCACGAATGGCAAACAAAATGCCTGTGCGTTGGTGCCTGGACCAAATTTAATATTGATTCACAACATGGTCGATCTGACCTTGACTTTGATATCCTTGCATAATTGAATTTTGCCTTGATGATTGCTTGAAGCAATGGGAAGCCACTGCCTTGATCAAGTGCAAGTTCCGAGTCATTAACGTTGATAACAACGAGGTCGCAAGTGACCATAGCGAGGAGACCAAGCATTGTTCCAGTCAATTTAGGGTCAGCCTGTTGACTGCTATCGGTCCCCTCAAAGTCAAGAATGAGTAGTTGCCACTGGTTCAAAATGACAGCATGAACTCCTATTTATTTACTTTTAATTTTATCAGCCGTCTGATTGGGGTAAACTTACCATGCGTGGTCGCTTGCCGGACGCCTGCCCTCATAACAGGCATAGTGCTTCCGGTAAGATGATTGATGAGGGTAGCTGTACAAGGTTACAACAGGCATAATCGAGGATAGTAGCTTACTCTTTCCTCCATTTTGGCGCCCGAAAACGGCAACAATTCGATAAACCGCCTGGTTGTTACTGATTTCTTCAATTGCCGAGGATTCTACAGGTCTATGCATTATTTGCAGTAAGTTAGCAGTGAAAGAAGTTATTCAGGATACCTACATGGCTTCCCCGTTCCCCGAAATGATTTGGAAGCTCACGGGCGGCAGTAGAGCCGACATTGTCAAGTACCCTTGGTGATGGTATTCCACAGATCAAACCAAATTCCGGCACAAGCTGTTTTATATCTGGTTACGCGACGGTTATCAATCCAAGGAAGCCGAATTAAATACTAGGAGCTGAGCTACTTCACTTCATTGTCAGAAGAAACCTGACATACTCCCTGGCACGCGATATCAGAACCATCGTACTCGAGTTTCAACGGATGCAGGGCTGTAACCCTACCTGATATGGATTGATAGGAGTACCTTGTATAGGACATGTTCCGTTACGCGCTGGTTAGGGGGTAGACTAGGTGCCTGAGGGCGGATGGAGTAGGTGCGTAGGGCCTGACAAATTGTCATCGGTATTTAGCTTTCCCCGTCGAACCTCCGCATTCTAAGCTAACAAATTAGCAAGTACAGGGGAGTTATTTGTTCCACATGTTGTGGCCGAATTTTCTTTGTTTTTGTTATCATTTGAATCCTTCTTCGTTGAGCTTTAATATCTGACGCTGCAATGAGGGGCAGACAGTTTGCTGGGATGTTCAGAAGTGGACGGAAAATAACCCCACAGGCCGTAGTCACCACCCTACTGCGGGTGCAAAGCTGGGCTAAGAACTCGTCTGACGAGACGAGTCTATAGGCTGCAAATACCTCGGTCATGAGTAATGAATATACTTTGGTAATAACACGTTGCGCGCAATCTCCAATACGCGGATACACCGCAAAACCACATTCCATTCTCTGAGGGGGCATATGAGATGTCTTGCGCAGATATGTGACGATAATAAATGAAATGACATTCTCATGCGTGAGATTGGGTCCTACATACAGTTTAACGGCCGGTCTGCTCTCCTTTCTCTTCGCACCGCATGGTCAAATGGGCCACCAATTTACTTTTATTGTCACAATTATATCTTTCCTTCGCATAATCCAGCCTTTGACTCTGTATTGGTCTTCCGACACGTGAGTCTAGATATTTCCCGTTGTCCAGTCGACCGCGGCCAGTTGACAGCGTGCCCTGTGGGTGAGCATATTTAAAACTAGACGTTTGTAGATGCACTTAGCTCAGAAATAGTTCAATCTGCCAAATCTGCGCAGAGGCGACTGGGTCAAGTCAGTAGTGCAAGAGGACGCAACGTTCACTCGGCGTCCATTCACTACCACATGACTTCAACATGGATTGTCTGTACAGAAGTTCACTTTTGTATTCATCCTCGGTCAAACCTTTCCAAATGCGGCCTACGTGGGTGACGGCCCAACTATCTCAGACGCGATAGTAATCTTCGGGATTTGAGATTGGTACCTCCTAACAGAATGGCCGTGGAGCCGAGTTCAAATGCGGACGACCCCGAAACATAGCAGTGCCCCGTAACTTGAATCGTCCTGACAGAGAGACATACTCGAGGCTTCCCTTCCTCTCGCGATCGAGGGGGGAAGATGAACGTAGGTAAAGCTCCATATCGCATACACGAAGACCTCTAGGAGAGCTATTGACTCCTTTCGTATCCGTTATGCCCGCTGACCGCGGCCTGAGGCCTTGGACGACTGGCTCTGTGTAACGGTTAGCCGCGGGAAAATGGAACAAGCCGGATTCGCACCGACTTAGCCGTCAGACCACTAGACTATAGTGTCCCTCTTTTCCCTCTAAAGCGTCACAGTACCTATGACCCCCGTTACTCAGGTATTCCTAACCTGGTCGGCCGGGCTCTGACCTGTAAGGTGAGCCAATCCTTACACTCTGGCGATGGATCACAGAGGTAACCCTTATACGCAGACATGCAGATACCCGAGATGTATCTACGAAAGCTATAATCTATCAACGTACAGCAACCGCTGTGCGAAACCCTCTGAAGCCGAGGCTGACGTCCTCCTTGATATGATCAAGCTCTGCGACAGCGATAATAACGAAGAGAGTCGAAATGTATTCAATTAGGGGGAAAATCCCGATTTGGTCGACCAAGCTCCCAATCCTGAGTCTCGTTATCCACTTTTCTTCATGAAACTTAGATGCCATTGTAAACTGTTTATCTACTCGCGCGTCGCTCACTATGCACTTGAATACCCCTCTAGTCATCCCAAGCCCTCGTTGGTAAAGTGGACGCCGAGGGCCCACGTCTCGAGTGCCCACCTGTGTAGTCTGCCAAGTCCACTCAGCACGTAGACGGAATCCAGGTTTTCGTATAGAGCGTACATCGATGTAGACTCCATGATTTACGTCGCAAATCTCACACGCCGTTCAAATGCAATTGTGAAGCCAGCTTGATTCAAGGAAGAGTCGAATACACTGCCAGGGAGCATACACGACCAAAGGAGGGTGTGGGATAGACGATAGGAATAAAAAAGGGTGAGGAGGGGGTAGTGCACGGCACTCGATAACTCGTACATGAATTCGCTAATGGGGAAATGGGAGGGTATGGAGGGCAGGAGGAAACATACTTATTCGGCCGTAAAATAGACTCCATCGTCAAAGCTACCGTGTTGCGCAATTGAACCGAGCGCAGGTTGATGGTTAGCAGCCGTGTTGATGCTGAACATGCGGTAGACACCCGGAGGGAGACCCTTGTCCAACGTAGTCGAGAGCGTGCTCTCGCCGTCGAGCGGCGCATTCAAGCCCTTGAAAAACGCAAACTTGGTTGGATCCGTTGGGTCGGTATCGTCGAGCGACTTGATGGGCTCAATGACCAAGTGCGAGTGTCCGATCAAGATGCCCTGGTTGTTCACCTCGGCCGGCGCAGCGTAATAGTTGGCCTGCGCATTCGTAAACGCACCCGCTTGCAGGTTGCGAATCTTGAGCTTGGCGGTGAACGGCTGATTGGCGGGAATCTTGGAAAAGTTGCGTGGGAAGACGAATTTGGCAGAGGGGAGCTTGTCCTTGGCAATGATACGGCCCATTGGAACGACGTTGCACGAGCCTTCACGAATTTGCTTGCCATCGGTCAACGGAACGCTGCCAACGTGGTCAGTATGAATAGACAGCTAGAGAATGGTTGCGTACTTTTGAGTGAGGCAAAAGTTGATGAAATTGTTCGTGCTCGTCAACGACCTGACTTGACCGGGAGTGGGCGTTTCTTGACCGTCCTTTGCGAGACCGGGCATGATCACGCGCGGGTCGAGAGTCAACGAGGTCTGGGGATCTTGGTTGTTGTTGCCACCGTTGTTCCCATTGTTTCCTCCGTTGTTCCCGTTGTTTCCTCCGTTGTTCTGTCCGCCATTATTTCCGTTGTTTCCGTTGTTTCCTCCATTTCCACCGTTGTTTCCTCCGTTATTCTGGCCTCCATTTTGACCGTTGTTCTGGCCTCCATTTCCACCGTTGTTTCCGTTGTTCTGGCCATTATTTCCACCATTTTGACCGTTGTTTCCGTTGTTCTGGCCACCGTTGTTTCCATTGTTCTGGCCACCGTTGTTGCCACCGTTGTTTCCACCGTTATTCTGGTCACCATTCTGACCGTTATTGCCACCATTCTGACCATTGTTGCCACCATTCTGGCCACCGTTGTTTCCACCGTTGTTCTGGCCACCGTTATTCTGACCACCATTCTGGCCATTCTGACCATTGTTGCCACCGTTGTTGTTATTGCCACCATTACCGCCATTGTTGGCGATGCCGGCGTCGGCCGTCGTAGTCGACTGTGGTGGGTCGACGGTGGTCGTGAAAAAGGCAGTCGAAGTCACGATATCGGTGACAGTCGCAACACCATTCCCACCACGCGTACCACCCGATCCAACATCTGCAACACTAGCAGCCGTCGTCGAGGTAGCCGCTGGTGGCGGGGGAGTCGACGTTTGCCCCTGGCCGTTTCCGGTATTGGCATTGTTGCCGCCATTGGCCGAATTGTGTTGTTGTTGTTGACCGTTATGATTGTTATGGTGGCCGAAATGGTTACCCTTTGGCGTAGTCCGGGTCGTCGTTTGCGTGGGAGCATCGGCAACATTTGCCGCGCGGGACGTCGTGGGACGTACAGAGACGTTGCCGCCACCCAGATTTCCTTGATTGTTCTGGTTTTGCTGCACTCCGCCGTTGTTATTGTTGTTGTTAGCTGGGCTGGTGGTGATGGCGGCTGGGGCACCTCCGAGTGTGCACTGTGCACCTGCAGCGGTCACGGTGACAGTAGCAGTGGCTGTTCGGACAACGGTGTCGTGGATCGTCACGGTGCGGACCTGCTGTTGTTGGTGTTGTTGATAACGGGGCTCGCGAGCCTGTAGACGTAAAGAGTCGGTACAAGACTTTGTAAAGACGTGTGCAAGTCGAGCTTACCTCGAAACCGTTGGCAAGTGCAGAGCCGGAGAGGACGAGGGCGATGAGGGCGCTCGAAAGAGAAAACTTCATGGTAGATGAACGGACGAGGGAGTATTAGCGATAGATTGTCGAGTATGAGTGAAAGAATGCGGCAGCACTTGGCTATCAAAGCACTGGAAAAGAGGGAGTTGTCGATTGGTTGCGCGCGCAGCGACCGCAAAGAATGGACAAGGCTTCCAAAGAGCCTAACTAGCCAAGTTGATGTAAGCCAGAGGAGTCTACGAATTTCTAGAGAATTATACGCACGGGAGAGAGAGAAAGGCGGCGACGGAAGGAACCAAGCTTGGGGGGTTTGTTGTTGTAGTCAGGCACCGCCCTCATATATGCCGTCGACCTCGCCTCGACGTCTAGCGCCCATAGAGTCTATGACCATATTGGAACAAGGCGACCGTGGACATTTGTATAATATCCTCCGCACTCCGTACATCCCAGACAGCAACACCAAGATGGAGATATAACCCACTCCACCGCCGCATTCTCAGGCATACCAGGCATAGTAAACAACACAGACCTAGACTACACCGTATTCTCACGTGCCAGATTCGTTCACACTTCAACACCTCCCACGCGTTGATAAACAGCACCGTGAGCCACTATCTACACCTTCTCGGACATTCCTGGCAGCATAGATCGGCTCAATGAGAGTGAATAGAGTACGAGGGGAATACCAAGGAATATGTTTATACTCTATGAACGCCCATCACGTTAGGACGAACAGCGCGGACAAGAGATCAACGCACACTAGGCTTGTCTTCGCCTCGGGTCGTTACCATCTTAAATGCGATGACGGTGACATAAACCGTTGAAACCCAGTTGCCCACCTCGACCCCAGTTCAGCCCTATGACGATCCACGGACGTCAAGCCAGACTTACCAGTACCACCATGGCTATAAATTTCACCAAAGGTGGATAAATTCCCTTAATGTAGATCCCTGTTGGGATAATTAGGCTGATCGATGATTGCGACGAGAGGCGCACGAGATAGCACCGAAAGCTCCACAATGAGGAACGTTTGTATAAAATCTGGTCAAGAAATTGTGCTCGCTCTTCTTCTGACATTCCAGGGAATCACTGACCAACGACGTCTGTAGGATGCGGGCAGTGAGGATTTGGTGCTGGGTCGAGTTCGAAGCACCAATTGTCTTGGAAGTGTCGTCACTATACATTAGAAGGCCAACACCTGGACGTACGTGTGTCACTGGAGAGTCGCGGCGCGGGAACCAACTCGAGGGAAGACATATTGGTGCCACGAATGGGGTAAAGGTCGCAAATGAAATGGAACCAATTCACTGTAACTCGTTTTATGGCCACTCTACGTCCGGTTTACGACCATACCTTGTCCCATGGATAGTCGACGCGAGGCATCGACCAATCCTCTGTTTGGTGAAAGTCAATCTCGGTAAACAAGTTGTCTTGTGGATTCCTAGAGACATATGAGAGGGATTAAAATCCTAAAGGAGGGTACGTACACCCCAATCACACCGATGCCCGGGGCAGAGCCGTCGATCAAAACGTGTTGTCGTCCAGAGTACTACGGCGAATAGTCGTCCACGGGTTGTGGTACACGAAAAGAGGGCGGGACCTGACGACAAAGCGATTATAGAGTAGATCGGAGATCGACGATCCACACCGAGGCACTCCACTTGTCGTCACAATACAACTCTGCGACATAAATACAGACCGACGTGCAATCCAACAGCAACAATTCACCATGTCGAAAGCACCCCAAAATCTTAAACAAGGCGACAAGGTTTCCTGGAACTGGGGCAGCAGCCACCCTACTGGGACGGTCAAAGCTGTTCACGCAGAGCATACGAGCATCACAAGTAAGAATGGAAACACCGTATGCAATCATTCATGGAATAGAATTGGTGCTGACGATATATAGATCAGTCGCAACGGCGACGAGGAGAATCCGGCTGTCGAGATTGTTCAGAGTAACAAGGTCTGTTCTCCGCGCCAAACGGGTATCACTACAACTAATAACCCTCGCAGAATCCCGTTCTCAAAAAGGCGAGCGAGTTGAATGAAGTGGATGTTTAGACGACGCCTCTATTGGGGTATAGAAAGAATAAAGTCTAGTGAGGGGAAATATGTCGTTCAATAGCTGCCTCTAGCTGTCGTAATCGACGATGATGCTCCACTCTCGCTCACGTCGTTTACGAAGCCACATGGCTCTAAGCAGTCTCCGAATCTTTTCGTCGCCCTCCATAAAGTTTGCCTACCACGCATCAGTCGGTTGTTCGTCTCCCATTAAAAGAGCAGCGCATACCTTGGCCACGCTAAGCAGATTCTCCGTCTCGCGCGGATCCATTTCACGCCTCCACGTCGAGATTGTGGATGGGTCCCATCCAGGAGCTACATTTGCATTGGGGATAAGCGGCATGTATACGATTCCGATCCCATCACGTTGAGCCAGCTGCTCTTCTGTGAGATCCTCGAACCGTGACTGTTCCGCGTCTGCGTCTTTGGATGATCCGATCCAAATTGAGACGGCTTGCAGTGGCTGTTGTTCTAGGTTGTTGGGGGTGTCCGTTCCTGTGGATGGTCAGGTACTGTTTGCTGAAAACGAAGAGCATACCTTCAGGGATAGTTGATGAACTCTCTGCTGGGGCAGGTTTGGGTTCCATCTCCACCTGACTTCCATCGCTGCGCTCCGGAATCTCCCTCTGGTCCTGCTGCTTCTGACGCTCCGTCTGTTCTCTGACCTGACTCTCCTGAGACTCGGCGAGGCGTCGGTTCGCATTGGTCGACTCTTCGTCTCTGCCTCTTGAACCATTTGATTTGCCATTTCCATCCTTGGGTGATTCAGGCGAGTTGAGCTCGATGGGCCAATGAGCGCCTTTGGGCCATGTGGAAAGTCCTCTGCGATTTGCGTATTCTGGAGACAATAAATTGTCTGTTCTTTGTAAGGAAACTGTCACATACCTTCTGCTCGTGTAAACCAGAGATCTTGCGAGTCGGCGCTCGCATCGAGGGCAATGATACAGTCGACATCCCGTCGCAAAAGGGGATAGTATGGAATATTGAGCTCGGCTATCATTGGTTGGGATGAATATCTTCCAAGATGGTAGTCACGAACCTCCTGCGTCCTAGACATCTTCAGCACGATCAGCGGAGATGAAATATATACTCACCATGAAACCCAAAGTATCTCGTGTTGTTATATCAGCAGGACTACCTTCACGAAGTTGGCCATCCAGTCCTTTGACAAAATTGGGTAGCTACAACGGGTGAGCGTCGCCCGCGCGTGGTAGTAGAGGTACCTGATTCGGAACGACGGGGTGAATGGCACCAAAGTCTTCTTTGTTCTCATCGATCACTTCGGCGATCCACGAGTACAGAGACCATGGAAGCTGTCGCAGCAAGGGTTGGGCTTCTTGAAAGTAGTCCTGGTACGGATTAAAAGCTGTACGTTAGCTGGTTGAGTACGTGCCTTGAGAGTGGCGCAAAACGCCGATGCGTATATGCTACGAACGTGAGTAAAGGTCTGCGCAATTGACGCGCACGTACCCGGATAGAATTGTAAAGCTCAGTTCGGGCTAGCTGCAGTAAGAATCTTGCGGGGAACAGCCGAATAACCACTCACTCTTCTTTCCACGTTTTGCCCATTCTCAAATTGACGGCCAAAGCTCCAGCTCGGAACCCATGCCTGCAAAGGATCAGCGAAGCTGATCATCCCGAAAAAAAGACGTACACCGAGTTCGTCGCATCCTACTTCGTACGGCGTAAACTCGTACCAGAGCCAACGCGTCTTGCTCTGTAGGTCTTGTTCTTCTTGTTTGAGCATGTTATATCGAGTCGAATCGACTAGATAATCTCGTTGTTCTTCTACTTCTGTCAAAGACTTTTGGGTATCAGGCGGGATTTCTGGTTGCAATTTGAGTGGCGTTTGACAAATATGGAATACGTACCGTGTTGGATAGCGGTAAAGATTGGAAGTGGCATCGCTCCACTATCCACGAAGCGCCGGAATTTGTGCAGGGAGAGATTGTCTGGATCCAAGGCGTCTAGGTCCGATGGGACGAAGAGTCGAGAAGAGATAAGTGTTCCATAGATGTCTGTTAAAGATACCGATCCTAGTGGAGCTGTTACTTTCAGGAGTAGCCCAGATAGTAGATACTGTGCAGAGTCAGCGCAATCCGTGTTGGGAGCGGTTTTTTACCTTGTTTGTTGGAGGCGTAGTGAGGAGATCCAAGGTGACAGTGTCGAAAAAGGTTTTGGATACCCTATCCTTGATATGTTCTGCGGCCCTACGCGGGTCCGGTACCGATCCTTTGACAGCAGGAATTCCAGAATAGAGCACGCCGAGCGCCCAACAGCTCCCGGATATGCCGGCCATATAGGTTATACAATCCAAGAGACCCATCTCCTTTGCTCCAACAAGCGAGCCAGCAGTGTTGGTCATAGCCCGATATCCTGTGTTTGTCAACAGGGGGTATACTTCAAAAGAAGAAACGCACCTCCTCCTGACGCCGCAATAGCTACGATGGGGATATCCTCTGGATGAATTTCCTTTTCATCCACGCCAAGAAAGTTGGCAAAAGACGTCTTCATCCGTCGCTTGCGTTCGCGGAGGTATGCCTTTTCAGCAACGCACAAATCTTCTCCGAGCCGAACGCGTGCGTCCCAGTTCATCTCTGGTGCATTCTTGGATTCTTCCACGATTTCAGCATAGAGCGAGCCGGGACCTCTCCCGATTGCGACGAGGAGGGCTTGAATGCGAGATTGGAGGTTTACGATTGATTCTGGCCATATCCAGGATGCGGTTATCGAGGGGATTGCGTCGAGGCTAAGCGAGTCGCGGACAAATTGGAGGCCACGCCAACCGAGGCCAGTCTATGGAGGTTTCAGATTCGTGTGTCGTGCATTTCGGGACATACTTGTTCTTCATGTTTTGGCTCCTGATTCAGAGTTAGTACTGTGTTTCGACAAGCAGAGTAACCTACCTCGGGTGCGTCTAGACCAAAGAGAGAGGTCAACGGTTTGGTCCATTCATCTTCTGTGGAGTGCTCCTTCTTTGAAGTCTTCTTCTGAAAAATAATTAGAACCAAAATGCCTGTTCAACTAGACGTACGCTTTCGCCCGTTGAGTCTGTGAAATGACGTCGAACTGCCTTGTAATCTGCCGAGGTTGTTGCTGCTAGAAAGAGAGCAGAAGCAGAGACGAGTGGAGCCCAAATGAACCAGGCTGTAAAGGATGAGTGCACGTCGTCATCCAATATAGGACTTGCATCGTGAATATGTGGATTGAGACGCATGTGAATGGACACTTCTTGAGAGTAGATGGTGTCTATTTACTCTTGATAGTCCTCTCAGCTGTCTCGTCCATAGAACCATAAGGCCAGGCGATCGTCGGAGACCGCGTGTAGAGTGTAATGAGCAGTATAGGAGTGTAGACACTGCTGGGAATTCTAATCTTCCCTAAGCGGATGATCCGAGCGCTGGGAGATAGAGGCGGGTGTAGTCAGTGTTCAACCTTCACGTAAACCTTGGACCCGAGCTCTAACCTTCAGACGCCAAACGAGGAGACGTAGAGGCCATTTGGACGGTGTCAAATGGCGGATACGGACATTCTAAACACAATTCTCGGTGAACTCAGATCCCCGTGCGTCGAATTGACTCCAAGTATGAGAGTGGTTGGCTGATAAACGTCGAAATACAGCGAGGAATCGACACGAGAACATGGTCTTCAACGCTTTCAAGACTATGTACGCTTATTTATCGAGTGGAAGAGGGCTGGGCTGAGCGGTGGTGTGGTTTACAGGTGCGAAGCAGCCTTGCAAGCGGCAAATCAGACGACGGAGAGTCGTTTTGGAACGATATTATTAATAAGGTTCTGGTCCCGCTCACAGCGATGAGCGATACTGCCCAGGAGAAACTGGTAGGCATTGCGGCTATCGGTATGTCTCACTGGCTACACTCTCAAATACAATGCTGAAAGATCTACGCAGACAAACTACTTCTATCTCCTTCCGACGACGCCCATCCTACCACCGCACCCGCCTCGCATACTTCAAATCCAAGCGCAACGTCCAACAAAAACTTTCTTTACCGGCTGCAGAGATATCTCAAGAATCTATTACCAGACCCAAATCTGTCGGTTATGGCCGCCGCGTCTCAGACATATGGAGCCATTCTCCGTGTAGGAGGACAGGTGGTTGCAGACAACGTCATGGAGTTTGAGATTCAACACGCCGTCAATCTCATGAAAGAGAAGGAGGGCGAATGGAGTGGTACAGCGAATCGTGATCTCACCATCGCTCGACAGTCGCAGCAAACCGCGACGACGGCAACGCCAGGCAAGCCTACACCGCCCAAGCCCGTGAAGGAAAAGATTTTAGCGTCTCACGCGAGAATTGCCGGCGTATTGATCCTCGTCCAAATTGCCACGCATGCACCTCATATCTATTATCAGCACGTTTCACTCATCTTGGGGTACATCATGCCAGCCCTCCGCGATCCCTCTCGCTTCCTCGTCAACACGTCGAATCCATCCAATCCCCTCATGGCGCTCTTGGGAAGCAGTTCGGGTATCGCAGCTCAACCGCAGAGTGCCGCGGTAGCCGGCGATGGCGTTGGGTGGGACAAGGACGGCAAGTCGACAGTTGAGGCGAGAGACGTCGTCCGAAGACTTGCTGCAAAACTCTTTGGTGTCACGCTTGCCGTCATCGAAGAGCGTGAACCGGGGATCGATCATAGTGTCTCCCCCGAGGCGTCCATCACCCCTTCGTTTCCAGCTTCGCTCTCCAAGAGCGCCGCAAGGATCGAACGGACGTCTACCCTCTCCACCATTTACCATGCCCCTCAATCTGGCTCGGCAAACGGCGGCCACATTGGGTTCTCGACGCACGTCCCGACGAATAAACCGCTCGTCAAGCTCGTCACAGCCGCGTCTAATGATATTGCGAATTACATTTCGAGTGTACTGCAATATAGCGAGCCCGTGAGCACGCACAATGCCAAAACAACCTCAGCATCCCAATCAGATTCGTCGAAAAAGCATGGGTTCTCTGGTCCAGGAGATGTCAACCGTGCATTCGGGGCGTTGCTGATCTACCGCGAGCTCTTTGAAAGCGGTCTTGCATCCCTTGCGGGCGTCTTTGCCTCTCTTCCGTCTTCACGGTCTCGAATTGAGCGCTCGAGGTACCACGACTCGCCCTCCAAGACGCCGCAATTGCTGACAAAGGGCGGTGCGTACGACCATAGTTTGCACCCCAGCGCGAGTACGAGTAGCGCATTCGATCCTCCGCCTCCCTTTTCGGGACCGATGAGCATGACGAGTTCGCGGAGCGTGAAGGCGCACGATTTTGGATCACCGCAGGGTGCAGAACCAATTCTGCCCATTACGCAGTTTTCCGACAAACCAATGCTATATCCACAGACATTCCGCGCTATTTTCCACCTCGCGACAGCGCAGCCCCCTCAGCAGAGTCATTCTACGTCCCTTCTGGCGGTGAGCACGCATTCGATTGCGAATTTACTCTCCCCGGCGAGTCCGACGAGTTGGGGGTCTACTTCAATAGCTGCAAGTTCGGTTAATGCTACGACGGCGTCGTTGAGTGGTGCGTCGGCTGGATATGGTGCGGATTGGGGGACTGGTATTGGCTGGAGCAGCCCGCTCCCACAGCTTAACAAGACAGAGCTGGAGGAGCAGTTGAGAAAGGAGGCGCTCAGTCTTCTCCCTGTGTGTGCCGCATACGATACGGAACGCTTCGTCAGCTCGGGACTCTTTAGTGCGACGATGATGGTCATCCTCACGAGCTGGGGTTACAAGACAGGCGTTTCTGCAAAGGACAACTTTGAGGATCGGCAGCAGTTTGAGGTGCTGACGAGTATGATCAAGGGCAAGGTCGCGATGGAAAAGGGTGACCGGAGTTATCTTGTGAGGATATTGGGCGAGCTTACGTTTGCCCTACGGAATTCTAGCGTCGGTATCTACTCTTATTCCATTCTCTGGTACTGACGTTCTTTCAGGCGATGATAAGCTACATCAAGGAGCTTGGCGTCATCCTTAATGGATGTCTCGAAAGCCGACTTCCACCTCCGGCGCCATGGAGGTATAATAGCTACTACTCTGACACCAATATGTCCCTGCGGCATGGACCTGGACGAGCCAGCACGGTGAAACGTTCTGGGACTCGTGGTGCTCCGGTTCCAGTTTCGGGGAAACGAGCTTCGACAGCAATGGAGGCACTGGCTGCTACGACAGGCAAGCCCGAATCAGCTGTTCCAGCCAAGGGAAGCGGATCATCTGCCGCAAGCAAGCAGAGCAAGGGACTCGTTATCCCAAAGGGATGTGTCAGCGATGAAGTGCTCTTTGAGGCTATTGCCCTGATTAGTATGGCTCTTGGGGTGCATGCTACGCGTGTGATTAGCGGTGCCGGAAGGAGCGAGGACGCAGAAGCGCAAGACGATCTGGTTGGACCCGACGATGATACAGGTGCGCGCTTTTGCCGTGGATGGTGTTTAGTTGACTGAATTGACGTTTTTAGCTTGCCAGAATGCGCTCGATAAGATGTTCCGCTATGGACTCAACCCCGCGCTCGCGCTGAATTTACCTCTGATTGCGCGAAGCGTTCCTGTTCTACTGAGTGCTATTCAGGGTCAGTACTCCCAGTCGACCGCTTCGTGATGCTAATAAGAGACAGTTCATTTCCTAAACGAGATTTCGATGGTCCTCACGGGTCATGGTTATCATGCTCCAGGTGCACCGATGAACGATGGCTCGCTCACTCTTGATGTACGTTGTGTTCATTCACTCACCCATTAGACCTCTAATATTTGTAGACTGGTTCTCCCAAGCAAACGATCCGAACAGATATCAACGTGTCGATCATCCGATTGGCCTTGGGAGTACTTCAGACCTTTGACTGGCGCGGTGGGTGCAAACGCCTCTGCTAAGAGCTGTACTAATCGAGCGCAGGCAAGATTTTGACGCCTCTGATTCAAGATGGTGTCCTCGGCTATCTTGACTCACGAGACCGTGAAGTGCGCATGGAGGCGAGCTTAGCCACCTGTAAGCTCTTTATGAAGGACCCGATTGCCCACCATACGAGCACCGCTGCTGTGGAGGTCACGAATCAGGTCGTCGAGAAACTCATTCGTGTGGCTCTCTCTGATCCAGGTGAGGTCATATCCGGCCGATACGTTTCCATCTCTAATCTCTGCGCAGACCCTGAGATTCGCTCACTCGTTCTGAGCAACTTGGACGAGAGCTACGATCGTCATTTGGCTCAAGTTGAGCACGTGCGTGCTATTTCAATGGCAGTCAACGATGAGGAGCCTCAAGCGCGTATACATGGTGTTCGAATCATTGGTCGACTCGCGCTGCGTAATCCAGCGACGGTGATGCCGAGTCTGCGCGTCGAACTCCTCAAGCTGTTGACCGAGTTAGAGTACTCTGCCGACTCGTCTGTGCTCTCTCTATCACAAGTCTTTTTGCTAACTCGGGACTAGTAAAGCTATGCTCACAGCAGCTGAAGTCTTGACATCCCTGCTCAAATGTACCGATCGTCTTGTCAAGCCTTATGTCCCCGCAATCCTTCGAGTCTGCCTACCCAAGGCAAAGTCGTCCCTGTCCTACGTCTCACGGAGGATGATCCAATGCATCGGTCTACTGGCGGGAATCGCCGGAGATGATCTTATTAGCTCCTTGGACGAGATTATGGATCTCCTGGTGAATACGCTTCAAGATCCTACAGCGTCGGTCATCAAGAAGGATATAGCGCTGGTCAGTCTCGGCCAAGTCTGCGGGAACACGGCAAATGTCGTCGACCCATACGTCCGTTATCCGCAGTTGATGGGCATCTTCCGTCGATTCTTGCGAGGGGATTCAAGTGACAAGACGAAAAGAAAGGTGCTTCAAGTCATGGGCATCTTAGGTGCCGTTGATCCATATCTTCGAAGAGTGAGTATTTGGTATTGGGCTCTCGAATGATCTAACTTTTGTTCCAGTCGATTCCAGAATACGACAATCAGGAAAAGACCCCAGGGGCCAAAGCACTCCAGCAGTCGGTCAAGACGGTTGGATCCCAGCCCGAAGTGTTTTACCAATCAGTCGTCATCCAGTCACTTTTGACTATCTTATCGGACGCCTCTCTTGGCGCCAATCACCCCGAGGTGATTGATGTGCTTCTGGCCATCTTCAAGACGCAAGGAATGAAATGCGTGCCGTTCCTGCCTCAAATAATCCCCGCATTTGTTACTATGTGCCGCTCGCCAAGTTCTCGACATCAGGACTTTTATCTCCAACAAATGTCGTTGATCGTTCAGATCATCGGAGGGCATATTCGCAACTTTATGGAGGACGTTTTCCAGCTCATTGCAGACCTATGGCCCAATCCAGTACTTCACTTGCCAATCGTTGGCCTTGTGGAGAGCTTGGCGACAGCAATGGCTGCCGAGTTCAAAAAGTACCTCCCAGTGGTCGTCCCTCAGCTTCTGACAGTATTTACCGAACCGCCGAGCGCGGAGCGGAATCAAACAGAAGTGCGCGTCTTCCACACTCTGCTATCGTTTGGGAGTGCGATCGAGGATTACACACATCTCATCCTGCCTGTCATCCTCAACACGATAGAGTCCAAGACTGCTTCGCCAGCATCGCGAAAGGCCGCAGTACATACAATTTCTGGGCTGACGCGACGGGTCAGTCTGGCTGACAGCGGCTCTCGTATCGTTCAACCCCTGTTGAGGACCTTGCCGAGTGCGGAAATTCAGTTACAGTCAGCAATTGTGGATGCGCTATGTGCCCTGCTCCTGCAGATGGGCTCCGACTTTGCCCTCTTTATCCCTAGGATCGCAGATGTGAGTGCGTGTTCTGGCACGAAAGCTAGATCCTAACTTCCGTTAGTGTCTTCAAACTTTCAAGATCCCTGCACCCAAGTTTGACAAGCTCGCCGGTTGCCTTATGAAGGGTGAGCCACTTCCTCAGGAAATTGGAGCAGACGAGCGGTAAGTAGCTCCCCTACTACTCAAGAAGGTGCTTACGCTGCTGTAGCTGGAGTCGCACGGGGTCTACGGACCCTGTTGCTTCTGCCGATCTCACGCGACCCACTGTCAACCAGATCTTCCTCAAGCACTCGTGGTCCACTGACACCGTAGTGCGACAAGAGGATTGGCAACGGTGGTTCAAGACACTTTCCCTTGGGCTCATGAGGGAGTCGACATCTCAAGCGCTCCGAGCCTGCGTTTCCCTTGCCGACACACATGAGCCACTGGCCAAGGAACTCTTCAACGCCGCTTTCTACTCATGCTGGGTTGAGCTTTCCGATTCGAACAAGGCGAGTTGCTCATCACCGCTTCCTTCGCGAGTACTCAACGAGCTATAGGAGGATTTTGCTCGAGCACTGACTCAAGCTTTGACCGAGTGCCGGAACACCGACATTCGGCTGCGCTTGCTTAGTGTCGCAGAATTCATGGAGCATGAAGACAAGATGTTGCCTATCGACACACGTCTCCTTGGTGACATAGCGGCCCAGACAAATGCGCTAGCCAAGGCACTCCACTACAAGGAACAAGAATTCCTTAGTGGTGTCTCCAACGAAGTGGTCGAGCAATTGATCGGCATCAACGCGCAACTCAAGCAAAAAGACGCTGCACTCGGCCTCTTGTTCAACGAGCAACTGAACAGAAATGTTGACAGACTCCTCTGGTACGAGCAACTTGGGCGATGGGAACAAGCGTCCATTCTCTACAAAGAGCGAAGGCAACTTCGCGAGGACGACCAAGATGCGCTTATGGGACAAATGCGTTGTTTGCATGCGCTCAGCGAGTGGGAGGCACTCAACGCGAACGTTGAGACGAAATGGCCAACGGCGAGTCTCGACTACCGGGAGGAACTTGCACCAATGGCCGCATCTTCGGCATGGGTACTGCGCAAATGGGACCAGATGGAAGACTATGTTGCTTCTATGAGCGCAGAGAGCACGGACCGTTCTTTCTTCAAGGCTATTCTTTCCGTACATAACAACCAATTCGATACCGCGTACAACTGCATATCGCGCGCACGAGACGCTCTGCAGACAGACCTCGGTATTGTCGAAGATTACAACCGAGTTTACGGGTATGTCTTTGTCCCGCGCAGCTGCTCTATTTGACTTGGGCCTGTAGGACAATGGTCCGCATTCAACTGTTATCAGAGCTCGAGGAAATCATCACCTACAAGAAATGTGCAGATCAACCGGACAAGCGGCAGGCGATTCGGAAAACCTGGGTGAAAAGGTTGGATGGAGACCATGGATCTTTGCGCGCTACTAACAACCGACAGGCTAAGAGGATGCCAGCGCGACGTTGACACTTGGCAGAGAGTGCTTCAGTTGCGCAGTCTAGTCCTCAGCCCAAGCGAGGATGCACCGTCATATATCAAGTTTGCCAACCTGTGCCGAAAGGAAGGGCGATGGACTCTTGCTGAATCAGTCATCCAGCATCTCCTCGCGGACCAAGCTAAGAGGGACTCCTCTCAGCGAGCATCACCAGCTGTCGTCTTTGCGCATCTTCGACTAATATGGGACACCGGCGAGAAGCTCGAGAGTCTCGGGTATCTTGTCAACGTCTGTGCAAGTCTGGCCCACGACATTGGACTCGATGATCCGAGAAAGATCATTACTGGTACAGTGGAAGAGATTGACGATGTGAAGCGTCTCTTATCACGGGCTTATCTCAAGCAAGGCGAATGGCGTCAAGAGCTGCAACAGGAGTGGACACCAGAACTCATCTCCGAAGTTATGCAGTGCTATCACTTTGCAACACAACTGGATCCCAAGTGGTATAAAGCCTGGCATACATGGGCACTCTGCAACTTTGAGGTCATTAACCATCTCGAGAACGTCGACGACGACCGCGACGAAGAGATTCAGCGAAAGTCTCTCCTAACTCATATTATCGAGGCTTTAGTTGGTGAGTAGTTGAGTTTTGCAGCGCGCGAGCTCATCACATGCAAGGCTTCTTCCGTTCAATCGCACTTGGTGGAGAGAATCCGATTCAAGACTCCCTCCGTCTCCTCACTCTCTGGTTCAAGTTTGGAGCAGATGAAGAAGTCAGCGCGGTAGTAGCTGAAAACTTTGGGTCTGTGTCCATTGATACATGGCTCGAAGTCATTCCACAGGTGTGTCAGTTTCTGTTTGCAAACTAGGAAACTCACATCGTATAGTTGATTGCTCGTATCCAAACTCCAAGCAGTGTCATTCGACAGCACATCAACTCGCTCCTCACACAGATTGGACGGGTGCATCCTCAAGCGCTCATTTATCCCCTCACCGTCGCTTCAAAGTCCAACAGTTCAATTCGTGTCAAGGCTGCAAACGAAATCATTGACCGTCTGCGCGAGCACAGTCCCCTTCTCGTTGAGCAGGTAAGTAGATTGCGATAATGTGAGAGTAATCTCGTTCTGAATAGTTGTAGGCACTGATGGTCAGTCACGAGCTAATCCGTGTAGCCATCCTCTGGCACGAGTTATGGCATGAATACCTCGAAGAGGCGTCCCGTCTCTACTTTACCGAAAAGCGTCCAGAGGCAATGATTGAGCACTTGGAGGCCTTGCATCGACGCCTGGATCTCGTATGTTGATCACCTCGATCGCTACATGCCTAACTTTTCTCAGGGCCCGGAGACGACAAGGGAAGCCTCGTTTGTCCAAGTCCACGGAAAGGACTTGCGCGAGGCAAGAGAAGCTTGTCATCGATATCTTCGCTTGCACGAGACTACCGACATGGATCGCGCTTGGGACATTTACTATGCTGTAAGTTGCACATTTTCTGGTGGAACAAAGCTCACCCTGATGCAGGTCTTCCGTCGTATCGAGAAACAGCTTCCTCTTCTGACGACTATCGACCTTCAGTATGTCTCGCCCAGACTACTAAGTGCCGAGAATCTCGAACTTGTGGTACCTGGCACATACAAGAGCGGAAAGCCAATGATTCGTATCACACGATTCGTCCCCAAGCTCAGTGTCATCGCGTCCAAGCAACGCCCGCGAAGACTGGCAATTATGGGCAGCGACGGAAAGGAGTACCAGTTCTTGCTCAAAGGCCACGAAGACCTCCGGCAGGACGAGCGCGTCATGCAAGTCTTTAGCCTCGTCAACACACTGCTGTCCGCGGACCGACAAAGCTTCATGCGTAATCTGCATATCCAAGGATATGCCGCCATCCCACTTGCTCCAAATGTCGGTTTGCTCCAATGGGTCCGCCACGCCGATACTCTCCACGTCCTCGTCTCCGACTATCGTGCCGCACGGAAGATTCATCTGCAGATCGAATATCGACTCATGCTGCAGATGGCTCCAGATTACGTCAACTTGACGATGCTCCAGAAGCTCGAGGTGTTCAAGTATGCCCTTGATAACACCACTGGACAAGATCTGTACCGCGTTCTATGGCTGACCTCTGGAGATTCAGAAGCGTGGCTGGAGAGACGATCGACATACACTCGATCCCTCGCCGTCAGCAGCATGGTCGGACACATCCTCGGCTTGGGAGATCGCCACCCCGCAAATCTCCTCCTCGACCAGTACACAGGCAAGGTTATCCATATCGACTTTGGTGACTGCTTTGAGATTGCTATGCACCGCGAAAAGTTCCCAGAACGCGTACCTTTCCGACTCACGCGTATGCTCGTCAGTGCGATGGAAGTCAGCGGTATCGACGGGAGCTTCAAGGTTACGAGTGAGATTACGATGAATGTTCTCCGGCACAACCGAGAGCCGTTGTTGGCGGTGCTCGAGGCCTTTATCTATGATCCCCTCGTGAGCTGGAGATTGACGACAGAGACGGAAACGAGAGGGCGCACGCAGGCGGCTACTCCGGCACCCAACACGGCCCACGCAGGAGCGACTGGAGGCCAGGCCGGGGCACCTCAACTCGAGGCTGCATATACGCGTCATACGGGCGGGCCGCGTCGACGTGTTCAGCTCAATGAAGGATTGGCGTTCAACGAAGACATGACAGAGTGGCGTAATGCGCGTGCACTCGAGGTATATCAACGTGTGCAGAAGAAGCTCACTGGCCGTGATTTCAATCCCGACGAGGAGCTGACGGTGGAGAAGCAAGTCGAAAAATTGATTCGGCAGGCGACGGCATTGGAGAATCTGTGCCAGGCTTTCCCAGGTACGTCTCGAGTACAAGCGCATGATTGGTCTCTGACGAGAACCAGGCTGGTGTCCATTTTGGTGATTAGGAACCCTTTTTACATGTATCTTTTCTGTACTTTTAGGGGCATGACAACTACCACTACTTTTTCGACTTTTTCTTCTTGGGACCCTTGTCACCTTCGTCCTCGTCGCTGTCGCCAAACTCTTGTGCTTGGACAGCTCGTGGCTTTTTGTGAGGTATACCCTTTGTGCGACCTGGGACGGGTCGCTGAGTGATCGTTTTGCCTAGGGTTTCACAAATAAGCTGAGAGCCGTGGTCAAGTACACAGACTGACCTTCGAGCGCGTCAATCTTCTTTTGCATCTCGCGCATTTGAGCCATCTGTTCCTCATTCTTTGCCGCATTCTCCCTTGCCAATCTCCCTAACCGTGCCTCTTCTTCGCTTTCTGCTGTCGATGATGAAGGGCGCGGAAAGAGATGGGCCGGTTCGTGAGTTTGAGTGGATATGTGAGAGAAGATGGCGAAGAGGACGTTTGTAACCCGTTCAGATGCGTCTTTAGTCGAGAGTGCGTGGAGTGCGATTCGATGAGAGGCACCACCTCCAGCAGGATTTATACTAAGCTACACTTTGTCAATTCCACGCGATTACAAGAGAAAAAAGGCGTACGTAGGGTCCAGTTGTAGGCGAGCTCTTTGACGATTGCGTTTGAGTCTGCGTTTGCGTTTGCGTCAAGGATTGCGTCAGGCTCTCTTTCTCCGCTTCATCTCCCTGTAAGATACCACCAATGTACAGATTCCCCTCGCAAAAGTTTTGCGCAGCAGCGTCGACGATATGTTGCTGCGCGTCTACGCCTCCAGTAACCTATATGATACAAAGTCGATGCATGTCACATCATATACAAAAGCATAGTATGAGACTGAGGACTCACGGCTATTGCTCGTACATCCGCAATCGTCCATTTGCCACTCCACCAACAAGGTGAAGCGCCGAGTTGACCAACTTCAAACACGACATATTGCTCTCCACTTTCATCTCCGTTACTCTTTCCATCCAAGTTCGGTAATTCAAATCCTAGGTCCTCGAGTTGCGTCGCTAATGGGTCGTCGTCTGCATTTGCGACGTAGGCTACGACGATGAAACGCCCAATACCATGCACGACTTGGGCAAGAGAGATGAAAGGATCAAAAGAGGCGGCTTTGGACTTTGCCTGCTTGGTCGGCATCAAAGAAGTCAAAGTGGTGGCGGAAGACAAGATTCCAATTGGTTGCAAACGGCATTTATTTCTGCTATTTTACTGCACATGTACGTTCTAGAGGGTACCTATAGACAACAAGACTCCAAATTCCAAAACGACGTTGTCTAATGGTCGATGATCGACACATTACCGCTGACGAGCTTATTCTCCAAGATGGATCCATCCGGTAGATCAATCTTGTTACCCTCGTTGGCAACAATAATGACCGTACCACGGAGTGTAATGCCCTTGCCAAACCAGACGTCGCCGCTGACCGTCAAGTGGTCAAGCTCGAGGATATTCGGGATCGACCCGAATCGCTTTTGGAAGTTGGAAATCTTCTTGAATGTATCGCCGAGCTTGACGACGGGCGTCTGGTTGAACATGCGGTTCGGGTTCATGATCAGCTTGCCGTGCTCTAGCGAGTACAGGTCCGAGGTGATGAGGAGGAGATCCGATGTCGACTTGACCTACGAAGGCTTAGTAGAGATATACGCGGAGAAAGAATACGTACTGGCAAGAAACGACTTCGAGGAACGTTGATACCATGGGCGTGCTTAAAGTGCTTGATGGCAGCACCAATGGCCGTCTCGAGCTGGATGACGGGTGTACCATCATCCATACTCTTGTTGTTGACAATGATATCGAGCTCAAATCCACCCTCATCCTCGATGATGCGCTTGATAGCCGGGAGCGAAATGTACACCGAGTTGGTGTTGAAGTATTTAAACTTGCGAATCGACTTGAAATCCTCGACGTGCTCCTTGGGGACTTGGGCAATTTCGAGCAGGCGGACGGTGCCATTATAGTCGATAATGGTACCACCCTTTACGTCTGCCTTGGTCTTGTCGGTTAACTCCATCAAGAATTCGGCTCCCGAGTCGACGAGGTGACCGAGAATACTGAGGTCGACGTCGGCACCGAGGTTGTCCACGTTGGAGACGAAGATGTACTCTTTTCCAGAGGCGATGAGTTTGTCCAAGAGGCCAGAATCGTTGAGGGCGTCGAAAATGTCACCATGACCGGGTGGGTACCACTGCGACTTGTCCGAAGTAGCAGCACGTGGGATTGGGAGGAGCGAATCCTTGTTGAAGCGAGGGTGGCGGGACTGGTTGAAAGTGATAATCTGGATATTGTGATTGGCGTATTTCTGGATGATACGCTGAGTGTCCTCGTCGGTGTTGAACGAGTTCATCAAGATGAACGGGACGTTGACCTTGTACTTTTCGTTCAAGTGCTATGGAGGAGTCAGACGAGACGTATGTCTTAGAGAGAGCGTTTACCTCGATTTGGCGCACGGAAAGGTCCAAGAATGTCATACCGTCACGAACTTCGAGTGCCGATTTTGGGAGACCACCCATACCCATTGTCGTACCGAGACCACCGTTGAGCTTGAGGACAGCAATCTTGGAGAGGATCGAAGGATCGACGTCTTGAGGGATAGAAGAGTATGGAACGACCATCTCGTCGGTCGGCGAGTGAACATTTTCCCAAACGCTACGCAACGATCAGCGAGACCAAAATGACAGGGTTTAGTGCTTACAGTTTCTCAGACTTTGCTCGTTCTGCGAGATAGCGACTGAAGAGACCAAAGAAGGACTGCATCTGCGCATTGAAGATCTGGAAAAGCGTGAGATCGAGACACTGGCGGCGACCCTGGGCGAGTGATTACGGGTGGCAATCGTCCTCGAGACGAGCTATTGCTCTAGATCATCACCCACATCTCATTTGGGATACAAAGAGAGTAGATGAGCTCGCGATCTTGGTTGTTGGGGTTGTGGAAAATGTGACGAAATGACATACCTTTTTGGTCGATGGATCTCTAACATCTTCTACCATCTTGTTGAGTTCATTGCGCATTGCCTTGGCTGCGACTCCGGTCTGGAACACGTCCGCCGTCGTTAGCGTCGAAACGAGCGAGTAGATTGGCCATCGCCGGCCAGACAACACTCACAGTCGCACTCTTAAAGTCCTAGAGAGAAAAATGTGTCAGCTTTGCGATTATGGGGTCAGATGAGCGCGCAAAATGGACGAACCATGGCGGAGTGACCGCGCTTTCTATGCGAGGACTGGAGGTCAGTGGCCGTAGGAGCGGAGAGAGTAGCCATTGCTGTCTAGATTATGCGCGGCGACGTCGAGAGGAGCGGGGAGGAAGAGGGCGGGTCCAAGATCGATGAGCGGGTGGGTCGAGCGATATCGACTCCTTATAGAGCGATTATAGTTCTATGAGCATGTTCTAAGCAGAATGTACCCGGAAATGCGAATCGGTTTCGACTGGCGTTTCGTCTCAGTTCCATCTACGGTTACAGAGCGCATGCGGTGTAGTCGCGCGGCGATTATCCGGCTCCAATCCAAACTCGGAAACCTCGTCGAAAAGTAAGATCGGACATCAGCAAACGTGTCGCAAACGTTGGGCACTTTTCATTTATCGATAAATCCATGTCCATTGGCACTCTGGCGATCCACCGGAGCCGGCATATGCACTCTGGAAATACTACTCTTGTAATCTGGCAGTGGAGATCAGTAAGGCGCATCAGAAGAGTGAATGGGCATTTGATACGATCACCTCTTTATTCCACTACTTACACTACCTGCAGTGGAATGTCTAAAGTCACCCCCTTCAACTACCCCCTCTTAAGGGTTTGGCGGGATGGGGATGACTCTGGGAGGAAATAAAGTGCATCAATTAGCCACAGCTACCTATATCACTCGGTCCAAGTCTCAACCCTCCGCTTGCTCCGATACCAGTCAAGGGGCTCTCTCAAACCCATACCTCCGAGTGATTTTACTTGGCGAGTGTGTTAGATATATGAGTTCTTAAAATATATTTGCTATCACAAGTTCCACTGGACAGAATTCTTCTAGGTACCTCCAAAGTCCCTCAGCCAGAGCACCTCTATAGTTCCAAAATTGTGAATAGACCGCAAATTTCCACTTTTAGGTCAACCCTGACAAAAAGGGTCCGCTGCCGAGTCAGCAGGGCTGTGGGTGACGCCCGCCTAGGCGCGGGGCAAAAAACGGCTACTAGCCCGATGCGGGGGTCGAACCCGCAACCTTGAGATCTCTAGAATAAAAGTCTCACGCTCTACCGATTGAGCTAACCGGGCATTATGGAGTATAACTCACACATTTTAAATTATAAGATCTTTTCTTTTCCACTCACTGTGCCTGCATAAATTGTCTTAGAAAGTTTAAATTTTCATCTAGTCTCGCGAGTACAGGAGTATCTTCATGGCATCTACCAAGCAATTCCTTTGCGTTGCCCCCCATCCGACGCGCCATCGATGATATATCCTGTAAACACCGTTGTGCGTCAAGAACAGAATAAGCATTCCTCTTCTAGCCATGATTCAAGAATAAAAGTACTCTTGGAATAATCTCAAACGACGATCTTCACCCTGCAGTCGTTGACCGTTCGGACGCGGACAAGGTGGCCATTCGCACAGACGCTCGTGTTGGTCCACGGGAGGAGCTCATCATCGAATTTATCAGTATCGGTCTTAACTCTGCCACGGGCCACGTCAAAACCCTCCATGTTCCTCCGCCCTCACTGGCTCAACTCTTTCAAGGGTCCGTGGAAGACTTCCCCCCTCCCGGTGAAAAATGACGAGCGCATTCGTCAAGCAGTCGAAGACTCGGGCCGAAACCAGATTAGGGTCTGGAGAAAGACCGCCGGTGCCCGCCAGATTGACCGACGGGCGGCACAGGCCCAGATCCAGGCGTGATCTGGGCTCCTCGGTGTCATAGAGGGGCGCATGTTGCGCGTCGACATCAATTGCGACCTGCCAGCAGAGCTCTTCGACGGTCATATCGAGCCAGGCCTTCTCCAGCTGCAGCAAGGCTCAGCAATCTCTGCGCTGATCCGCTCGACCCGAGTGGTGAACCTGGAAATGGACCCATCTCCATACAAGCCGATTTTCTAGTTTAGGATGCCCGTCAATATCTTGGGGCGCGCTTCGACGTGCTCTCCTACGAGACGTCGTGGAGTCACTGGGAGGCAGGCGCGTTGTTCCTGAGCAGGAACCTTCAAATTGCCCGACCACAGATCATTGTGGGGAAAAGAAGATATTGCTGTGCCAGGGTGTGGAATGTCGCATCAAAAAGGGCTTCTAGAGACCGAACGGTGCAAAACCACATCATTGACCCAGGGAAATCATGCCATTAATGGCCCAGTCTGGGTCGTCGGGATGTTCTTTGGCGTACCGACGAATGGTAGACTGAACAACGGTGGCATTGTTGAAATTGAGTCTTCGGATGTAATATTTGAACAAGTCATTGCCGCTGTTAATTAAGTCATCCGTTGGCTCAAGGACGCGCACGTCAGCCCAATGATTCAGATCGACAGATTGAGCACAAACGATTTGAACGGTGCGCGTGGTCACATCGTGCCAAGAGACTGAGACACCGCTCGCACGTTGGTAACTGACTAGCATAGGAGATCACGTAAACTATCTTGACTAAATATGTGCGTTACAATAAATGCGTCGCATAGTAAAGAAACAAGTTTATTGCTATTCGTGCGTGGTTAGTTTAATCAGTACGAGAAATTGAATATTCGTTGGACTTTCATTGGGCTCTCCTTCTCTTTGCTCTCACAAAGTATAAATAATGAAGACTACATGCAAGACAAGTACTGATTTCAAGGATAGTGAAGATTCAGCCAGGTCACAGCAGAGGTTGCTGCATCTTCCTTTGCCGCATCCTTTGTGGCATGCCAATTTGCTGACCCACTAATTACCTGTGTTGCTCCGTTCAATTTGGTAAGCGTGATCGACGCCTTCCATTGATGAGCGTGTAGAGGTCCCTGAGACACAAACGAATACGCCGGAGGTGTCTTTCCAAATTCTGCCACATAGGCGGCACTCCAACCTTGTTGTATCCTTTGATTGAGAAGTTGACGTTGGGAATTTGCGCGTGCATGTAGTTGAGGCCATTCCTCTGGCGCATGACGAGGCACTATTTGGGTGGAATTTGTAGCCAATGCTTGAGTAGAGGGAAGGGGGGCTGAAAGAGCGCCACTGATGGAGGAGATGAGAAGAAGAAAAGAAAGCGCATGATAATGAAGTAAAGGGACTGCTTGGTTATTAGTCATGGTTCGACCAGTATAGAAGGAACCTACAGCTCCAGGCTTTGTAGAGAAACTTGATCACTGATAAAGACCCGTTTCAGCACTGTGGTAGGTCGTTTATATCCGTCTTACTGTTTGCCTCCAAGAAGTTTGAATATCCATCTACAGCGCACAGCATTGCCGACATCAAAGGAGGCAAGCTTTGCTCGACAGTGTTTGCCAAACCGCCGAGTTCTTCCGTACCTTGTTCGCATTGGCGACATTACATTTCAGAATATATTGATGGTAAGCGAACCTTATAGTAAAGACATGGAGCAACGAGATTATGGTTCGCTCAATGCAAACAGGATCATTAAATAAGTGCATTGGGCATCAAATTGTCAAGCAGTGTCAGAAGAATGGAAAGATATCACCTTGCTTGTTGGCCTCGTTTGCACGGTTTGCACGGTTTGCACGGTTTGCACGGTTTGCACGGTTTGTACGGTTTGCACGCAGGGCTGCGTGTACGTTGACATGTTTTCCTCTAAGAACACAAACATCATTTAGACACATTGGTTCAATTAGTGAATGCTGCTCGCAGGTCTGGCAGACGCCACGGTTCAGTTTCGTGTCCTGGGATCGATTGGTAAAATGCAGTGTAGGCGAACACACAGGAGCTCCATATTAAAAGATTGGCTTATATAGAGACTCGCAGCGCTGGGTTCCGTTCAACCATCGAATTCACTTCTAAAGCCTGGAGCTGTGCGTTTCTTCGAACCACAAATACCAATGTGCTAAAAACATAATAGTTGAACATTTATCATGCGACTCGTGTCTCTCCTTCTCACTTTCACCTTATTGCCAGCAATGCCACCTCCGCTCCTGTCCCGCACCCAACCGACTGGTTGGCCGTACAAATAGTTCCTCGGGATATACCTAACATAGCATCTCAACTAGGCGAATACGGGCAATCCTACTGTCAATTACTTGCGGCGGAGATAGAAAAGGGGTGGAGTACCAAATTTGTGGAGGCATATGGGAAAAGAGCACCCAAGTATTCAGTGTCAGATGAAGGGTCTAAAAATAATCATCGATGGAAAGCTACTGTGACGCTTACCAAGATAGGAGGGGCAACAAGGTCGATAATTGGGTCAGATGCATCGTTCACTAAAAAGGTCGATGCCAAAGAGGAAGCGGCACGATCAGCAATTGAGTGGCTAAATCACTGGTATCCTCAAATGTAATAGCTACCTTAGAGCCCGGGATTGTAATATTCTCGCCTTCGCACTGGTCAGCTACAAGAGAAATGATCGGTCAATGATACTACAAAGATGGAAGAATACTATTCCAACTCATGGTCATAATGCCTGAATTGAGATAGTAACTGCCGACTTTCAGGGGTACATGTGTTTGGTGTAAGAAAAGCATTTTCCCGGAGAGGAATGATGACGGTGGTCAATAAAGGTTGGACCCGACGTCTTTGAGTATGACACTGGCAAAGTTCAAGCGGCTTGGTGTCGGGCTCGACGCGTTACTAGCCAAATATAAGTCTAATACAACAGCACCAGACTCCGATACCCTCACTCAAACTTATACAGCCATCTTGGGTGAATCTGTAGCTTGATTCGTCAGGCAGAAGCGAAAAATGACCCAAATCTCCCGGAAATGGTGGAGCTTGCCAACGAAATGATAGTACGTGGCGTTGAGACGGAGTGCTCGGATGACTATTCAGATGGTTTCATGCCATCGTTTGCTCACGACGACTTCATGGCGCCTCAAGTACTCAACTCGTCTGGAAGGATTTGTAGTATGTTCTTTGTGTGCTCGTTGTGCATTTCACAACTCCTTGCAGTGCTCTACACATCGGTAAATTCGCCATTCTTGAATCTATTCCCCCGAGCCTCAAGAAGTAAGTCACGATATGATTAATGATAGAAATTGGCTCAATTATGACAGAGGGGATGCCGATCAAGGCGCCCTTGAGAAAACCTATGCGCCGTCCCAACTTCAAACCTGTCACGAACACCCGTCCATTGGCTCGTTTCAAATTTGGATACCGTTCACCAAACTCCGTGAACACTTCTCAAGCGGCATTCTCCGTTTTCAATGCCTGTACAGAAATCTATACTAATACTATGCCACTCCCAATCGCACTCTATCTCGCACCTGGAGGGCATCATCTTGCATCCCTCCACGCCGGCGGATACAAATATCGCACCCCTAGACTATGGGTTTTTCAGACAGATCAGACCAACAACGAATCGTTCTCCTCCCATATTCGAGTCAACGTAGGTTTAACCGAGCCAGCGAGCCATGTCATCACGGATGAGGCCAGAATCTTAGTCTTCGCCGCCGACAGTGACAGAATCACGTCATACGAGTACAGTGTGGTGAGCGAAGGATACAGGCAGACGACGAAACCGGTCCATACTTTCAACTGCAGCTTCCAGAGCAAAGAGTATTCCGAACCGCTTGCCCTACTTCCTAACGGACGCATGCCGCGAACAGGAAGAGGGGTTCGGTATGGGCTATCGATACGGCTCTGACACAAGGAGACACGGGCCGGGACCCTATTGGAGAAGAGATGTCTGTCGAGGATGTATGGAGATATGATTATGAGGAGGTTGAATGCTCTGAGGGGAGCCTAGTGTCTACAAGAGTCACATTTGAGGATGGTTCAGTTTCACCAGGCGCATTTGCCAAGCATCCGTCCACCCCAACAACAATAATCTATAGATCTGCAGCGGGTAGTGGAGACAACACGTGCTCATGCATTTCTATCGATATCGAGAATAACGGCAAGAATGCGGCGACATACCTCGGACATTCAGGAATTCTTCACGCCGTGAACACGAGCGTTGGAGACCCCAACACCTTTCTAACTGGGTGCTCTGACGGAATCGCACGTCTACGACGTTCGCCACACTCTACCTGTGCTCACACTCGATTGCGGCCTCCAAGGCGATAGTGGTCTCAGCGTTGGTCTCATTCATCCCGACGGACACCCTTGTATGTGCATCTATTACCCCTTTTCGTCTCTTACCCAGGAGTAGTGGCGTTTACAGGTGGTCATCGCAAGGAGCAGGTTCTCTTGTGGGACATTCGCGCTCAACAGCACGTCTATGAGCTCGGCACTGGTAACAACGCTATACAAGATCTCGCGTGGGACAGTCGTCACAACTCGCTCTATGCCCTCTCCGAATGCATATACATGGACAGGCTCGGTGGCTATCACGGATATCGACGCGCTCGCATTCCACGGTCTGATCCACCTGACGGGATGGATGAGGATGAGGATGAGGATGAGATGAAGATGAGGACGATGAATGGGATGACGGCGAGGGACCGCATTGGCCGGAACGGGCATTCCACGATGAGGATCATTTCGACTACTGCTATGACGTCGGGAGTCATCTGATCAGTGTGTTTTCCTTTTGGCGTCCCTTTCTTGTACTTATTTCTCTCTCTAGCGCGCTAAATCTTCAAGAATAATGCCAATCCCGACGTTACTCCACCTTATGATAAAGCCTGTCCTACTCGTTATCCTTGGTGAGAGAACGCGGCTTCAAGATACCTCGGCTGATTTTTTCCTTTTGATACCCTTTCTTGACTTTCTTGATCGTCTACTGGCTATCGCGTCACTGTACGCTATTTCTTTAACGAGAATTGTCCAGCCTCCCATCTACTTGAGAATGTCCACCATCATGGGTCGTAAATCAGCTTGCTGTGACTGAGACTTTCGGGTGGGATTATGTTTTCGATGGAATAACAGTGGTGAATACATCTTGGACAACGACGCCTCGAGCGTTCCTATATAGTACACATACTGCCTCAATAACCATGTCCAGGAGTGATGTAGGAGCAAAATCGTCGGGGATGGACCGCCGTCCGACGTCGCCACTCCTTTCCGAAGCCGGCATCGGACTCAGAAACGCAGCGGAGACCTATCTTCATTTCCGAAGCCACTCTCATTCTCGTAATGGATCTGTATCCGACGCGACACCCACGCCGTCTGCCTCTGCCATCCGTCGCGCTCAACAACTCGTCACGGGCGATGCAAGCTCGACGACGGGCGGATCGTCTGTATCGGGAACTGGGAGCAAACTCAGCTCTCTGCTGCATACTTTGCAGCCCAGCTCGAGATTAGGCAGCACGTCTCATCTCGTCCAACCGCCAGCACGTTCGCATTCAAGGTCGGATTCGGGATTAGCAGGCACTGGAAGTGGCACAGCAAGTCCTCTTCCAGGTCACGCTGTAAGTTTCAAACGATTTTATTACATCCCAGGACTCACCCTGTACAGAAACTATTGGCAAGCGGCTCTGGCTCGAGCGTGCGCGGACCGTATGGAACTTCTGGCCACCTCTCACCATATGGCACCAATCCTACTCTCGTATCTGCATCAGGTAGTGCTGGAACGTCAATGAGTGGAAGCAACGCAACGCTCGTAGCCATGACCCCGTCATCATTAGGCACTGGTGACAAAGACAATCCATGGGGGGCTCTTCACGTCCACGTCCTTCCCTTGTTCAACCGCGACCCTCTTCGAGTTCCCATCGAAGATCTCAACGCGCTCGTTCGGAAACACCTGATCTCGGTCATCTCCCGTAATCCAAGCAGAGCGATAGTACAGCTCGAAGCGGATGTATCTGAGCTCATTACAGCCGGAATGCTCACACTCAACTCGAAATTGGCCGCTGGAGTGGACGAAGAAAAGCTTGCAGGGAGAATCGTCGATCTGTGGGGATTCTTCTGGGATCAGGTTCTGCCATACGTTGAAGGAGTAAGTAGAGGAACCCGATCATGGGAAAATCTGACGCTCTCTAGGTATTCCTGCCATTGCAAACAGACCCTTATCTCGTTTCACTCGCTCGAGCACCAAAGTCAAACCGACCACCATCTCCCACTTCATCCTCTATAGGATTCGACGGAGCTTCCGTCATCACATCCAGTAGTGCTGGACTCGGCGGCAGCGTCGTCAACGCGGGGAGCACGGTTGGAGGCTTGACGGGTTCTCCAAGTATCGACGTCCGCAAGTTGGCACTCCGTGCGTTCCGCGACTCCGTTGTCCTCCCAGTTGCGGCCAAACTTCAAAAGCGTTTCTCCGCACCAAGTAAAGACAACAACCTCAACTCGGAACTGGCGGAGCATCACCGTCCGAGATTAGAGCAAATGTAAGTCCCGTGTCCTTTGATTTTTCGACGCTCAAATTTGATAGGCTCCTCGTCTTATCGTCCATTGCCACCCACAACGTCTCTCTGGCTTCTACAAACCCAGCGCTTCTCGCTCAATTGGCCACGCCAGGGGAACATGCAATCACGATCCTGCTTCGACTTGTTTTATACCCACCAGGAACGAAACCTCATCAAGTCGGGTCAACGGCGCCAGGGCCCGGACGTCTTCCCAGCTTCTTGAGTGGAGGAGCGCCTCGCGACCGTCGAGGCAGACTCGCTCGCAAGAGCATGATTGGCGCGTCAAATAACGCCGATGCCTCAGGAAGTCTTATGGAAAACGACGACGAACTCGGACTATCAGCTCGAACTCTTGGGGTCGGTAGTTCAACTCTGACGGCCGGCAACGCGATGTACGATGAACGTGAACGAGAAGGTCGAGAACTTCTCAACTCGCTACGGAGCCCGACGATCGATACAGAGACGAGCGGTTCGCGACCGCAGTCACGCGCGAGGGACGGATACGATGAAGAAGACGACGACGCAGGTATCAGTGCGGAAGGTGGTACGGTCATGCAGCACGAAACAAATCCGCTCGAGTCGCTGGGTACAGGACCCGGTGGGTGGGGATCCGTCGGGGGAGATATTCCGGGTCCGGGAGATTCTCGAGGTGAAGGTGCACGAGGAGGGAATCCAAGTCGCCGTGCTGCCATCTATGATGATGTTTCGAGACTTCGAGCGGATAGTGGCGGTACTGATGGGTACGACGAAGGCGAGAGTGGGACGTATCTCCCCGCGGGTATTGCTGCTGCACTCGCTGCTAGTACTGGTTCTGGGCTGTCGACTCGGAGACCATCCAGAGTCGATACAGAGGAACGCGAAGAGAAAGCTCCACAAGCTGAAAGGCGACCGAGGATCTAACCATGCAGCATTGATATGGAATAAATAGATTGATTCTGTCACGTTGACCTCAGAGAAAATATGTACGCATTCTCCAACAAGGACTGTACGTAAGGAGCAGAAACCCACTTTCCGCTCATTCAAACCGAGATGAGCTCAGGCTCATTGAATATGTGAACAACCATCTGAAGGGTTCTAGTAGAAAGAATAATTCATGTCATTTGGCGGGACCTCATCTAGCAACTAATGTGGATATATCACGCACGAGATCAGCTACAACTCCAAATCCTACAATTTATTCACGGTCTCAAGGATGAGATAAAATTTAACATCAAATTTCCAGATTGATAAAGGCTAGCATAGGAGCGCAACCATTATCCCAGTCGGACTACAGACTCCCACCGACTTGTAGACCAAACAATGTTTGTGCCTTGTCTATCTATAGGAAGTAGAGTAGGGAGACATGTCATGAGTTAAACAGCGGTTACATGCTCCTATCATCAATCCCCGAATCCCGTACATGCTACTCTATCTTGTCCGCATCCTTTGGGTTTCTACGCTTGCGCAGAGTAGTGACAAGGTTTGACATCGTTAAGAGGATACCTGGATGCCGTTGTTCGAGGATCTGATAATACAGAGCTGGCCGCTTCATCTTTTGTGCCTCATCCAAATGACCACGCTTGCGTAGAGTAGTGTCAAGTTTTGACATCGCTAAGATGATACCTGGATGCCGTTGTTCGAGGATCTGATGATACAGACCCAGTGCTTGCCGCCTCATCTTTTGTGCCTCATCCAAATGTCCACGTTTGTGCAGAGTCTTGACAAGGCTAAGTATTGCTGAGAGTGTGTCCAGATGCCGTTGTCCGAGGATCTCAAGGCGCAGATACAGTACTTGCCGTTCCAGTTGCTCTGCCTTGTCCAAACAATTGTGCCGATACAGAGTAGTGGCGAGTTCTGACATTGCCGAGATGGTGCGCAGGTCGCGTTGTCCGAGGATCTCGAGACGCAGCTCCAGGACTTGCCGATGCATCTTTTCTGCCTCCTCCAAATTGCCATGCTCGCGCAGAGTACTGGCAAGGTCTGACATTGCTGAGATGGTGCATAGACTGCGTTGTCCGAGGATCTCAAGACGCAGCTCCAGGACTCGCCGATGCATCTTTTCTGCCTCCTCCAAATTGCCATGCTCGCGCAGAGTACTGGCGAGGTTGGATATTGCTGAGACGGTGCTCAGATCGCGTTGTCCAAGGATCTCAAGACGCAGGTCCAGGACTTGCCGATGCATTTTTTCTGCCTCCTCCAAATTGCCACGCTCGTGCAGAGTAGTGGCGAGGTCGGACATTGCTGAGATGGTGCTCAGATCGCGTTGTCCGAGGATCTCAAGACGCAGGTCTAGTACTTGCCGATCCATCTTTTCCGCCTCCTCTAAATGATCGCGTTCAAACAGAGTAGTGGCGAGGTCTGACATTGCTGAGATGGTCTCCGGATGGTGTTGTCCGAGGATCTCAAGACGCAGCTCCAGGACTTGCCGATGCATCTTTTCTGCCTCCTCCAAATTGCCATGCTCGTGCAGAGTAGTGGCGAGGTCAGACATTGCTGAGATGGTACTCAGATCGCGTTGTCCGAGGATCTCAAGACGCAGGTCCAGGACTTGCCGATGCATCGTTTCCGCCTCCTCCAAATTGCCATGCTCGCGCAGAGTACTGGCGAGGTCGGACATTGCTGAGACGGTGCTCAGATCGCGTTGTCCGAGGATCTCAAGACGCAGGTCTAGTACTTGCCGATCCATCTTTTCCGCCTCCTCCAAATGACCGCGTTTAAACAGAGTAGTGGCGAGGTCTGACATTGCTGAGATGGTCCCCGGATGGCGTTGTCCGAGGATCTCAAGACGCAGCTCCAGGACTTTCCGATGCATCTTTTCTGCCTCCTCCAAATTGCCACGCTCGCACAGAGTAGTGGCGAGGTCACATTGCTGCGACGGTGCACAGATCGCATTGTTCGAGGGTCTCAAGGCGCAGGTTCAGGACTTGCCGATGCATCGTTTCCGCCTCCTCCAAATTGCCATGCTCGCGCAGAGTACTGGCGAGGTTGGACATTGTTGAAGGTTTACCCTTTGACTCTTAGCGCTCACTAAATAGGCTTAGCCGATAGTAATAGCTCACGTCATAACTCAATGTATTTAGGGACGCGGGACGATGCGGCCGGACCTTACTGGTCTTGCCTCTCACCTCACGCGTCCTAGGTTTGCCACACTATAAACTGGTCTTGCCTCTCACCTCACGCGTCCTAGTATCAACAGGTTATGAGCCACTTGTTGCTATAAGAAACTATACAGATCAGTCAATCGCCCTCTGCGCATAATTCACAAAGAATGTCCAACTCAAAGGAACCGACCAGCGTTCCTGTCCTCTCAAAGGACAATTACCCAGCATGGTCTCGAAAGATGAAAGCATACTTCTTTCTGCATGACCTCTATGAACTTGTACTCGGCGAAGACCTCAAACCTACAGAAACGGATGACCAATCGAAGTGGATCAGACGACAAAGGCAGGCGGCCGCCGCCATCACAATGTCAATCGACGAGACCAATGCAATCCACATTGATGATATCAGCGATGATCCTGTTGCAATGTGGAAGAAACTCGCTTCCATGCACAATAACAAGACGCCTGGTACTCGTTTCAATGCCATGGACTCATTATTCGGAGTCACAAAGGAAGATTCCGAGGACCTGGCCGAGCTCATGACTCGCATCAATGGACTACTTCAGCGTGTGAAGCAACTTCGGCCAACAGACTACAAGATTACTGACCTTGACGACGAGTTGGCAATCATGGCCATGCTCCGCGCCCTTCCTGACAATTACCGCCATCTTCGCTCCTCGCTTCTCTGCCAAACAAACATCACCCGTGAAGTGGTCGAGGAAGCCTTCCGAGCTGAGGATAATCAACGCCGACATGAGCAACGAAGCCAGGCCACCGCCCTGCGAGTTGCCACACCTAATCAGAACCGGACAAATGGTCCGCCGCAACATTTCCGTCCAAAGCCCAGCGCCACCGACCGCACACCTGGAGCGCTGTGCACTTTCTGTGGGAAGAAGAACCACACCGAGGCCCAGTGCTTTGCCAAGGCCGACGCATCGCGCCGTCTCAAGCACGAAGCAGCACGTGTTGCAGATACATCTACTGGACCTGCTACTGCCAATGCAACGAATGCAAGTAACCCTTCTCTCCCCTCGTTAGCTAGGTCTGACCTGAATGCCGATACAGGGGCCACTCGGACAATGATGAGTGACAAGCGATACTTTACTACGCTTTGCCCTTCGGTCAGGACAATTAAACTAGCTAATGGAGAGAGGATATTCTCGAAAGGAGAAGGGGATATTGTGTTTCAGCCATGGATAGACGGCTCCTTTAGCTCTGATCTCATCACTTTTCCTAATGTGCTCTTTGCCCCTGATCTCGAATCAAATCTTGTCTCAGTACTCTCAATGGCCCGCAATCAGGGTTATGAAATTCGCATCAATTCCAAGCAAATGGAATTCTATATCGACAATAAGCTACGCATGACAGCTCGAATTGATGCTAATTGCGTTGCTTACCTTGATGGACGAGTTCTCACATCCGAAAAGGCAAATGCTGCGAGCACAGTGAAACTAGACCGTTCACTGTGGCACCGTCGCCTGGGCCACTATCACCACGAGGGAGTTGATACATTAATCCGTTGGGCCCTTCCAAATGACTACTGTCACCTTTGCTCATCTGGTTCATGGACTCAAGCTTGACTCAAATGCAAAGCCCAACCCTATATGTGCACCATGTATTGCAGGGAAACAGACTTGAGCACCTCATACTATGCCAGCAACCTGCTACAACTCCACTAGATTGCGTCTTTATTGATCTTAAAGGCCCAATCAATGTTGAGTCCATTCCACACTGCGCCAAGTACTGGATGGCTATGGTGGACAATGCGTCTAATCTTGTCACACTCTTACTTCTCCACTCAATGCGTCTAATCTTGTCACACTCTTACTTCTCCACTCAAAAGATGGAGCACCCAAGGCTTTTTGCAAGTTCCATAAGCTTGCTGAGGACCAGACAGGCCAGCACTTGGTACACTTGTGAGATGATAAAGGTGGCAAGTTCAGTGGAAAAGAGTTTGACCAATACTGCATCTCTGCTGGGATTACAAGGTAATGCACTATAGTCGCCACACCAGAGCAGAATGGATGGGTCAAGCAAGCGAACCGATGGATAGCTGAAGGGACAATCGCTAAACTTACAGAAGCGAATCTTCCATCATCTTTTTGGGGGTTCGCTGCCCTTGCCACTGTCCACGAGTTCAATCGTGCCCGAGTTCACAATGGAAAGACACCATATGAACACTGGCATGGTAAAGCTCCCAGTGTCGATCACCTTCGAGTATTCGGATGCCTTGCCTATGTCTTCGTCCCAAAATCACAGCGGAATGCTCTTGATTCGCACACTGAGAAGTGCATCTTCGTGGGGTACCCATCTGACCGCCCTGGCTGGGTGTTCTGGAACCCACAGACACGAAAGATTATACACAGTGACAGTGCTGCATTCGATGAGAGAGTCTTTCCAGGCACGTCACTCGCAAAGGAATCAATTCCAAACCTCTCCGACTACATCCAGCTACCAGATCTCAAGGAAATCAATATCTCTCCATCTTCCATTCCACCTCTAAACTCTCACCCTCCTGTTCACGTTGCAGGGAGACCTGTACTTGCACCCATACCGCCCGAGCCTACGCCTGAGCCTGTCCCTCCGCCAGTACCAGCACTGGCACGGCCTAAACCCACAGCTTCACAGCGTCTGAGTCGTGAGCTTCGAGCACTCACCGATAAGACCAATTTCGAGAAGGTTCCTACAAATCTCCCAGCGCAACGACACACAGTTGCGCGTCAGCCAGGCACTTTGACTGAATCTGACTCAGATCTCGAATTAAATGAGAGCTCAGATGAAGATAATGTCCAATTAGCCACAGAAGATGCGCCCCTACCCTCGAATCCCAGCTCTTATGTGCCAACTAAAGCTCGACGCTGGAGACCCAAGCCGAACTTCAAAGCGCCCGACCATATTCTGATTCCCATTGTCGATGGTGTCGAAGCTGCTTTAAACACGTCTACAAGCCGCGAGCCAACAACACTGGGAGAAGCTCTGAAACGCCCTGACGGCGACAAATATGTCCAAGCGGCTATAGAAGAGGTCAGAGCTCACCTGGAAAACGGCACGTGGAAGCTTGTGCGACTCCCCAAGGCAAAAGGCTATCGGCTCGTTGGGTATTCAAGATCAAACGTGCAGACGGGTCTATTAGCAAATACAAGGGACGAATTGTGGCAAGGGATATGCACAACGAGAGGGAATCGACTACACAGAGACCTTTGCACCAACAGCTCGCTTTGGTGCCCTTCGCACCATCATAGCACTTGCAGCGCTTGAAGACTGGGAGCTAGAGTCAGTAGACATATCAACCGCCTTCCTCAACGGTGAGATTGATGCAGAGGTCTACATGCAAAAGCCAGAAGGTGTCGAGTTCGAGGGCTATGAAGGCACGAGCTGGGTGCTTCAACTTCTCAAGGGCCTCTATGGAATCAAACAAGGCCCTCGCATCTGGTCTGTGAAGCTACACACTGTCCTATCAGAAATTGGATTCAAACGTCTCGAAAGCGATCACAGTGTCTTCATCTATGAACGCGACAGTGTGAAGATCATTGTACCAGTCCATGTCGATGACTTACTGCTTGCATCAAAGTCATCCGAAGCCATTCAAATGGCGAAGGATGAGCTCAAAGCACGCTTCAAGATCCATGACCAAGGCCCTACCTCATTCCTACTTGGTGTCAAGCTTGAGCGCGATCGCCAATCCCATACCATCTCCCTCTCTCAACCTGCGTACATTGAACAGATTCTTGAAACCTACAAAATGCAGGACTGTAATGGCGCTGACACGCCTATGGCTGAAAAGCCGCTCCTCTCCACCAAGGATTCACCACAAACTGAGCAGGAGAAGTTGGAAATGCAGAATTTACCCTATCGAGAGGCCCTTGGAAAGCTCATTTACCTCGCCACTGCCACTCGACCAGACATCTCATATGCTGTGGGGGTGCTCTGTCGGTTCAGCGAGAACCCTGGACAAGCACATTGGCTAGCTCTCAAACGGATACTGCGATATCTCCGCAAAACAACAAACTACAAGCTCACCTACGGCCTTAAACCCGACTCCGATGAACTGTTCATAACACATAGTGATGCCGATCTGGGTGGAAATGCCGATAATACCCGCTCAACAGCCGGTTTTGTCATGTCAATCGGTGGTGGCGCTGTAATGTGGAGTAGCCGACTCCAGCGCCACACATCACTATCATCAACAGAGTCGGAGTATACAACAGCCTCCGCTACCGGGTGCGAAATGATCTGGATGCGGTCATTCCTCGATGAAATTGGCTACGACATTGCGTCCTACCCATCCACCTTATTTGTTGACAACGCCTCTGCCATCCAAGTTGCCAAGAACCCAGAACACCAGTCCACTATGAAGCATGTTCACCGTAGCTTCAACTGGATTCGCGAGAGAGTTGCCAATAATGAAATCCGCGTCGCTCATGTCCCCTGGAGCCGTCAATGTTGCCGACATCTTCACCAAACCACTAGGCCGCATCAAGTTTGAACAGTTTGTCAAAATGCTCGGTCTGATCCCTCACCCACATGCCCGTACTCAGTCCATGCGCTAAGTCACAGGGTCAGGGGGTCATGTTGAAGGTTTACCCTTTGACTCTTAGCGCTCACTAAATAGGCTTAGCCGATAGTAATAGCTCACGTCATAACTCAATGTATTTAGGGACGCGGGACGATGCGGCCGGACCTTACTGGTCTTGCCTCTCACCTCACGCGTCCTAGGTTTGCCACACTATAAACTGGTCTTGCCTCTCACCTCACGCGTCCTAGTATCAACAGACATTGCTGAGACGGTGCTCATATTGCGTTGTCCGAGGATCTCAAGACGCAGGCCTAGTACTTGCCGATCCATCTTTTCCGCCTCCTCCAAATGACCGCGTTTAAACAGAGTAGTGGCGAGGTCTGACATTGCTGAGATGGTCCCCGGATGGCGTTGTCCGAGGATCTCAAGGCGCAGCTCCAGGACTTTCCGATGCATCTTTTCTGCCTCCTCCAAATTGCCACGCTCGCGCAGAGTAGTGGCGAGGTTTGACATTGCTGCGACGGTGCACAGATCGCATTGTTCGAGGGTCTCAAGACGCAGGTTCAGGACTTGCCGATGCATCTTTTCCGCCTCCTCTAAATTGCCACGCTCGCACAGAATTATGGCGAGGTTTGACATTGCTGACATAGTCTCCGGATGGCATTGTCCGAGGATCTTAGGACGCAGATCCAGTACTTGCCGGTCCATTTGCTCTGCCTCGTCCAAACGATTTTGCTGATGCAGAGTAGTGGCGAGGCTGGATAATGCAGAAATGGTGTCCACATGGCATGGTCCATGAACCTTACAGTAGAAGCTTAAGACTTCCCTCTGCCTCTTTTCTGCATCAGCCAGCTGACCGCACTTGAATTCTATATTTGCCAGTCGGTCAATAAGTTGTATCCTTTCTATTTGATTTTGAGAGCTTTGAACTTGGGAGAGCGCAGATTCTAAAAGTTCTCGGCATGGCTCCCAATCATTCATGAAATTATAGAAGGCATGAAATGCTAGCGCGTGGGCGATGTTTTCGGATTGAATATGCGTAGGAATACCTCTGATATGAGGATACAGTTGCCAAAGCAACTCAGTATCACCCTCTGTGGACTGAATCGCGCCAAGTAGGAGTTGTGCCGTCATGCGAGCATAGTGATCGTGCTCTTTCTCGTCGAGGGAATCCTTGATATATGTCTGAAGAAGTGGGTGCAATGTGTAGCAAATACCGTCACTAGAAACTTGAATGAACGACGCCTGAGAGGCGGAATCAATCGACTTTTGGAACGCGAATCCGTCCCATATTTCTCCTAGGATCTTCTCAAGGCCAGATATTAGAACGCTGTCGCTCTCTGGCGGGGGGAAACAATCCAGAACAATAGCCGCAGTGAATTTTGACCTGCTCGAGTACTCAAACAGGGCAGCAGGGATGAGAGAATGATGAAGAAAGGAACATAGTTTGATGAAATCTTGCGCCTTTGATGATAGCTGATGGAATGATAGGTCGAAGGCAGCATATATGGAGGACTCATAATCGGCCGTTTGAACCGGCTGATCACGCATCAAACTATCTCGGTGCTCTCTAAATGTACCGAGATATGTATCTAAACGCCGAGTCTTGCGAATATATGCTCCTGCCTGTGCGACTGCCAACGCGAGCATGCCTAGCTCGGTGACGATGTCGATAGATTGCTTATTGGATACTGGAGACATTCCGGCGACTTGATGAAGGAGTTCCACTGCCTCGTGCTCCTTGAGGCTGCTCACGAGGATCGCTCCGTCTGGGGCATGCACGGTGCATTCACGATTTCTAGTCGTGATCAAAATGGTACCATGAGATGAGTTAGGGAGGTAAGGGTAAAGATTGAGGTCGAGCAAGTCGGCGTTGTCAAAGAAGAGTAGCCAGCCTTTCTCTTTACGGTCAAGGTAGGCGACTGAGTCTTCCCACGTCATTTTGGCGTATTCAGGACCGACAGAGCGAATCGATCGTTGGAGATCTGCTTCTAGCTCTGCTTGACTGGAAGCATCGACAACTATAATCCGCGTAAAACTAATATCCCATCAGAGTCCGACTACGGTCTAGCTGCATTGCGCACCTTTTCTTGTGCTCCTCGATCCACTTTGTCGCCAGCTGGGTCTTACCCGCGCCTCCCATTCCATGAAGAATACAACGCGGCTGAAGTCGAAAAGAAGGCCCTGGTAAAAGCTTCTGCGTAATCAGATCTTGGATTTCTGCCCGCTTGATGTAGTTCCTGGACACTGGTGGACGACGCTTTGGTAAGATGACCTCGGATGAGGAAGAGTCTCCTTTGGGGGCATCTGATTGCAAATGAGAGGGGAATTCCGGGTGTGGGATAGTACAAACCACGGTGCCGGTCTTCTATTACCCACTTTTCCTGCACAGTAGAACACGCCTCTTTCATAAAAGCTTCGAGGTAGTAAAGAACTGCCTTGTAGTTCTCATTTTCGGCGGAGGGAAATCGAATCATGTTCTGATGGTCAGCATGGAGGTGAATCGGCATTCCATTACGGTCGCCATCGATGGTCGCAGAATGCTGAGGCACAAGCTACGATCCGCTCAGCACTCATTTTACTCAAAAAGATGTGAAACCTACCAGTCTCTGTCGCTTAACGCTGGGTGATGTCTGATATTCTGCGCAGAAGAATATGCTGGTGATCTTCTCGCTTGCGGCGAGGTAAAGCTTCTGCAGGTTTTCGAGCTCTGATGAGTGGGATCGAAGATCTTTGAGGATAATGTTCGTTGTTTGCATGTTCAGGGAAGCCAACCGGTTGATTTCCTCGAGGAGGGTGACGTCTTCGACGCCAGAATGTGGGGTTCCAAAGAAGAGAATTGCATGAGTTGAACACAGAATATCGCGGAGATTGCATTTTGATTGAAGGCTCTGATTATGACAAAGAACGAGGGCCTATGGGTGCGTGAGCCCGGCGGCTTATCAGTGTTAAGTGGACCAACCCATTTGAGGATAATACCTCCCAGATCGTGGGCAATAAAGATAATCGGACGCTGCGAAAGGGTTAGCGGACTTGGAGAATCGAAACGTGTTGAAAGACTTACCCGAGGGGTTGTCTTGCGATACCGAGAAAGAGTTTGGGCAAGGCCATCAGCCTTCTGGCGCATTGTCAGAGTCGAGACGCATTCTGAACTGCACGTGTCGGCGTCATAGCCATACGAAAGGATTCGGGCGTTGGGCAAGTTGGGGGGCAGGAGGTCGCGTAGCCACAGAATATCATTCTCTGCCGTCCAACTCTTTTCTCTATGGCCATCTAGGCCATGAATAGCAACAATACTGATACAATTTATTCAGCTGCCGAGCGGGTGGACGCCGCGGAGTTGTGAAGGACGACTTACTCGACTATAGGTTCAACCCCTGGAGATAGCTCCTTAAATCCCAAGTGTTCAATTTTCGAGCTGGGCTTTGAAGTCGGTGGCACCGCGCATTGGCCTCGCGTCGCCTCACTAGTCGTGTTTCCGGGGCCGTCGACAGACGAAAAGGCGCGCTTTAAGGGATTAAGAATCCACGACATTGCACGAGATGGATGTGGTTGGGTTCAAGACACGTTACAAGCCTGGCGCCAAACAGGCAAAGAGACTGGCGGCGCGTTCCCTTGTCTAAATTTGTACTCCTCGATACCGAGGAACGATAATCAGAGTCATACTTGATGCTGGTCTGCTCTAAATGCCCTCCATTCTCTCACCCCGAAGATCGCGACACAAGGCGTGTTCTCCGAAAGACTAGATATCCAAAAACGAAAAGATATGATACAGCCATAATGAAGAAATACGTTAGGAAATAAAAAGCTACAACGCGAGCCCAGCTCGCCCACCCCTTTACCGGTCCGCCTTTTTCGTCCTCAACTTTGTCCACAACGCGCTCACAGGCTTGGCTCCTCGATTCGACTCTCCAAGTGGGACAAGTGCGGGCGGAGGCGGCGCATAATAAAACGTCTGCTCCATCGGCGTACCCTCTTGCCACCTCGCAATCGCATCCTCCTCCCGCGGCTTACCCATCGTCTCGGGTTGTCCAGCACCTAGAGGCAAGTTGACGTTACTCGAACTAGCCGCAATCTGCTCCCACACAGACCCACGCGATGCGTCGCCCATACCCGAGTTGGCAAAAATCACCGCACTCCCGCCTATAACGCGACCTTGCCCCTGGACATGTGGAGGCTGGCTGAAATCATACGGATCCCGTGCCGAACTTTGACTGCGCGAGCGAATCTTGGAGGTAATGTACGAAAGACTGAGATTCGAAAAGGATGAGCGGGAAGAGGACGCAGAGTGCGGTTGTCGAGCGTGTTCGTAGTATGGATTCGCAGGACGTTTTCCAAATGATGCGAATGCAGAGGAAAACGAGGGTCGTGATTCATGTTGCGGTGCGGTGCGGTCGCGTCGAAGAGAGGAGAATGCACCTCCAGCCGATGCGTTGGAGGAAAGACTGGTGTTGGACGAAGAAAATGGATTAACGGACGACCATCCGCTGATACTCTTCGATTTGCGACGACCCATGCGCATCTTCTTGAGCTGCACCATCACGACGTCTGACACTTGCGTCTTTTCTTTTTCTTGCGGAGGTGCCCTAGCAGCAGAAGTAGGAACTGGATTCGAAGGAACCCCGCCGCTGTTACCATTTTGTTGGGGTAACGTAGACGGAATCGCCGTTGGCGGGATCGGGAGCTGTCGTCGAACAGGTCTGCCGCGCTCACCCTCCCCACTCGGCTTCTTCCGTGCATCCGTAGCGACCCTCGCAGACTCCGCAAGGATTTCCGAATCCTCCAACTCTGGCATAATCGTTTCTCCGGCCCGATATTGTGGTTGCGATACCAATGGCTGTGTCGGTGCTGGGGCCTTTACGTTGGCTGTATTCGAACGCGAGATGGTGGCGCTGTGGGCCGAAGTAGTCCGAGAGAGGGTAGTAACAGACTCCAATGCAGATCGATTCTACATCTCACATCAGCAAAACTATTCCCTTTTGAACAAGGTGAAACGTACCTGAACGAAGAGGGTCTGTGCCCTCTCCTTCTCGATCTGAATCTCATCCTTGATATACATTGGTGCAGCAGGAAAATTTGGAACGGGGACATGTTCGACGGGCTCGATGGGCTTATCCTTGCCGCTCTTGCCAAGATCCCACGTTCGCACCGTCAATGCCGGACGCTCTCGACTCCTACTCTCTCTCTCTGCCTTGGTCGCACCTGAATGGCGCGCATCCGTGACGGCAGTGTACGAGGACGGAGTAGAAGGATGACCAGACGACGGCGTGGTCAAAGGCGGGGCAAGAAGAGTCGAGTCTGAAACAGGCTTCGCAACATTGGAAGCGTTTACTGGAGTAGCAGTGTACTGCGCAGTAGGGGCGGACGTGCAGGCTCAGTAGGCTGTGGCGACGCGGGCACAAACGAGCTGCCGAATCGATGTTGCACGCTCTCTGGAACGACCAAATGTACCATCCCAGGTGTCGGACTCTGTAGTACGCTTGCGTGCCGCGGGTCAAAATTGAGAGGCGGCGCGATCAAGGAGTCAACCCTTGCATCGCGATTGACGACCACTGGTCGTTGATGAGATGTGAGGTTGGTTTGTGTGCGTAGAGGAGACGGCGTGCGTTTGCGTGCTTCGGACCGCGGTGGGATGACAGGGGGCGGATGGGAGGGCGGTGGAGGAACATTAAAGACCATATGTACTGCCGGCGCTGAGGAGGGGACGTCTGGTAATACGCGCGCTTCGAGTAGATTTGGGGGAAAGAGAACGGAAAACCGAGGGGTATGGCCGTTGAAGAGGGATTCAGTGGAGCCAAAATCCAACGGCGGGAGAAGTGGTGGAGATGTCGTTGTAGCACCAGGTGTACGTCCACGTTCGTCTTGTCTCTCATTTTTTCGAACTTGTGGGAATGTTGTCGAGTGCGCAGGAGAGGACCTTGGGACATGCAGCGAAGACGAGTCGGAATACACCGTCTGTACACCATGAACATGCGAGTGATTGGTCATATTCGACGATCCCGAGTGTGAGTGGGCATGGGAAGAACCTGATGAAGAGTAAGGAGAGCTTCCCATCTGGTTCGGTTGAGGAAGCGGCCTTCGCTTTCTGCTGACGGAAAGCGAAATATGAAAGGGATTGATGGCGGTTCCAGAAGGATTCGCGTTTGGCGACTGAGAATTTGGCACAGGAAGTGGGCGCGACTTGTGGCCGCGGGGCTTTGGGCCCACCTGATGATCTTTGGGGAGCCTCAGCGAGCTGTATAGGGAAATAAAATATGTTTTTGACTGACCATCTATCCGCCGAACGAGCAAATCGTCGCCAGCAAGCTCCTGAGAATGCGAATAGTCGTCGGCGCCAGGTCGAACGTCGATGACCGGTATCATGTACTTGTCGTTTTGGTATGTAGTTGGTGGAGATTGCCGGATAGCAACGTTTTGTGCGCCGACGAGGGAAGCCGATGAGTGATTCGAGTGAATACTAGCACTGTGACCGTGTTGACGTTTTCGAAGAGATTCCATGGACATAAGTCTCTTCATGTTGGTATAATTTTCTGTTTTTGCGCGATCCAGCGCAGGAAGAGGTCGAGGTCGAAGTGCAAAAGGCGGACGAGTGAACCGCCGGCGGGCTGTATAAAAGGAAATAAATCATATGGATGGATTCAATTGGTGGCTGGGCTTTGAAATGGGAGCCCGGTCGAGTAGTAATAATCCAAAGGCAATGAAGGGCAGTGTCCGCTGCAATCCAGGCGCGGGCTCTCATGCATTCAACGTTCCATGTCCATATGCGCGCTAGAGTTTAAACCAAAAGGGCCATCTTGGCCGTTGACAGATGCTTCTAGACCGACGTGGAGAGGACTCTACAACAGCAAACACGTTAGCAAGCACTCGCCGATTGAGAGACTGCCTACCATCAAGTCGGGGCTCTACGTTGGGTAGTAATATAATGATATATACTCATAGAGCCTTGAAGGAACTCAGTCGACGATATTGCAGATAAATGTCCGACACGGTCAGGGTCAAAGGTCAGTCTCGACCACCACCAGCACTAGAACCACATCCTTACTATGTCGTCTCAAGACCCTCAGCAACCTCACACCATACAAACGAGTGCACCTGTCAGATGGAATCGTTCACTCGCTCCGTCAGAGGAAGCCGCGGTCAATGAATCCTTTGCGCTCGAGGAAAGCACACTAGCCACACTCCAAACAAACCTAGAACTCGCTATTTGGCGTCAAGAGGCCACCAGGGAGGCTTTGGACGCGCAGCAGCAGGAGCTCGATATTGCCGAGTGTCGCGTTCGGTCGTTGAAGACCGTACATACCGATTTAGAGAAAATATGGATGGCAGTGACCGCTATAGAGCAGGAAAAAATCTCCCCTCATGATGCGAATGCTCCAGGCATCTCAAACTTGCTCGGCATGGTCGAGCAGCTCAGTTCTATGGTGGATTCCATATTAAATGCAGCGAGTGAAACCACAGATCACTGCTTGACGCTATATAATCAGGTGAACCACAAGTTTGGCGTTGCGCGTGCATCGCTGAGCATCTGGGATGAGACAATTGCTCGCTTTCAAAGCCAAATTCAGTCTTCGAAGTCGCGTCTTGAGGACCTCAAGCGTCATAACGCACCCAGCACTCGAATCCCAGACGATATTCTTCGACTCCTCTTCCGGAATGCGGTCGCGTTCGATCGCACCCATCAAAGGTCTCCATCTGTTTTCTTAGAGGAGTGGAACTTTCGTGTTCAATATCCTGAAATCCCACTCTCAAGCGTCTGTCACCGCTGGAGAACGATCGTCTTGGACGATCCAACCTTGTGGAGTCAGATCTGCGTGCCACACTATTTCACTCCCGGCCTCAGACGCCTCTTTGAGCACTACCTCACGCTGGCGAGCCGGGTTCCTATCCACCTTTATATTCTCATTCTGCGTGAACCGAGAACGTTGCCTGATGATCTCCAGCTAGGAAGGTCTGACCGGATCTACGGTTCAATATCCATTTTGAATGAAAATCCGTATACGGACATCTCTGCTCTTCTACAAACACTTCCTTCTCCTCGTATCCTACGGCTGCTCTACGGACATCCGGATACCAATCCATCCCCCAGCATAATTCATATTCCGATGAACATGATGGGCAGCCTCGAGGAGATACACCTACAACACTACTGGGCGACATGGACTGACCCAGCTCCGAGTCTCCTAGGCTACTGGTTTACTGCCTCAAAATCCTCCTTGGCCACCCATGAAATGGTCCATCCTACATTGGTGCCAATGATTAAGACTCTCAATATTATTGATTCCAATCCTGGACCAATAACACCCTCCACACCACTCATTTATACAACCGTTGAACAACTCGGATGTTCCTTGTCTTACTTCATGTCATCTTACTGCCACCAATTTCGTTTCCCGTCACTGAAGCTTCTTGCAATCATCTGTCGCGGCAAAGGTACCATAGAGGAATGGAAACATGCACTCCACAACATGGAAACGTTTCCTACAACCCTAGCGTGCTTCTCAACCCAACAACATCCACTATTATTAATCCAATGCGTCTCACTGATTAAGGGACTGGAGACATTGAGGCTACTCTCTGACACTGTAGACCACGGACTGGATCTCATTGTTGACGGGACGTACAAAACGGACGCTGAAACCACTGCTTCCACCGTATTCAAGGAGTTGAAAATGCTCATTGTTAGCGAGTATCGGGGTGATGGTCAATCTATTGCTCGCTTTGTCTCTACATTTTCACCACCTAAAGTGGCATTGCGTGGGTGCACTCGTCTTTCACCCGAAGTGCGCGCATCGATTGCCAGGTATACTTCATTGGTCCCGTAGTGTATCTTGTATATCGTAGTCGACAAAAAGTCTCCTTCAATTACATAGCCGCTTTGTGACCATGCTCGCCATCACTCAAATCGAGTAGTTAACGGCTTGGAGGGATATGATATTCATGTTCCCGGCCCTCTTAGAATCGGGATGAGTTGTACTCGGTCCAAACTCAACATTTCTCAAGGTTTCATGGCAATCACGCATGATAGAATACAAATAATGGTCATATGCTCAGGGTAGCACCCTCAAAGTTGCTGACCACATATGTTGCCAAGTTTGACATCTCAGCCACCAAACAAAGGTATAAATGCTGAAGGACATGTACAAATGACTTCATAAAGTCCGAATATTTTGCTAAACGTAGATAGGAAGAAAGGAGCGTGGTGGCAGTCTCGACTTGCCGCCGACCAGCTGTTCGTATTAGGCATCTTTGCCTAGGAAGCGGCCCAGCCAACTCAATTTGACATGTCAGTTTGCTTGTATAGTTCTGATCTGGATTCTGATTGTGCAACGTGCCGTCGCTCGACACTTATCTGGTCGTAATCAGTGCTCTAAGCTGGTAAGGGATCCCTAGCTCTTTCTTATGGCGCTGATGATAAGCCATAGTACTCACTTTCATCCTGAATATACCAGCTTTCTGGTGAGTAACTCCCGCTCCTCGTCTCTCTGATTATCCTTACGGCGTTCTAGACTGAATCTCTTCAAGGATTTAAACATCACTATACTGATGAGTAGGAGTACTCACGTTCGGAAGAATCGCCCGCTTGCTCAGTCGGAGGAGCGTGCATTGAAGGAATCGTTCGCGCTTGAGGAGAAGAACATATCCATGCTTGAGGGAATCTCAGTTTGGCACGCGAACGTGCAGAAGCTACAAAAAAACTGTTGGCTTCACACCAGCAAGAACTATATATTCTTCGGCGACGTATCACGGCCTCAAAGGTTATACATTCGGTTGCCGAGAAACTCCTCGATGAAATGAAGCCACTCAAAGAATGCGACTATATTGCTCACGATACAGAGGCCCCACGCATCTCTAAATTGAATAAGATGGTCGCGCAACTAAACGCTATTGTAGATTCTACACTACTCACTTCCAGCGAGAGCGAAGAGCACTACTCAGATTTGTATTCTCAGGTCGACCACAAGGTCTGCGATGTGCAAGCATCATTAACGACCTGGGAGCAGACGATTACTCGCCACGAAGATCAGATACAATCGGCCAAATCGCGTCTTGAAAAACTCAAAAAGCAATACGGACCAGTCAGTCGTTTTCCGGATGAAATTCTTCGATCTATCTTCAGGGAAGCTGTCACCTTTTGCCGAAAAGACGAGTTAGACCCAAACATATTTCAAGAAGAATGGAAATTTCGCACCCAATATCGAGAGCTTGTACTCTCGAGCGTCTGCTATCGTTGGAGGACAATTGCTCAAGAATATGGAGCCCTTTGGAGCCACATCCCCCTCCCTCCCTCTTCTTCTGCAGGCAGTACATCTCTTATTCTGCATTATGCTTCATTGGCTAATCCAGTGCCTTTGCATCTTTATATCATATACAGACCAAATATGTTTCGGGTGCTCTCTCAGCATCTCGAGCTTGTTGATGCCGGTCGTCTCTGTAGCTCCATATCTCTCATGACGAATTATGCTGATATCACCCCCTTTCTACTATCCCTTCCTTCTACTTGCACCCTGCGACTTCTTACACATGCTCGCGATGGATCACTAAAAACGATCCAGATCCCAACAAGCGTGACTTCCCACCTCGAACAAATCTATCTCTCTGATTTTCAGGCAGTGTGGCTCTCCTCAAACGTGCATCTTTCTCGCTATGAGAGCCGCATTTCGAGAATAGCTTCGATGACCCATGCAATCATCCCCGCTTCAGCGTCGACCCTCCAGGTAGTCCGTGCCAGTGGCATGATGTTCGAACAAAGTTCGACCACCACGCCGTTGATTCTTACAAGCGTTGAGCAAGTGCAGTGCTCACTAACTTCATTCACCTCATTCCTCTCGACTCAATTCCGGTTTCCGGTGCTCCAACATCTTACTATTGACGATTCGAGCGACATATCTATCGAAGATTGGAAGGATGCGCTCGGAAAGCTCGTGAAATTTCCGGGTTATGTCGCTTGTCGCTCAATCAAAGACGATGTGCTCCTGCTGGTCCAGTGCCTTGCATTGATCACTGGTATGGAAACACTAGAACTGGAAGGAGACACTGTCGATGGTGTGCTTGACATCATCTTCGACGGATCATACAGAACAGACTTTCGAGCCAACGCTCCAAACGTATTCAAAAAGCTGAAATTACTCGTCATCAGCTCGTACCACGGTGATGGTCTATCCATTGCACGCTTTGCGTTTGCACTCTCTCCTCCGAAAATAGCATTGCGCGAATGTACTCGCCTTGAGTTGCATGTACAGGCCTCCATTGCCAAGCATACTTCCCTAGTCCCGTAGCTTGTTTTGTAGCTTCTCTATTGGATTAATCTCAACTTCTATCTTTATCGTAATATTCGGTCTCTAGTGGCGAATCCAACCTTCCAGCGGACGTCGTTGCCAGAAAATGAGTGACTGCGCGGATTTGGCGCAATCTCCAGCAAACGTCACCCTCTTTATTCAGCTCACGAACCACATCTGTATCATCCGCACGGGTCTCGTCCCTGCGACAAGGTGACGACAAGGGAGGAGGCTTGTATTCGGAGTTCGAAGTTGAGTTACACCGGAGCTATCTTCCTCGTACTATTGGCCCTCGAATCGACCTCTTCGACTCTCCGACCGGTGATACCCAGTCCGTCAATTGCATTCTGTGCATCTCCGAGATAAAAGTTGGGCATAATCGATGCCAAGATGATCGGTATCAGCCCTACCATCTCATGAATATAAACGACACTTAACGTGGAGAGCAAGACGCACCAAACGCTAGGGACGCGATGATCAGAATTTTCATCGTATCGGAGTACGCTTGGACTGCACCAACGCGTATTGGATCTGAAGGGTCCAGTGCAACTATGCTCACAATAGACCCGAAAAGAGTCGCTCGCTGCTCCTCGGTGGTACCGGGAAGGTATTTCGCGAGATAGCGTGGCATAAGATGAACCCATATTGAACCCCCTAGTAGCCCTCAGTACTGTTCCATTGCGACTAGGAACACGCACCAATCGAGCTACCAATGGCACCACCGATTTCCGTGATGAGCAAGTTGAACGCCAATGCCATTGCTACATGCTTATGCTGGACCGACGCCTGAGCTGCAGTGAACTCGGTGATGGATACAATCCCCCCGACAGATTGGAGAATTTGAGAGAGAATGAGTTCCGCATCGCTATCATAGGTAAGTTGGTATCTTTGTACTCGACCAACACTGACCTCCCATGAGCACCACGCGACTTGATCATGATACCGACGCCGATACAGCGAACCACAAGACCGAAGATCAGCAGATACTTATATCGCTTCGTCCATCGCATCACAAGTCCCGCCAAGATTGCGAAGATGGTCAGCCCGACCGCCTGAGTAGAAGCAAAGTAGTTTTGAGCAGACTGAGACCAGTCGGGGGTTTTGACCACGTATAAGAACGAGGTGAGGTAGAGAGCAGTCAAGTAGTACGAGATCTATGACTGATGAGCGCATGGGATATGCCATAGATGTGAACGTACAAAGTCGAAGAAGGCAATAAATGACGAGCACATGAGCGCGCGATTGCGGAGAAACATGCCCGGGATCGCAGGATACTTTGCCCATTTAATCTCCCACATACCGAATCCGATCAAGATGAGCGGTCCAACAACAACCATGGCGATAATAGAAGCTAAACGCCACTCAGCCCAATAAAAACTGAACGGATGGCGACTTACGATTATTCCATCTACCAGCAGCGCCACCGGAGAGCGTCAAGGCCACCAATAGTAGGCCCCAGCCGACCGTCAAGAGTATCAAACCGATCAAATCCAAGTCTACCACAAACCTCTTCAGCTTCTGCAATAAAGGCTCTTTATTTTGCTCTTGATCCATCCTCTTTACGAGCCCCAATCTCTCGGCTTTCTTCTCACCCCAGACGAGCGTACCGACGATGGGTGCCACGGCAGCTGGGACAAGAAGGCAGAACATGCCGTATCCCCACCGCCATCCGGTAGATGGGTTTGAAGTCGTGATGGATGCCGCGATGCGCGAGCCGATGAATGCGTTGACGATATAAGGCGCGGAAAGCGTGGCAGCGACAAAGCCACGCCATTTGAGGGGAGTCACGTCTGCGACGATGATCTGCGAGATCAATTGCAGACCTGTGCTTCCACTATGTGCGCATAGGCGACGGGTAAGCAAGTCTATTGGCTGCTGATGAAAGGAACATACGCGGACTGGAATACACGGCCTGCTGCGTATTGGCTTACGGTATGGGAGGACGCAATGAGGATGTATCCAAGGATGTAGAGCGTAACTGCCGAGGTCAGCTCTTTGTCGTTTGAGTTCTGAATGCACCTACTGACGACGTAGATGGCAAATGACCGGGATTGCAAATCCGCGATTCGAGCAATGATGGGCTTTCCAACACCAACTGTTATCCGATTAGCGTCAACATACTCAAGACGACAAAGACCCTCACGAATGAGCTGCGAGACAACTTCGACACTCGAGAGGAGAGAGTGGGAACGAAACGCGCTCGTCGCAAATGGAGTATAAAAGTAGGTAGTACTCGACTCTAGCGAGTAGACATAGGCAGCTAGGTAGAGACTCAAAGATTATCAGCATACGCATTCCCAGGCGTCGGCGATGTACAAAAACAAACCACATACCTGGTGTACAGCACCCACATCGACGACTTTTTCCACACCTGAGCAGAGGCCTCTGCTCGACTTGTCCCAAGTTCTTCGCGCGCCGCGACGAGAATTACGATATTTTCGCCTCCCGGTTCACGGGGGGATTGCGATGTCGTAGGTTGGTTCTCAGATGTCTGCACTTTGTTATGGAAGGAATTCCTGTCGTCCTTGGAGGACGGTGTTTCATACGACGCTCTGCCGGTTGGTTCAGCCATTGCACCTAAAGGACAAGAGGACGGTAGGGAAAATCTGCCTGAGCGACGGCTTTTATTCTCGGCGAGAGGAGGACGAAGAGGGTTCTCCTTCTCGCTCCCACTCTTTTCCCAAACTCGGCAGGAACGCTTCGGAGAAGTCACATGGACCTCGTTGTGATTTTGATGAGTACGTGACCCAAGCCCCCAGTCGACCCATATCTGATAAGATCATCTCAGGCTCGTCCCTCAATCACGGCGCCCTTTCAGTGTTCTTCCTGAACACCCGGAATAGAACCAGATCAATGGTTCCGGAAATCACTAAAAGTCGTTTCATTCGGGTACGTTATTGTACAGTTTTCCGATTATCCTTTGTGCAGATTCCTTACTATTCGAACTTTGACGCATTTTACAGAGCACGGTGCATTAAACCGCGCTTCCTTTGCCCGCTGACCCGCCGGCTGAAGTCGAAGCGACCGGCGCATCCGCACCGGATGGTGAACCCTCTTGTGGTTCCTCGACTTTTCGTCCAGCAATATCCAACCCATCGACGGCATTTTGAGCATCGCCAAGATAAAAGTTTGGCATGGTCAGTGCGATCAAAATGGGGATCAAGCCAAACACGAGCGCAACGATGATCAAGACGTGCATGGTGTCAGAATAGGCGTGGATAACTCCCTGGCGCGTTGGGTCGTCGGGTGGGAGGGCGACGATGCTGATGATGGATCCGAAGAGTGTCATTCGTTCTTCTTCAGTCGAGTTTGGGAGGTATTTGCGTAGGTTGGATGGCATGAGATGCGTCCAAATAGCGCCACCTGGAGAGGAAGGGATTGGATTATTGGAAGCTGAGAGAGGGAACAGACATACCGATGGCGCTACCAATCGCTCCTCCAAGTTCGGTGATGAGAAGAACAATAGCGGTGACCATTGCAACGTATTTATGGGACACACTCGCCTGTGCGCCAACCTGAGAGCAGACAGCTGCAAAGCCACCACCAAACGCCTGGAGGATCTGGGTCATGACAAGTTCTCCGTCGCTACGTTTTGTTATTGTCGACCCCTTGGATTAATGAAGAGACTTGCCTTCCGTCAGCTCCACGTGAATGGATCATAATGCCCACACCGAGTACTCGAATACAGAGACCGATGATGAGGATGAGCTTGTAACGTCTCGTCCATCTCATAAGCACACCCGCCAAGATACCAAAGAGTGTGAGTCCGACAGTTTGCGTTTGAGCGAAATAGTTTTGGTCTTCCTGTGTCCATGCGGGCGTCTTGAGGACGTAGAGGAATGAGGAGAGGTAGAGAAAGGTTAGGTAGAATGAGACGAAATCGAAGAAACCGATGAGTGCTGCGCCAAATACTGCACGGTTGCGCAAAAAGTGGCCGGGAATGACCGGGAACGGGGCCCATTTGGCTTCATAGACGGCAAAGGCAATGATAATGAGCGGGCCTACGACAATCATTGCAATGATAGATGCTACAAGAATTGTTAATGAACGTGTTGGGAGAGAATAGACTAGACATACGATTGTTCCATCCGCCTTTGGCACCCGCAGAGAGTGTGAGTGCGACGAGGAGTAACGCCCATCCCGTTCCGAGGAGGAGCAAGCCGAACAGATCCATATCGAGCGCAAAGCCCAACATCTTTTTCGGTAGACCAACTCGCTGTTGGCCGTCGTGCGTTTCGATGGCAGAGTGAGTCGGCTTGGTGTTGACCATGCCGAGTCTTTTTGCTTTACGTTCTCCCCATGCCAGCGTAAAGATGACAGGAGCCAGTGCGAGCGGGATGAGGATGGAGAACATGGCGTATCCCCATCGCCAGCCATTTGTCGGATTGTTGGTGGTGATTGACGCGGCAATTCTGGAGCCGACGAAAGCGTTGATGATAAAGGCGTGGACATGAGCGAAGAAACTACGCCACGCCATTTGAGAGAGGTAAAGTCGGCAACGATGACTTGGGTGAGCAGTTGGAGACCGGCAGAGCCACTAGATGGCAAAGGGATCAGTAATGGAGAGAGGGGAAAATAGCAGGACATACGCAGATTGAAAGACTTTGCCGGCGGCAAATTGACTGACGCCTTTGGAGGAGGAAATGAGGACATAGCCGAGGACATAGAAGATGACTAGAGGTTGATGAGCTCTCCAAAGTTGGATGTGAGTAGAGAATAACACACCGACGATGACATAGGCAAACGGTCTGGATTGCAAGTCGGCGATGCGCGCAATGATGGGTTTACCAACAGCGACTGGTCGAGGAGACGTTAGCAATAAAGTGAGTGATGTGGATAGACTCACGGATGACCTGGGCGGCGACTTCGATACTCGACAGGAGCGAGTGATGGGAAAAGGACGAGGTCGCAAATGCGGTATAAAAGTAGGTCGTGGTCAAATCGAGAGAATAGACATAGGCAGCTAATCCGAGTCTATAAAAGTGTTAAAGGATAATTACGATGAGGGGAATGCGCACGAGATGTAGAGCACCCAGCGAGAGTATTTCCCCCACACTTTGGCGCTCGCCTCTGCAATCCCAGTCCCGAGCTCTTCGCGGGTTTCGACGAGAATTCTGTCGGTTGAATGGACACTCCCAGTCTCACTCGACTCGCTTCTCTTCTTGGCATGGCCCCGACTCTCCGGGTTATCAGCGAGCTCACTCATGGCAATGTACCGGTTTCGACGAATGACGACGAGCCTTGTCGCGTTCTCGACCGACGAATTGTGGGAGAGGGGGGAGAGACAACGAGGGCCCCGCGCAATCTGATAATACGTGATATATCATCCGCTGCCTTGGCGCCTCGCCCCGGCAGTCGGCTAACAGGTAATCTGATAAGATCACGCTTCTCATTATTTCCATCAGGTGACCCTAATTAGCTAATTATCAGCCCTGGAACTATGCCCTGTTCGTCTTTTCCGTCGCCGGCTCTTCAATCCGCCGACCTGCAATATCCAACCCATCCACTGCATTTTGGCCATCTCCCAAGTGAAAATCGGGCATAACCAGGGCAATAAAGATTGGAATAATGCCTGCATACTCGTTTTAGTCGATCGTCCTCAGTAGAGACGGCACTCACCAAACGCCAAGGCGACAATGATCAAAATCTTCATCGTTTCCCCATATGCCCTAATGACACCCAGCCGTGTGGGATCATTCGGCTCGAGCGCAACAATGGAGATGATCGACCCGAAATACGTCTGCAACTCTTCTTCGCTCGCAGAAGGCAGGTACTTGCGGAGATTAGAGGGCATTACGTGCGTCCAAATTGCACCCGCTGTTGATTAAAGGTGCCGCGTTAGCGAGATGCGCGGTCCATTAGGCTTTGCGAGGAGAGCATCTCTCGTTCAACTCACCGACTGAGCTCCCAATCGCACCACCAAGCTGAGCGATCATGAACACAATGGCGGAGACCATTGCAACGTACTTGTGCGGTACGCTCGCCTGGGCGGCCACCGACGTCGTCAATGACGCGATACCACCACCTAGCGCTTGCAAAACTTGAGTCATGACCAGTTCTCCGTCACTGCCCAAGAGTTAGATGGCTGTATTCGAGGTAGGCAATACGTACCTTCCGTCTGCACCACGCGACCGAATCATGATCCCCACACCCAAGACGCGTATGCAAAGTCCGATTACGAGCAACCACTTGTATCGCTTCGTGACTCTCATCACCACGCCGGCCATGAGACCAAACACTGTCAGTCCAACCGTCTGCGTCGAGCTGAAATAGTTTTGATCCTCCAGTGACCACGCGGGTGTCTTGAGTACATAGAGGAAAGACGAAAGGTAGAGGTAGGTCAGGTAAAACGACACAAAGTCGAAGAACCGATAAATCCAGATCCAAAGACGGCGCGGTTACGAAGAATATGTCGGGGGAACATGGGGAATGGTGCCCAGAATATCTCGTAGATGGCAAAGACGACGATAATAATTGGTCCCAGTACAATCATTGCGATGATAGAGGCTAGATATTTCGTCAGCACGTTTACCCCCTCCTCGAGCGATCCTAACGTACGGTTGTTCCAACCCCCTTTTGCCCCCGCAGACAATGTCAGTGCAACGAGTAGCAACGCCCATCCGGTGGCTAAGAGAAGCAACCCAAGGATATCCATCTCGAGCAACAATCCTACGACCTTGCTCCATAGCGATACGTGCTCCTTTTCCACCTTTTCGCCTTTGATCGTCGCCGTCTTGGTACCATGGCGCAAGTCGACCACACCAAGTCGCTTCGCCTTGCGCTCACCCCAGAGGAGAGTAAACAGCACCGGCGCAAGCGAGACGGGGATGAGAATCGAGAACATGGCATAACCCCATCGCCATCCATTTGACGGATTGTTGGTCGTGATAGAGGCGGCAATCTTTGATCCTACAAATGCGTTGACGATAAAGGGCGAATACATTAGTCCCGCGACGACGCCTCGCCATTTGAGGGCGGTAAAGTCGGCCACGATGATTTCGAGCATGAGTGAGAGTCCGGCTGCGCCACTTTCGATTCGTCAATATCATATAATGCTTCGTAGAAAGCACGACGTACAATGCTTGGAAGACGCGTCCGGCCGCAAACTGACTTACGCCTTTTGACGACGCTATGAGGATGTATCCAAGGATGTAGCAGATGATGGTAAGCACGTATGCAAATGAGCGCGACTTTAGGTCCGCAATACGTGCGATAACAGGCTTGACCGTGGCAACTACTCGATGTCAGACCGGTGTCAAGTAGCCAGGGAGATGAACATACGGATTACAAGTGTCGCAACTTCAATACTCGACAGGAGAGAGTGGTGCGAAAACGAGCTCGTGGCAAACGCAGTGTAGAAATAGGTCGTGCTCTGGTCGAGCGAGTACACATAGGCCGACAGACCAAGCCTGCCCACGAAAATATCAGCAACCACTCTAAAATCGACTTTGAATGATATAGATGGCACCTACGTGATGTAGAGTACCCAGATAGAGTATTTGCCATAGACCTTTGCCGAGGCTTCTGCAATGCCCGTCCCAAGTTCTTCTCTGTCTTCGACAAGAATACGCTGCGAGCCTTGGTCTGAGACTTCCTCTTCGGGACTTTTACGCTCACGCGAGAGCGACGGAGTCGACATTGCCGTTGAAAACTGTTCGTAGCCTAGAGGGAAAAGGGATAAAAATCAAAAAGTCGAGAACGAAAGAGGTGGCCCTTTTTAATGCGAGCTGGAAAACGGGCTGGCCTCTGACGAAAAAGCCGGAGCCAGGGTAATCTGATAAGATGGCGCCACTCCCGCCAATCACGAACCTGAGCGTCCGCTGTTTCGGTCCTGGATATAATAGACATTTCATTAGCACAATTCTCTCATGCCATTCAGTCGACTGAAACGGATCAAACCCCTCAGTCCCTCGCCAAGCTGCTCCAGAGTCGAGTACAGCAGTGGTGGAGATCCGACTGCTTCACTCCCAGTCACTGTCCTCTTCGTCCTCTTCTTCGTCGTCACTCTCCTCTTCCTCTTCTTCTTCGTCCTCTTCCGTTTTCCCGCTCGGTTTCGCACCCTCGACCACAGTTGAGAGTCCAGATGGCGCCGCCAAGCCTGTAGCGCTCGTGTTTCCTGAGCGCGTGCTCACGAGGTCATAGCTTTCTTCCGACTCTTTACTCGGACTTGACGGACCATGCTTCCGATTCATAGCCGAGGTGGCCTCCTCTTTAGCTTGAACTTTGGCGTCTGTCTCGAGCGACTTGGAGGGTACACCCTCCGTTCCTTGCGCAGCAGTCGGAGTCAGCGCCGATGCCGTCTCTTCCTCATCTTCCCAGCTGAATTCGTCCTCTTTTTCTTGTTCCATGGTCGCTAAAAGGCGGTGAGTATCCGCTATCAATCATGCGCATGCACGGCCAGGCGAGGTGAGAACGCGGGTCACACGTACCTTGTAAGAGGGCCTTTCGCTTCTCCTCTGCTTGCCGAATCTGCCAAGCACGGAACCAATATCGAGTCCAGAATGTGGCTTCGTCCATCTCTTCAGGAACTATTCGATCACCAAGTCAATTGAGATCTCTTCCAGACTTCTAGTACGAAGAGGAGACGTACCCAATTGATCTTTCGTCTTCTTCAAGTCGTCGAACAAGCCCAGTTCCTCGTCGCATTTGCGTACCCACGGTTCGCTGCCGACTGTGGCCCCTTTCGAGTCGAGTTCAGTCACGAACCGTGTGTAGGCGTCTTTGCCTTCACCCGCTTCCGGGTCCGCACGCAGCAACGAGGGATCTGTCCTCAATGCGCTGAGCAGAGCTGCCGTTCTATTGAGGCCAATCCCACTACTAGCCGGTGGGGCTTTCACCTTTCCCTTCCCGTCAACCTCTGTCTCATCCGTGACGACTCCACCAAGCTCGTCAAAGGCCCACATATCCATACCGTCAATGCCCAACCCCATTGTCCCGGACCCACTCCGTTGAAGCTCCTCTTCTGTGGGTGGTACAATCTTTACCGCTTCGCGGAAGAATTCGCCCGTGCTCTTCCAGAATCCCCTCAGCTAAACCCTCCAATCCTTTGATTCGTTCTCTCGCCTCCGCAGCATTGTGTGGTACATTCGAGGCGACATTTTGCTGCAAATCTTGTACACGTGACTGAATATTCAGATCACGCACCGAGGACTGGAGGCTTTGAATGGTCGGGTTGGATTGCACCTGGTGGACTTGGGTTTGCACGGCCTCTTGGAGATGCGAAATGTTTGCATTTATGTTGGACCGTAGATTCTGGACCTCGGGGCTCGCCAAAGTGCGTTGGACTGTGCTCTGCGCCGTCGACAAGTTCTCTACAAGGGACGATTGGATATATGAGAACAAATTGCTACCACTCTCCGACGTCGAGGCTCGTGGCGAGGATGTCCCCTTCGTTTCAGTGGGCCCATCTCCAGCGACCACATCTTTACTCTTCTCCGATGTATCGGCCGTCGCGGACGTCGTCTCGGTGGACGTTGGAGGAGGAGAAGTAGGAGAAGGAGCTGCAAGTTTGGAGAGCTCTTGCTGAGCTTGCTGTACGACGGATCCTAGATCCTTGCGCGCAGTGGCCAATGCGGAGATGCTCTGGACGGAGGTTAGTCAATAGTACGTCTGGATTATAATATGATGAGTAGGCAAGAGAATGAAATGAAACTACAATAAACACCGATAACTACTGTTGTTTCGAGGGATAGACCAGTCATTTAGATGCCACTTGGCCAACTCACCTGAGCTCTGAATCCTCCCCAAAATCTTCCAAATGATCCTATTGCTTGTTGTACTTCTTCGTTTAACGTAGGCTGGGCAGTCGTCGTTGCCGCTGACCCGCCACTCGATGATGACTGCGGAGCGGGAGTCGTCTGCTCGTCAAAGTCGTAAACGTCCATTGCATTCATGATGCGTGTACGTCTCTGATCTCGATACAGCGAGATCCTGCGAGCGAGACGTTGGCGGCTGTATCCAAGGTGTGGTATTTCAACCTTTGACCTACAGAGATACATCGCGTGGAGAGAACCGTGGATAATGTATACCCGACAATCTTTAAACAACGCTGCAATTATAACAATAGACAATAAACGCCAGACTTTAGTCTCGCATTTGTGGTTATGGCACGCAGACACCGAAAACAGGGGATAAAACCGTCTCTGCTCATGAATTGGATATCAAAGGTTTAAAATACCATCACTCGGCCCTGATTCGGCGTCCTAGGGGGGAACTAACGAGGCTATAGCCCGAGGTGAGTCCGAACGATTCAGACTTTGGAGCACATTTTCAGTGATATTCATTCCATTCCCTTCATATATTCCTTTGAATACGACTGTAGGACGTTCCATCTTGTGACATATCACCGAGTAGTCAACGACGTGAACTCTTTGAGGAACGGGCATCCTCTCCCTACGACATTTCACTCGTTACTTACGCTGACGACGGGCTTCCGCTTCAATGCCCCTTCTGCCAGCAAATGAATGCCCACGTCTTGGGTCAATGACACTGGAACTGGATTTGCCCAACCGAAATTCGAGCATAAATGTCAGAGTTGTAGCCAAACTTTCAATAGGGGAAACATTGGGGTTGGCCGTTTCACCGACGAGTACATTATGAGAAAGGAAGGCAAAATTGTCTTTTTCTCGTGCGTAAACTCTCACATGAATTATGACTGCTGACGAGATACAAAGCGAGACATATGTTCGCGCTCGAGAAGGGACTGTAGACTCTTACTCTGCAGAGGTTCTCTACCGTCGACTATTCAAGGTAGGAGGGCCCTCAAGTTGGTTCAGCTGTTTCTCACATTGCTTAGCCACTGGAAAGCAAGTGGGCCGAAATGCTCTCATCTGAGCCGCTCGAGAAGCAGGAGAAGAGGAAGCAGCTTGCAGATGTAGTTCAGTGGGATCCTGAGGTGCTCTGTGATATGATGCATACTAGTGCTCAGCCTCGAATTCGGCTCGACAGCAATAAACGAGTGTATCGGTCCGCCCTTTGGCTATCACGCATACAGAACCACTGACATTGTCTCGCAGGCTTCAGCGAATAGCAACTGCATACAGTCATTCTGGATGCGCGTCTCTCGACCTCGTTGCAGCGGTGCTCCGCCAAGGATCTTTCATTGAAAAGATGGTTCAAATGGGGTGGACCAGTCCAGGTCAATGGAATCTCACCGAGGATCTCGCTCCACTTGTTCGCTCCATTGCAAGATATCACGCATTCTTAGACTTGATGTCCGCTAATACCTGGTCGCTTCTAGTGCCTACACTGGTGAGTTTCTGCCCCAGAAATATATCTCATCTCATACCCTAATAGGACATTGTAAGCTTCCTCCTTTATTGCCATCTTCTGACTGCAGTATTTTAGGACCTTGCGTGGCATACACACTAGCTCAAAGGACGATCCTATCGACAGAATACGACGCGAGCTCTCTCACGAATTCCGAATCATGACGACTCCATTCAAGCCGGGGTGATTTCTAGCGGATACGGCGACACAGCCAAACTTTGGAGGAGGCGCTTTGGCGTCCCATATAGCAGCTCACGCTCAAAGTGCTCGACGGCAGACAGTGATCGATGGATATGTAGATCATGCTGAGACGCATGGGCAAGACGATCCTTTCCGTGTTCTGCAAGTAGAGAGGAACAAGAAAAACAAGGGCGAAGATGAACACAACGAGGCATTCACCGATATAACCCACGGTCCAGAAAAGTATCACGCCTACTGGGGCGTTTCCTCTGGGATACCACCAGGGTGAGTTCAGAATCAAAGCATAGACAAGTATTTACTCGGAATAGATTCTACGGCGGCAATCGCTTTGGTGCGTATGGCGCATGTGGATCGGGCTGTGCCTCTTGTAGCGACCCAACGCCAGCCTCCAACTGGGGTCGGGGAAGAAGAAGGGCGGGTGGTGGCTCTTCACCTGGAGGAGCAGGCTTTCCAGGTGCATACGCTGGTGGATCCGCTTGTGGTACTGGAGGGGGAGTAAGTCCATATCTCGCAAAGCGGGTCGAAGTTATTTACTGACGCTTATACAGTGCGGAAAAGCAATCGACGAGTGTACAAGAGTGTTGCGTGACCTAGAGTCGTCTGTTCCGAGTACTATTGACAACCTCCGTCGCGTGCTCGAGGGCCACTACGACTCCGACGCGACGAACCAGGTCAAATTTGACGAAGAAGCGGAGCCAACCGTCGCTGAGCCTTCAAATTTTGATATTTCCGGGATGCGTGCGACGTTTTTGGTGCTTCTTACAGAGTGCAGCATGGGCAGACTCACTAACGAGAGTCGAGAAAGGTGGCGGGCCCTGACACAGACGAATGACAGGGAGACCGACAAAACCGTTCTCATTTATTCAGTGCCGCCACCGTTATTCCCGCCACCGGTCGGTTTACCCGCAGCCCCTGTGAGCAAGTTTCATGCCCAAGGAGTGACTGGGTTCGAGCTCGTCAGCAATCTCAAGCTTACTTGGCGCATCTGCGTTGAGTGTCTTTACCTTATTGGCGCTGCCGACATGACTCGGCGTGTCGCAAGAATATACAACTATTCAACGGAAACCGCAGCGAAGGAGTTGGCCAAACACACAAGGATACACCATATGCGCGTTGACAATCAGAAGTCTGGTTGCCAGATTGTTCAGCACTTTCCTCTGCCAGAGGACGGTCCACTGTCGTCAGTGCGCCTGCTGTGTCCTGGTTGTCCTCGATTGTGCGTACAGATATTTCAGGGATAACTCCACTAACGAATGACTGCGTAGGTTCCTCAGAAACGACAAGGGCGGACATGCCGCTGGCTCAGGTCCTCTCGGACGCGGCTTTCGTGGCCTCGAAACCTCGGACAATTCCGTGGAGGTAGGGATCCTTGGGATGGTCGCTTGCAATCAAACGAATTCCTCTGAGAACATGATGTGAGTCAATTCTGCCCCAACTCATATCGCAAATATCCCGTCCTGGCGCCACGAGCTCAATGAAGCGCTCTAAATCTGCCAACTCGCGCCTCGAGTCGGCGATAATTGCGTTTGCTTCCTGAAGCCGCTTGTTCATCGTGGCTAACGACGCTTCGAGTGTCGAAAGATGTCGTTCGTCGTGCGCTTTGACGGTTTCGAGTAGCGGTCGTTCGGCACCCAGAGGGCGCCTTATTCGGAGCTGATACGAAGGAAATGGAGAGGAATTAGTGGGCTTTTGAGCGTCCGGGTTGTTCACGCCGCGGTTCTCGAGTGGACTGCTTGTGGCACCAGTTCAGTTCCAATAGACGTATCAGATACACGCAGTAACTTATGGTGAAGCGCTCTGTATACTTTGGGCGAGCGAGGGGCTTCTGCGTTCCATGTTATCAAAAGTGATGTTGGGAAAGTCGACGTCGGGTCTAAGTTTGCTCAACTGAATATCAAACGTGATGTAGCCATGAATAGACGCGAGGAATCAGATTGTACAGACAAAAGAACTAACATCGTCAAAAGCTGACGGGCCACTATCGTCCAGAGTCGATGCGATTCCCGACCCCGCCCACTTCTCTACTTCCTTCCTCTGCGGTGCCCAGTATGACTCTTCCATTACTCTCAAAGTCATCCTGGTCAGCGATAGTGAAAAGAGGTCGTTCATCGTTGGCCGCTATCGCGCTAAAGGCTTTGGATGACCCGTTGCCTTGGACTTGTCAGTAACTCGGATGAAGGAGGTGGAAAATCTCACCCAGCTCATGGTCTCCGTGCCCTCCTTCAGCTGCCTCCTCTAGCTGCGCCTTGGCAACGTCCTCTGGGTCGTCATTGATGGGTATCTCAAAGTCGCCACCATCTTCGAGAAGTCTTAATCCTTCTTCATTGTCCAACGTATTGACACGATGGACGATGGATAGAACTAGTCCCGCATGAGAAAACATCATGAATGTACGGCCAAAACTCACCTTCTTCCGCTTCCTCTTCTTGGAGGGGATTACCGTGCTCGTCAAGCGGAACGACAGAGTGTAACGCCGCAGTGTACTTGTGGTAGGTATATAGCGCAATGCCTAAGGAAATCTCAGCTCGAATCAAAGAATCGTCGATGTACGAACCGCCAATAGTGATGACAACGCCAATAATGTTCAGTTCGGTAAGATGATCCCCGAATACCCAAGCGGAAATGGTGATCGTTGTCACTTCTTTGAAGATGCCCGCGATGGACATTGGGACGACGCCAGCTCGGGAGATGATGCTGTGAATAGGTGAGAGAAATCAAACGACAGACTTGAGTACGTACTAGTACTCGCTGAGGACCATGGCAAATGCCACGCTGCCCGGGCTGAGGAGGTAGAAGAGACTGGGCAAGATGCCTACACGGTCCCAAAAGTCGCTCTTCCAGACATTGATCCATCCTTCGACTACCATTGAGACGATGGACAGTGTGATCGCCATGCTTGGTGCAAGCCAAAAGATTGTAGCCGCTGGATTGTTCATGCCCATTTCCTTCTTCTTCAGGAGTAACTGGGTCAGACTCCATCGTAAACCACCAAGGAAGGACGCGGAAAGGACAAGGAACAGCCCAAGACCAGAAAACGTTGTTGTCGTAAACACCATCATTAGCACACCCCCAGTGATGAGCGCAATGACAAAGATGAGTCGCAGAGACGGTTTTTCGATTTTGAGAAGAAAGGCGAAGAAGAGGACAAAGATGAGCGAACTAGATTTACACATGGTGTAAAACGAGAGGGTGATTAGCTTCAAGCTGAAATTCGAGAGACCAATGTCGAGCGCGGTGGCAGCGGCTGTGGGAACGGCTTTTGTCCTAAATGCAAATGACAATCAGCAAACTTTGTATAGCGCCTCTGTACAACATACGCATAGTCCTTCTTGCTGGGATTGTATTCCGGTTTGAAACGCGCGGGCCAAAGCCATCGAACAATGGCAGCAAGAATGGCCTGGACGACCATATGAAGTGTCGTGACGAAGAGAGGAAAAGGAAAGCCAAGGTATTTGGGTGAGAACATCCACTTGTTGTACACGGATAGGATAGTAGCGAATAAAAACCTGGATGCAGAGTGAGGATTCGGTTAGCGTTTTCATAACAATTTGCTTACCATGAAGCGATAAATAGCCCGGTGATAGCAGCGTCCTTCCACCACTTTCTCCGTTTCTGATCCACGCTCGCAAAATGCAGCTCCAAAACTTCTCCATTTGCGGTCCTCGCGCGTGATAGACTCCGTCTAGGTATAGAAAACCGGCGCGAGGCGCTCCTCTGGGGCGACGTTGGAAGTGACGAGCCGTGTGTCGCGCGTCGCGGGCTCTCAGCCGAGTTTCTGTGATATCCACCCGCGTCCGAGTCGATTAAAGGTGCATATTCTGATCGACTTGGACCAGATTTTGGCCCTGAGCCCGCGCCGCTCATCGTGCGTAGTTGTACGTTGTCCGTCGTCGTTTCGTCGTCGGCCTCGCCAGTTTGTGAGTATCTTTATCTCACACTGTACGCGCTGAGACCGTTAAACAAGCAAAAAGAGGGTTGGTTCTCCGAAACGTCGGTTACGGTCGAATCCAAGGTTCTTGTCGACTCGCTTGGCGTCTGTAGATTGGGTTTCGCTCGAAAAGGTGAAAGAATGAGTCTTCATTGAAGCAGGATATACAGATTTCAGTCGATGTGATATGAATAGATAATAATCTGCAGCACCTCGCACCCTGGTAGGTCGGGTCAACAGACTAGTTCTGCAACCGCCGACAAGCGAGCGAGCGTCCCAGCAGAGATATTCGGACACGACCTCAATGTGACCCGAAGCTTCCGCCCTCCATGCAGAATCACCTGGTAGTGCCAGTCGACAAACACCAAAAGACTCTTCTCCCCATCTCCAGTATAATCCTCGACGATCAGGTCCATGAGTGGCGGGAACGCTCCTCGGGCACCTTTTGAGTTTCTCCACGCTTCCTGCCACCCCATAAGAATTCCATCCACCGTCGAGCCCTCGAGTTGCAACGAGCGCAAGTCTTGAAGCGAGATGAGGGTCGAGAGTAATCGTGGATATCCGTCGTACATGGAGCAGAGGACCAGCTCTTGAATCCTAGAGGTTTGCTCTACCTCGTGTCGGAACAGTTCCCAGTCCTCGAGCGTATACTCGGATGCTAATGGGATGATCAACCTCTTCAGAGCAGGTAGTTTATACTCCTTAGCGAGTGATGTGAGAAGGAATTGAAACCCACAGGCAACCTCGACGAGTTTTGAGAGCGTAGTGCGCTGTTGGAGGAGTGGTTGCGGTTCGCTTGATGCCGAGTACACGGCGAGCCTCTTCAACGACTTTAGCATTCCTGGTGTAAAGTGAGAAAGTCCCGCATTTGGAGCAGTCGAGCGCGTCCCCAACTCTTCCAGTTCGACCACGCTCTCTTTCGCCCATGTGGCACGACAATGGCACAGATAGAGGGATTTGACAAAGACTCCAAACGCAAATGGAAGGATGACGTTGGGAGGCAAGCTCCCGTTTTCTGCAAGGAGGCGCAGCTCATGTGGAGGTGGGAAGAAGTGAAGCAGGTCAACGACACGTCCCACTCCGTCGTGTGAGGTAAGAATGTCAATAGATCGGCAGACGACATCGTGCCTGAACAGAGTTAATAGTCGGTTTGTGTGATCTTGACGGGTGTCGTTCTCCATCTGAACTAACAGACGGAGATGTGGCTTATTGGCGAGCGAGTAGTAGTGACGTATACGCGCTATATCCTTCTCTGTCGATCTATTTGGAATATAGATTGTATTCCACGCTTCGGGCGTCGCGCGTAGTAGGTCCCGCCAGCGGCAGCAGACACCAGAGAGCGTGAGCTCGGCGAGACCAGTAGCGTCCTTCCATTCTTCTTTGAAGTGTTGGAGATAATCCCTGCTACAAGCAGTCCTCGAAAGCGCATCTAGGAGGATGACTGTCCAGAGTTCGTCTGGAAGTCTCCATGCTGGGTTGAGGAGAGCAAGCTTCTGGGACATTCGTGTCTGAATAGTCCTATCTGGTGCCTAATTCCCTTTACGTGCGCCTCTTTTGTCGCCAGCGTAGCTCGCGCAAGGCTCAGTTCCGAGGTCGCCTGGGTCGTCCACGTTGAGACAGCATTGAGGAGAATCTTGAGATCCTTCGACGCTTCTAGATTCTTCCTGTGAGCCGAGTTTGTTGAAGCGAGCGTCTTCTTGGCCAATGCTCGAACCGAGTCGGCGCCATGGATATTTCGAGTCAACAGATGTTGGTCGACGTGATGAAAGCTGGATGTAAAGTTGAAGAAGAGTGTCTGTAGTTGTTTTGTGGCCTCTACAGACTCTTCCATTTCTCGCAACGCGTCCTCCTTGGCTCGAATACCTTGAGCGATGCTCTCGAGCTCCACGTCACGCCTGGATAGCTCTGCTTTGAGAGAATTGACTAGCCGCTCATCTTCACGTATGAGGTCATTCAAAGATGGCTCCTTTTTTCCAGTCTCGCGGCCGTCGTCGTCGAGGGTATCTAATAAATCGTCCCCGGATAGTGAAGAGGCAACTTCCTGTCGACATTGAGCTCGATATCAACTAGTGTAGTGGATACAGACATCTCCATCGCTCATCTACTTTGTCAAGATTGTGGTTGGGTCCAAGCAGCTGCCGGAATGGCGGGCTCGAACTTGATGTGTTTCCACAATAAGCTGAACAGGTCCGTCCAAGTCGTTACATCCCCGTTGAGCCTCAATAATATCGTATAAGCGGGCCAGCTTCATGCGAGTATCATCCAACTAATCTTATTGTTATTTCCTATCCCGAGCCCTCCTACGTATTTATACATAAACTCTGACGGAAAATCCATCTCTGGTCAAGCTCTCGCAAAACTCTTGCGTGATACCAGAGCACCTCTTGAAAGTGACTCGTCTGAACGCGACTTGCGTACTGTCCCCATCCTGCATAGCTCGACCTAGAATGGCCGTATCGACGTCCGCCTCGGAAAATATCAGCTCCTCCAGCTTGGAGAAGATAGAGAGGCGCTTTTTGAAAGCTGCGAAGAGAGGCGACGTGTTCGGTCCGGAGATGGTGCATTGTTTCACTGATGAAATACACCCGAGCCATGAGGCAAGCAAAGATTCTGTGTACTCTACGGAAGGAAACGTGTGGAACTCGACCTCCTTGAGTTGTTCCCATGACCTGCTAGGAACCACAGGAGCAGCTCTATGATCGGCGGCGCGAATTTTGGGGGCCAAGAGGGATATCCGGCTGAGAGATGGTGCGCGAATCATGGAGCTGAGTAACTCGGATAATATACTTGGTGTGCATTTGATGCTTATGAGACTTGGTTGATCTATGGTGGCATGAGTCGCTGGGTCCCAGTTACTTAGCCATTCCCCAACGGACAGTACAAGAGTGTATAGATCAGTCCCACGTAAGATCATTCCAAGCTGTTTGGCACTGAGCTCTCCTACATCAAGCTCTAGATGCTTAACTGCCCGTCGCGCATCGTCTTCAGCAAACCATGGGAGAATATGGCGCACCCTCCATGATCGTATAGGAAGCTTGAACGAAAGCCAGCGATCGGAGCGATGAATTATTTCTAATGTCCTTGGAGTTCCCCTCTCGTAAAGAGCCTCCAAAGCCATCGTGACATGTTGAGAGGTGGAAGAGCGGGTCTCGTGTAGGTGAAGTACGATCGCCATATTCTCCTTCAAGAGACCTACATAGTGATATATTATCTGAGAACGCGTCGTTGGTATATATCTCCAAAGAGTCGCCTCGCCTTTACAGAGTGACCGCCACCGGGTAGAAACGTGACTCAAGGTAAGTACGGCGAAACTTGGTGAGATATCGTTGTATAGTCGCCTTTCATGAATCTCTGTCTCCACAATGTCACGAAATATACTGGCGAGCAGCCCGTCGGGAAGCTCAACCTGGCGCGCTCGATTCATCTTCGTGAGTCGCCGTGCGCGGTTGTCCTTCAACCTTGATAGATGATCCTTCATGATGCTGATTAAATGTTGCTCTTCATACATTTCCGATTGCTCGCGTCCCAACTCGTGAGACAGACTGGCGACTGACCGCGCAGTAGACTGGGCGCGCGCTCGGTGAAGGCTTATCAGCGTTTCCTCCTCTGTTATGCATGCTTTGAGTGCATAGAGTGCCTCTTTTGCCGCCTCGAACGCATTTCGAGATTCAGAGATGGTGTATGTAGGAAGGGGGAGCGAGGGTGAGGGTGAACCATTGCGGAAGGTCTCCTGTACGCGCTGAATGGCGTCAACGAGGAGTTTCTGACGTTCAAGAACGACCTCCGAAGCAGAAATTGCAACTTCAAAGTTTTCGATGTTGTATAGGTGAGTCTCGATGCTTGTCTGCTTGACAGAAATTTCTTGCTCGAGTCTATGAATCCACGACGCGTCCTCTGCATCGATTTTACGTAGGTTTTCGAGCTCCTGACGACGAGGAATATGATCATCGTCGGCCAGGGTGTTGACTGACTTCCTGGAGGCCCGTGGAGCTTGTCGGGGTGGTGGCATCAGAAATATTGATGAACTGTAGTATGAGCTCTCAATTAGCACGCTTTAATCGCTATCAATGATATTTTACCTCGAAATTACTTCGAGTGGTCTTGACAGCGCGCAAGGTGCAAGCTGGAGCCTGGCGTCGTGTCTCTCTCCATGAGGAGGCGATGCCGCTGACCAGTAGCCTAACACACCCATCGAACGCACCTCATCAGCACTCAAATGCGGGGAAAGCGATGCCCACGTGGGAAAGGTCAGCAGGTTTATTGCCCTCGAGTTCAAACTCAGATCAATGAGAGAGATGGGTTTACATACGACCACTAATCGAGGGATGCTGGGTCTTCATACTGTGATTAGAATACCAAGTAATTCGATCATGACTGCAAAATCCGTTCCAATCATCGATATCCCTCAGAGGCTAGGCCGCCAAAGAGCGAACAGTGTGATGTCCGTCTGGCTCAGTGTCAGCAGTCAGCTAAAATGTGCTCTAGGTCTCAAGTCTTTATCTCTTGACCGGAAGAACTGCCGTTGGAATGAATATAAAGTGTGATGAATCTGTCCCTGAACTCTGTTGTTGTGCCCCTGTGCAAGTTTATGGCTCTGACGGGGATACGTTAGTAACTGTACGACGCGATAGCAATGTGTGGATGATTGGGAACCACTTGACGAGTCATGGTTCCGTATTCCATGCGACTCAAAGCCTGAAAGGCATCATTTGGGCCGAACAAATGTCCACGATTCCCTTGTATGTTGCCTGCGTCCCAAGAGCGTGGGGTTGGCGAAGCTGCCCCATTGTCCTGGACATCAATAGGTCGTCATGATTCTGCTGCAAGAAGTAAGTAATGATCACAGAGAAGAGGTATTCATCCTACGTAATTGCTCTTGAGTCGCGACATCCAGATTGTCGGGTATTCCCAGGTGGTCAAGGATATTCACTTCCATGGTGCTGGTGTCACACTACATTTGAAGGTCTTTCAGAATAAGCAGGAGCAATGGGCAGTAGCCAACAGAGGTAGGTTTTGTAGAATGCCCTGCGAGTTGTGGAGCTCACGTGGCGTTAACTTTTGCCAAGATGGAAGTGTTTACTGATCTCAAGTCTGCGTATCTTCTTCTTCTCATGTTCTCTAGACTATGGTACCTTGAGCCCGTTTGCATTGTGGCGGAGGTCGAGTTCAACAAGCGGATCCTACCCGTTGTCGTTCTGAGAGTCTCGATACAGTTGTCTAATATCTTTAAATGGAGTCTTTTACCGGGTACAGAATGTCTGGTAATGACCAGGAAGCCGACTTCATTAACTTGAACCCTGCCACGATCTCCCTTTGGCATCATGGACCCAAGACCGTTCCGGACGTCGATCGAAGAAGGCGAAAAGAGCTTCCGGATGCACGAATCCGGGACTTTTTTTTGGTCATGGACGTGCTGGATCGTGACCTCGAGTCGGCATCTCGCGAGAACGCGTGATAGCGAGCGTTTTGCAATATGGAGCGTGGAGAGTGAACGACGAAGAGACGAGGATATTCATTGTTCTGCCCGCTGCTCGATTTGTCGGGTGATTGTTGGCGAAACCGGGCTGAATGGCGCCCCCCAGACTGAGCATTGACGGCCAACTCATGATCTTCGTCCGTGTGCATTCTGTACGTTGCCCCTTGCGCCCATTTTAGCAACGCGCCAGTAAAGAGACGCCACGAAAATCTCGGTTGCGAGGATGGTGACGACCGAGCTCCAAGGCTAGGGGCGTATAGGTGAGGGCGAGTCTTTAGCGCCGTTTCAGTAGTTCAGTGTTTGAGATAGACAGCCGTGGATCAGTCGTCGAAGCGCACGAACCCGAGCAGCGACCCTGCCCTTTCCGCCTTCCTTCACATTCATATATGGGGGTCGTCGCTCGCCTCCCCCGCGCACGTATCTTCCCTACCTTTCCTACTCGAAACAACATCTCCTCCCTCTCGTACGTCTTTCTGCGCAATCAGCGTTACCAGCCCAAGCACTAGCGACCTCTGACAGCTTCTGACAGGTCCCCAAAACGCTATGGCTACTTGTCACAGTGCAAGACCATCTACGGAACACCCAAGATGCTGTCTACTATCACTCAACGTCGACCAGCTGAAGGGCCGAATAGCCAGTGACGAAGCCCTCCTGAGAACAATCACAGATCTCGAAGCGTCGGCAAAGAAGACGGCATCAAACGCTTCGCGCGCAGTACAAGAGGCACAATCAGCACTCTTAGCTGCACATGCATGGCTTTCTAGTGCCGTTGCGACATACGAATCATATCGGCAAGAGGCCCAGCGCATCGCCGCAATGGTAGCGAAGAGCCGGAGACTACTTGCTTGGACGCCGGCACTGTTACCAGACGATCTAATCGTCTATATAGCCGCTATGTGTGTTGAAGAGGAGCGAGACGCCGTTCGACGGAGATGGCCAGAATTTGGACTCGCTTCGAGAAGCGCTAGGAAAGAGGAGAGCAGCACTCGACCTATGCTGGGGAGCATTTGGTGGCTATATCCAATGGCGATCTCCCAAGTCTGCCAGCGGTGGCGAACCGCGGCACTGGGTTGTCCGCGCCTGTGGGCCTACAAGGACAACCTTGGTGGAATCAAGTCGAATGCGCTGCTAGACTTGATCTCATTACGCTCTGGACTGTGCGAAATCGACGTTCTATGGAATCTCAACGCGCAGGTCCCGACCGTGGATCCTCGAATAGAAATGGCAAGAACCCTGGATTTGGTCCTCCCGTCGAAAAATGTCCACCCGTATCCCTTCTCGACTCATTCATCCGCATTGACATCACTCTCCATACGAGCGGCTAGTCCCGAACGCCCATCGACTTTTTCCGCGTCGCATCTCTTGCAGATGCCAAACTTGACCAAACTCGAACTGGTCAATGTTCAATTACTCGCACCTCCACCGCACCGTCATGCTCCTCTTATGGACCTGACAATACGCTACAGTGGAGTAATCTCATTCCGCGCAAAGGACATGGAGGATATCTCAATCGTCTTTCCGCGGCTGCGCAAGTTTTCTCTCTACATTCGTGGTCCATACATTAATAAACCACCCTCACCTGTCTCACCTACTGATCAACCGCCGGTCCCATATTCATTCCCCGATCTCGAATATCTGGACATTAATTCAAAGGATCTTTCTCACTCTCTATCGCGCTTCCAGGGCGCGTTTCTCCCCAAACTCTCTTCATTACGTCTCCGCGACAATGTCCTTCCGTCAGCCACGACATTCTTCCACCACCTCGTACGCTCACGCGTCCCATTGACGACACTGGGTTTGACCGACTTTACATCGCCGGGTATCAAGGCGTTTTGTGGGAATCGGGGCATCGAAACATTGATGGTCGAGCTCTGCATGCCCGCTGTCGACGCGCTACGACCAACTTCGCTCGTCCCGTCTCCACCAACGTCTCCACTCAGTCCAGTGACGACGTTGCCCCCCAACGTGCTCGCCGACTTGACGCTCACGTTTCCCAAGGTGACCAAGGTCATCATTCTACCGCCTCCGGCAGCTATTGAAGGAAGTTTGGGACGAATAGAGGCGGTGGTGCTGACGTCGTTGGCACATGCGATTCGAGAACGTAATGTCGCCGTACTAGGACCGCGAGTAGAGTCTACCTCGCCAACAAAACCGTCCATGTCGCCCACCCGAGGGGATGGAGAGAGTACCAAGGCGAAGAGGAAGATGTCGAGTGCAGAGATGTCTGGTGTTGGGTTTGGAAAGGCAGCGACAAACAAGGACCAGGAGGGGATTCCGATGAAGAGTGATGATACCCTTGTCGAGTCGACCGCTCCGTCTTCACCAAGCGGGACGTCGTCTGTCTTGACGGCATTTCCACCACCACCTAGTTCGACTCTCAACATGCTCACAAAGCCCCTTCCTCACGTTCCAGCGAGATGGACGCAGACGTTTGGGACATCGAGCAGACCGCGTCGAGGAACGGTGAGCTCGTTGGCCGCGTTACCCATTTTCGAAGTCGAATATACGCCGAATCGAGGACGGGGAAAGATTGCGTTGGAAGAAGTGTATGCTGCGCTTGTTGATGGACGGCAACGGTGGATGGAGATTGGGATGGGCGCCTGGAAGGCGTGAGGGAGACTTGTACGAGTGCTTCGATTGACTGATTTAGACTACGAGACCGGGTTGATCCGCGGTTTTCATTTGTCGATATGGTAGACATATGCTGCGGATGAGGAGCTAATACACGAAAACATTTGACTTTGTTTCATTTCCCAGTCTACCTGCTTATTTTTAAAGTAGATGCCGGCTGCGGGTTATTTACGATACAGACCTGGCAATGGGGACGCCCTAAGGCGGGATGGAGAAAAGATGAACCGAGAAACAAACTCCGCCGAACCGCGTTGGTGGCGTTGGATTGCTCAGGTAGCTACTACAGGAAGCCGTGCAGATTGAATCTACCCGGGTGCCATAAACTCGGTAGACGGATAGCCGGTGACGATGGGTGGGATAATTGCACCCAGGCAAGGTAAGCCAGGGTTGGAAACCCGACGATGTAGGGTAGATTCCAAGCGCGTATATTATCGGTAAAAGTGCGGACGGCAAGAGGCAGAAGACGCGATTGGACCAAGCCAGCGGACACCGCGGACCGTCGGGATGTTGTCAAGCGTCCACTGAGCGTGATTTACTGATGAATAATTCAGTTTTTAATCGTGTCTGGCAACTCAAACTACCTGGCGACGCTTGTGGACCCGCAGCAGGTACCATCGCACCAGAGTTGGACTCTGACGGAAGCCTGGCCGTCATTCTCGCTCGACGCTCTGCGGCTGGAGAGTATATTCAATCTGCAAGGGAACCTCTTACAAACCCGACTAACC